CCTCTCCCTTTGACGTCTGGATCAAGCGCTTACTGTTGTCTGTCTCCTTCGAATGACTTTTTTTTTCCTATTGGAATGACCTGTTTCGTGTTTCATTGCTTGCTTGCTCGCCTAATGTACATAGCATTGCTCATGGTTCATGAGCTGTGATGTGATAGTCACCACAAATCTGGAATTCGGGTGAGATGTCGATGCCTGTTACTCTTGTTTACGTTTACGTAGAAGATAGGCCGTGGGAGACATTTCACTCTGATGGTATTCCGCACCACGACCACAAGTATGCTATTTCCACATGGTATCTATGCTAACAACAGGGAAAAGGAAGAATGTAGGAAGAGATCCCTGCAACAAATCAATCAACGATCTATGAAGTCCGGCTTGAAAGATCATCATCGTCGTCGTCACCCAGATCAGCGCTCTCAGACTGAAGACCAGCGACGCCGACCCTGAACACCCCCTCGCACCACTCTGCAAAGGTATCGACATCCCACACAGCATCCTCCCGCCCCTTGCCCTTTTTACTGACAGGATGGCCCTTGCCCTTCTCCGAGGAAGTGTATTTATCAAAGAAATCCTCGTAGATCTGGATCGTGCGGTCCTGCACGGCGCCAACGAGAGTTTCTTTCATCCGAGTATCATCGATATACTCATTCAGGATATTGCGGAGGGTGGGGACTTCTTTCTCGATCGTGCGACAGGATGGATGGATGAGCTCGCCGCGCTGCAGGTTGCGCGTGTCGACGAATTTGGCGGGCAGAGAGGCGGTCATGCGTGCGGCGAAGGCGTTGATGAAGTCGTTGATGACTGTGCGGAGACGACCGTCTAGCTCGACCTTGGCGTCGAGCATGTTCTCCACGACTCGTGGGACGAGACCGTGGCCGACAAGGCGCATCAGGTTGCGTGGGTTGAAGAGGCCGCCCCGTTCGCGAAGTTCCCAGAATGTGTTTGTGACGCCTGAGAAGTCGAAGGAGACTTCCGGGGCGACGTATTCGATGTCGAAGGCGACGATTTGTTGTTTGAGGATGAGGAGGTGGCTCATGAGGAAGAGCTGGCCGTCGGCGGGGGTGGATTTGTTAGAGATGAGCGTGCTGGCGTGGTGAAGGGATAGGGTGGTTTGGTGCACGATTTGGTGCGCGAGATCGTCGAAGACTTGGGACTGGTTGCGGGGGTAAGCTATGTAGACACAGCACGAGGAGGTGAGCTTACATTAACAAGGCGATATATCCGGCTGAGTAGCCATATCGCTTTTCGAAGCGTGGGATACCACCCTTTGAGTGCGGTCTGAGTCTCAAAGTCCCATTTTCCGTCTAGTTCCTGCTGAGAATCTGTATCATCGCCTTGCTTGCCGCCAGCTGTGGTCATCAAGGCATTCGCAGATGTATCTTTCTTGCCCGAGATCTGCGTATCAGTCACGGTAAGAGACACTTGGCGATTGCGCATCGGATAGTCAATGTCTTCCGGGCGAGGCTTGTACCGCTCAATTCCGTCTCGTAGGGATGCCTGGGCCCGGAAAACCAGACGAGTCTGCACATCTTGCAGGGCCGGTTGGATTAAACCGGAGAAGTCCAGATGGTTTGCATCCATTTGTTCTGTTTCGTCCTCCGGGTCCAGGAAATACCGCGTCTGGAGAAGGGTGCAGAGTTGACAGAGCTTGACAATGTCGTTCTCGTGGATGATCTTGGGGCGCAGGTGATCATAGAGCGGCTCGCATATTGTCTCCAGGAAATCGTACAATCCGCCATGACCGTGGAACCACTCCCCCCACAAATCAAATTCGTCCAAGCACATGCCCCGAATGTAGCTGATACTCGCCCGCGCAAATGCAACAAGATCCTTGGTCGAGCTTGGCGTCTGCGCAATTTCGGCCAGTTTCCGGCGAGCAAGCGGTATGATCAATCGTGCTCGAGTGTTAGCGTAATTGGTGTGCAGTTCGTTCATCAGGCTTTGGTATTCCGCCTCATTGCTCTGGTCGGGATTGACTGGCGGAACGGCTCTTTTCTGGATCTCGAGTCCGATTTGCTTCAACTCGGGTGCCCCAACTCTGAATTTGGCGTAAAGAAGAGCCGACATGGCGGTGTCGTTCAGTGACTGGTCTGCAAGCTTCTTCGAGACACTCTGATAAATCTCTCGAAGTGATGCAACAAAGTTGCCGCGGATTAGGGTGAGGGCTCGCGTTAAAAGTAACCGGTATCTGGCGCGATATACCTCGGCTTCCTTTTGCTCCGGCTAAAATTGAGAGTTAGAAGCAAATCTGTCAACATTCACAGTCCGAGACTCACGTGGGTTTCCATGTAATCCAAACACACATCAAGACGTCTCAGCATATCGGAGAACTCGTGATTGCGGACGGTGTTCCCAGCCCCCGGAGCGTTAAGCCGCCGTGATGCGGGATCCAAGAAATCATAGTAATGGAGGTTGGTCTGGATGCCATTGGCGAGCTGCAGGTCTCGCTCCTGCGCAGACAGAAGCCCCTCGCACTGTTTTTCGAAGTTAGATGTCTGCGACTCCACGGCCTTGAATTGTTGCGACAAGCTCGAAAGATCGTCGAGGAGGGTCAGGGTGCTCGTCAGGATCTCGTCGATGTGGTCCTTTGATTGCTGCAGTTCATCCAAGCAGTTTCTAGGAGAAGCAGTGCGATCAGTTACTGCAGAGACGTTCAATTTCCATAGCGCATACTGGTACTCATTGTAGCTCTCCTCGACCAGGTCATCCTTGACCCCATTGAGCCACTGAGAGAACTCCAGCTCATTGTTCCAGCTTGGAATCTCCCACTTGAGCAGACCGGGGGGTTTCTCTTGAGTGGATTCGAGACTCGCCAGTGACTCGTTTGGGGCCGGTTTGCGCGGAGGACCCGATGGCGCAGTCTGGCGACGGGCGCGCTGTTGTTTGGATGCCATGGTGCAAGGCGAGTCAGGAAAGTGTACCCTCACACAAGGTGTCCCTCGTGGGCCGCGATTCTGCCCTCGAACTCCGCCTTCTGACGCAAACATGGGCGGGTGGCGCTGCTGGACTGGCACATTGACTCAATTCACAGAGGCACGATGCTGTCCAGTCGAGTGCGGCGTCCCGTGACGCACATACTATCTCCTCTCGCCTCTCCCAGACTTCCGACACGCCAGCCACCGCATGCACTATGGCGACGATTTACGAGCTCTAAGGAAGCTCCCAGCAAGAGCTCCGAGACCCAGTCCCACTGGTTTCGCCACTCTCTCGGACTGGCAGCTGCCGGTACTGCGGTATTTCTGGGTTATACATATGTGACAACCGGCGGGAAGGGAACTGGGGTGGACGGTGCGGCCGGCGCAAAGAAGGGTCTAACCCCAGTTGATTATCCCAGCTCTCAGTTTGTCCAGGAAAAGAGAAGTCTCAAGAGTCCTGGGGTCTATACATGGGGTTCAAATGTCTATCGCGTGGTGGATCCGGATTCGAAAGACACCGACGTCAAAATCCCCCGGCGATTCTCATACTTTGATGGTCAGGTGCTGAGAGACTTCAAAATCGACGACAAGGCGGGCGCCGCGATCACCGAGAATGGAGATCTGGTGCAATGGGGCAAAGGATTCTCGGAGACCAACTTTACTCCAACCAAGACCTTAACCGGCAAGAGTTTGGTATCACTCTCCCTATCCGAGGATCGAATCATTGCGCTGTCTTCGAACGGGACTGTCTACTCGTTGCCGATATCCCAAAATGACCAACAGTCCGGCCCCAAGACTCGGGAGAGTTCCTGGATTCCCTTCTGGGATGGACAGTCTCGTTTAAGCTATCGCGTGCTGCAGCCGGCCCTGAAACTGGGCGAATCAGTCACAGCGATCAGTACTGGGCAGGAACACGCTCTGTTGCTTACGAGCTCCGGGCGAGTCTTCTCGGCAGCTGCGTCTACTGAGCATTACCCCTTGCTCGGCCAACTCGGTGTCCCTGGTTTAACTTGGTCCACCAGACCCAGCGGTCCTGTGGATTCCTGCCACGAAGTTGCGACGCCGAAAGGCGTAAAGATTGCTCAAATTGCCACTGGTGATTATCACTCCGTGGTGTTGAGCAAAGATGGCCGTCTTTTCGCGTTTGGTGATAACTCCTTCGGACAATTGGGAGTAGAATTTGAACCAAGTCTACCTTCCAAGGACACCCCATTTGAACTGTCTCTGCGCAAGCTTTATAAGGGAGGAATCTATCTTCCAACCGTCACCAGCGTCGCCGCCGGCGGAGCCAACACCTTTTTCACCGTGGACGTCAAGCGAGTACCGGGTCCTGGGGAAGAAGCAGCCAACGCCCGTGACTTGGGTCGCATAACTGCGGATACCTGGGCCTGCGGTCGAGGCATCTGGGGTACACTCGGCAATGGACGATGGATCCACTTGCAAGATGAACCTACCAAGGTGAAGGCATTGAGCGGTCTGAGCGAGTACGACGAGAAGACAAAACACATTACACCGATCCGTCTTCGCGATATCTCTGTGGGCACGACCCATGTCTCGGCCGTGATGGATAACAAGACCCATCTCAAGGCCGCTACCACCGACTCATTGAGTGGATCGCAGGATTGGGGCTTTGACGTGCTCTGGTGGGGAGGCAATGAGCATTTCCAACTCGGCACCGGGAAGAGGACCAACCTGTCCAAACCCACGTACATTGGCGCCCCTGACGACACGGGAAAGAAAAGCGAAACAGAGTCACGTCTCCAGATCATGCCGCGCCATAAGGGCCAGGTCGGAAAGAAGACTGTCAGCATGGAGCAGCGAGTGTCGTGTGGTCGACATGTCTCCGCGATTTATTCGGCAGTGTAAAACCAAGCTTTATAAAATGTACATTAATTTCTGCTCTTATCACGGCTGTAAAATCTCAGATTGATCCCTCCCCTGCCCTCTCTGAGCACCAAATATCTTTGGTGTCCTTGTTATAGATCGGTGCAAACAAGACAAACATGCGCGGAGCATCGCCGCTTTCTTTGGAGAAAAAAAAATTCCAGCGACACCAAACCACCACCTTTGCCCGTCGCCACCATGCCTCGCGAGCAGAAGAAGAGAGGCCGCCGGGCCGAACAGAAGGCTCACAAAGATGAATCCAAGCGGAAATACGACGAAGCGCCCGAAGAACCTGCCGCGAAACGGATCAAGGCCGACGAGCCCGACACCTCCGAACAGCCTGCAGACTACATCCCCTTTGAGCAAGAAGAAGGCCAGCCAGAAGATCATGGTGCATCGGGTGACATGCCGTTTTACGGTCTACTCGACGCCGAAGAGTCGGAATACTTCTCGCGCGCCAGCGAAATGCTCGAACTGAACAAGTTCCAAGATGCCGAGGAACGGAGTCTGTTCGTCGACAGCGTCTACGAAGAAGCCAATGGCAAGGAATTGAAGATTGCCTGCAGTCAGGGCTGCTCTCGTCTTATGGAAAAATTGATCTCCATGTCCAATACAAGCCAGATTCGTCACATATTCGGCAAGTTTCTCGGCCACTTCCTCCACCTTGTACAGCACCGATTCGCGAGTCACTGCTGCGAAACGCTTTTTACTCATGCTGCCCCGGCAGTTATGCAGAAAGCAGCGAAGGCCCAGGCCAAGAAAAAGGCCAACGAGGAGGATGGCGAGGCAGAGTCGGATCTGTCCCTTGCGGACATGTTCATGGCTGTTATTGAGGAACTAAAGGATAACTGGGGGTATCTGTTGACGGAACGGTTTGCGTCGCATACAATTCGGGTTTTGCTCCTCGTTCTCGCTGGTGAGCCGGTGGATGTGTCCTCGTCCGACTCAGTCATCGCGAGCCGCAAAAAGGAAAAGCACGGCGTCCTAACTGCGGAGGCACAAGAGGAAAAGGGTACTACGCAAAAGAGGGGTGTACCCGAATCGTTTGAACCCGCTCTGAAGAAGATCATGAAAGATATGGTTTCAGGGCTGGACGACACTTATCTCCGAGCCCTGGCTACACATCCCGTTGGGAACCCTGTTCTTCAAGTGCTGCTATTTCTGGAGCTCTCGCATTTTGGTAAATCCAGTGCCAAGAACCCGGATTCGATCCTCCGGAGACTGGTGCCCGACGAGTCTTTTGAGGAAGGTACAGAGAGCGCAACTTTCATTCGCGGCCTGCTCTATGATCCGGTGGGCTCGCGCTTGGTGGAGACCATGGTGCGACACATGCCGGGAAAGGTGTTCAAGAATCTCTATAAGAACAATATCCGTGATCGCATCGGGTCTCTGTCTCGCAATACCACTGCGGGCTACGTGGTCCTTCGGACCTTGGAGAGGCTGGGGAAGGACGACCTGCAAAATGCTATGGAACTCATCATCTCGGAAGTTCCTGGTCTTGTCGAACGCTCCAGGATCGTTGTTCTTAGAGTGTTGATTGAGCGATGTGTGGTCCGTGGTGTCGACACAAAGCCTCTTGCCAATGCATTTGAGAAGGCTTACGACCAGGACCCGGCAGTTCGGCTTCAGCAGATGCTGAAACTCGGGGGGACTGCAGAGACGGCGGCTCAGGAGTCCTTGGATGAGGCTAAGGAGGGGGGTGATGAGGAGAGGCAGAAAGAACAGAGAGAAAAAACGCCTGCAGCCGAGAAGCTTCACGGATCTCTACTAGCGCAAGCGATGCTGGCCGTTCCCGGCCCGTTGAGTGGACTTGTGTACAGCAGCTTGCTGGCGCAGCCCTCCGATTCCATCATACAGATGTCGCGAGATCCGACTGCGTCTCGCGTCCTCCAGCAAGCTCTTACCCTTCCAACTTCTACCACCCAATTCCGCCGACAGATCACTACACGATTCCAAGGACACATGAAAGACCTCGCCCTGAACAGCAGTGGCTCGCACGTGGTGGACTCATTGTGGCCAGCGACCAAGGACATCTTTTTTGTCAAAGAGCGCATGGCGCAGGAACTGGCGGAGCATGAGATGGCGCTGCGTGATTCCTTTCTCGGCCGGGCGGTCTGGCGGAACTGGTCAATGGATCTTTACAAGCGCCGGCGCGGTGAATGGACTGGCCGCGCAAAGGGTATTGAGAGGCAGCCAGAAAACGGTGATGGCGCACGACCCAAGTCGAAGATTGAGCTGGCGCGGGCTCGCTTTGCGGCGCAGCAAGGAGACGGGGCGGCAGCGTCGGCCTGAATTATCAATTTTTAGACCAAACAATAGTCACGAATCTATGAAACGTTGCATACCCTAATTGCATCCACTTAATTGTATACTCCCGTAATATACAACGCTGTCGCATCCGGCATTAGTGTTCATGACATCAACCCCACCATGTCGCCATCTCCGGGATCGGCTGCCCGAACTTTTTTGCCTTCGGCACTTCACGTTACATCCCGGTCATTGCTTTTTTTTGTCTTTTTTTGCTCGGTTATTTATATAGACTGGTGGCATTCTCGTTATATATACATATTTTCATATTTTCATCCTTGGATCTGGCAATTGCACAGATGTCGGACATGTCGCCGACCAGTCGCGCCGCGGAGGTGCAGAATGTGAGTTGGCGGCGATCCCTCTGTGTCACCTCGAAGCACTGACAATGATCATATAGCTGCTGAAAGCTGTCGAAGACCTTCTAATCCCATTTATCCGTGCAGCAGACGAGAGCCACTACAACACTTCCGGCAACAAAGCCAGCACCAATGGCACGAACGGCGTCAATGGGCGCGCTGCGCCGGCAGGAATGTCCCTGGTAGACTACAAGAAACCCGAAGAACTACAAGAGATTCTGCAGCTTGAAGTACCAGAGAAAGGCACTCGACAAGAAGGGCTGATCGATGTCCTCCAGAAGGTACTCCGGTACTCAGTAAACACCTGGCACCAGGGATTCCTGGACAAGCTGTATGCATCGACGAATGCTCCCGGAGTGGCAGCGGAACTGATCCTCGCGACTCTAAACACCAATGTGCACGTCTACCAAGTATCGCCTGCCCTGACGATGATCGAAAAGTACACGGGCCAGCAACTGGCGGGTCTTTTTGGATTGAAAGGCCCTCGCGCCGGCGGGATATCGGTGCAGGGCGGCTCCTCATCGAATACCACGTCCATTGTCATTGCCCGCAACAATCTCTATCCGGATACGAAGACGGACGGTAATGGCGGACACAGATTTGTGCTATTCACTAGTGCGCATGGTCACTACAGCATTGAGAAGGCGGCGCAAATGATCGGGCTTGGAAGCAGCGCTGTCTGGCCCGTTCCAGTTGACAAGCAAGGGTGCATGATTCCATCCGAGCTTGAGAGGCTGGTTCTGAAGGCGCAGAGCGACGGCCGAACGCCATTTTACGTTAATGCCACCGCGGGCACGACAGTCATGGGCTCGTTTGATCCCTTTGACGAGATCGCGGACATCTGTCGGAAATATCGCTTGTGGTGCCATATCGATGGGTCTTGGGGCGGCTCTTTTATCTTCTCTCGTCGACAGAGACACAAGCTCGCGGGCGCGGAGAAGGCGAACAGCATTGCCATCAACCCGCACAAGATGCTCGGTGTGCCGGTGACCTGCTCGTTCTTGTTGGCTGCCGATATGCGCCAATTTCACAAAGCCAACACTCTGCCTGCAGGATACTTGTTCCATAACGAAGACCCGGAGCCTAGTGCAAACGGCAACGCACAGCCCGAGCCTGAATTGGAAGCTGACTCTCCAGAAATCTGGGATCTGGCAGACCTTACTCTTCAATGTGGCCGGCGCGCTGACTCTCTGAAACTCTTTCTGGGATGGACATACTACGGGTCCGAGGGGTACGAGCAGCAAATCGACTCAGCCTGCGAGGTAGCAGCACACCTGGCCAACCTCGTCACCAAGAGTCCTAATCTCATTCTGGTCAGCGAAAATCCTCCTCCGTGTCTGCAGGTCTGCTTCTACTATGCCCCAGGCAAGCAGCTCTTGCATCCGCGCGGCCTTGTCCAGGACGAAACACAGCGCGGAAAGAATAACAGCAAGGTCACCGAGCGTATCACGCATGCGATTGTGCCGCGGGGCTTCATGGTGGATTTTGCGCCGCCCAGCGGAGAAGCAAATGCAGAGGGCGATGGCAAGTTCTTCCGGTGTGTGGTCAATGTCTTGACTACCAAAGAGACAGTCGAGGCTCTGGTTTCTGCCATTGAGCAGGTGGGGCCTAGCATTGTCGACGGATTGAAGACGTTCGACCCGGCGATTCCTCATAAACGACCTGGCGAGCACGGACATGGACCTGTTGTCCACCATGTTTGAGGTTATATTGGGCTATATACATTTAGAGAATACATTCTCCAGATATTTCTTATAGCATTGCTACGGTATACATAACCTAAAACCCCTGCGCGGTTTCATCATCGGTTAAAACGTCAATCAGCCGAGGCCTCTTCATTACTACATATCATCATTTACATTTTTGGTGTGGCTTGAAGCTGACTCGCGTGGTTTCTCTGATAGGACCACGACCAGTTAATCGTCTCCATGAGGCTCATTGATGCCCCGGCAGCTGTCTCTAGCACCCGTTCTTTCTTAACAGCAGTACAAAAATGTCCCGGATTCAATAAATTGAGATTAAATGCCCTGTCTTTTTGAATCCATCCGCAAGGTACAGACCTATGTATATTGCATTATTCATGAATCAATGGCTGATATGATCCTAGCCTTACAAGGTGAAGCTAACCACCAATCTCAGCGCGGCGTTCCAGCACAGATCGCGCCTCGGCATTCGTCAACAGATCAATCCCCAACTCTGCCAGCACTCCTCGAGCACTGTCGTTGTCCTTGAACAGCCTCTTCTCCACATCCCAGAGGCCCAGCGCACCGGGGGTTTCCTCGTCAGCTTCTTGATTCGATACCGAGGCATCTAAGCCCAGAAGCAGCAGTCCCTCGTTCAATTTCTTCATGGTTCGCAGCGAGTCGCCGGCTTGACCAGTCGCTGCGAGGGCAGCGTCGACCACATTGCACAGATGACCGACGTCACTGGCGAGCTGGGCTGCGCCGCCTTCGGAGAAGGTGTGTTTGGTCAGCACGTTGTCCCAGATGTAAGTCTGGATAGAAAGCAGAAGCTGACGCGAGACGCGGCGGAGAGGAGCCATGCCCAGAGCGCGAGCGAGGAAAGAAAGTTGTGTGGACAGCGTCCGCATTGCATGCGCCAGATCTGATGATGGGGACAAGGGGGATCCCGACGTGGAGGCGGACAGCGTTGCCCACGTAGACGCGCGGGAGTAGGGCTTCAGAGCCGCAACGATGTTGGATGACAGGGTGGAGGTGATGATGGATTCTGAACGTAGCCGGAGGCGTCGGTAGGCGGAGGCTGTTTCATCGAAGAGGGCCCCGTCTGCTGATGCGAGTGCCCCGTTGCTGCTGGAGACAGCGGGCGATGTGCGCGATGCCACGTCCGCAACGGACATGGAGCCGGCGACGTTTTGGCCGTCTTGGTTCTGGCGGACCCGTTCTTGAAGGTCGGACCAGAGCTCAACGAAGAAGACATCGTTGCCCCAATCCTCCATCTTCTTTTCCAGGTACTCGGCGCTTCCGAAAACCCTGCAGAGCCGCTCCAGACCGGCAACACCCTCCACACTGGCTTGACCATCGCCTCGTTGCACGGTGCGCCCTAAGGTAGAGGTCATGGCCAAGTAAGCTTCGAGGGCGGAGTGAAGGCGTTCATGGAACTGGTCGAAAATCGTAATCTGAATATCAATCAGAAATCGCAACTTCTGGCTGAAAGACGAGAGTGGTTGGTAGCGGTCCGTGATGGTCTCCAGCAGATCGTTCACACGCATTGCGGCCTTGGTCGGCTTAGTGGCTGTAATTTCCAGGCCATCGTAGTCGATTTCTCCACTGGCTGGAGTGTCGATAATGTCCCTGTATCGAGCCAACGCGAAGTCCTTCTCAACCTGCAGCCAACGATCATACCATCCTTCCTTGGTCAAAACCTCCCACGTCATACCCTTCCAGTTATCGTCCGCATAGGGATCTGGCATGTAGTTCCACGATTCCCGAACGTCATTGTCAAAGTCCATCAACTCATGGATGAAGTGACTGAGCAACTGAGGATGGTTGGCAATTTGGGGGAGGAAAGTGGCAATCTTCTGCCTGAGCATTGGCAGCAGGGCCGTGATGAAAGCGTGCGATGCATTGTAGAAATTCCATTCCAGGCTTGGTCCCACCTTCTGTGCCTTTTCATCAAGGATAGGTTGAAGATAGGACGTGAAGAACTCGCCGTGTTGATTGATCAGGTCCATAATGTGTGACAGAAAGTACTCGGGCTGGTGGGCAGTTAGATAATAGCGCGTTCAACACGCGGTTATAGAAACTCACCTTGTCCAGCCTGTTAGTGGGCTTATCACCACTGAAGTGATATTTGAACCGGAGATCTAGTGCATGCATCATGACTTCCAACGGGAAGAGGACTGGCGGCTCGAGTGTCTGACCCAGAACGAGAGCATCGCGCTGTTGCAGCTCCCTAAACATACATAAGTATCCCAATCTCATAATTCGTGGGTTTGCGCGTGGGGTATTCATACGGTGTTTGCAGGTCAATCAGGAGCTCGACGTCCTGTCTCCACTGGGCCAGGAGGTCATCGGTGATATTCAATTCCCTTGCAGGCCACTTCATCGACTCGAGTGTCTTTTGCAGTCTGTCTCCAAAGTATGCTTTCATCTGCTGCTTCAATGCGGATGCCAGCTTTTCCGTATGGTCGACCAGATGGGGCGCCGCGCCTTCTGCAGCAGGCTGCGCCTCTTTCAGCGACAAAACAATATTCTGCAATCGAGCGTACGGTTCCAAGGCGGCATGTGGTGCGGAGGAAATATTCTTGAGGGATTCCTTACTGGAGTTGCATTGCCAGTGTCAGTCTCCCACAGGACCGTGAGGAGGGTAGCATTCATACCTCAATCCATCCGCTTCCTTCAGCAATTCCACGTATCCCTTGGACAGTTCTAGCCTTCGGAGCCGTTCCATGCTCGACTCTAGACTCCGCACCGCTTCATCACTGGTGTCCGATTGTGTGATGACCTTTAACCGCCGGTCGATGTCGGCCTGCTCGTCGGTAAACGCCTCGGCTCGTTGCCGCGTGGCTTCGGCATGGTCTCTGGATGCTTTCGTCGCATTGGAGAGTGCTTCGTGGGCTTCTGCGAGCTAATCGATCGGGAATTTCATGAGCTATATGCGTGTTGAGGGGGATGGGGGATGCGTGCAATTCGTACCTGTTTCCGTTGTAGCTCCTGCTGCGCGCGCAAACCGGACAGCAGCGAGTGTAGGCTCTCGAGGTCGGCGGAGACCTGAATTTTATCGTTCAGATAATCCTGGACCCGCGTGCGTTCGTGCGACGACAGGCTGGCGGCCATTGTTGTTTTGCGGAGGGAAACCGATGCGGGAGCGCAAGGTGTCGCTTTGCTTGGCTTTGGGTTCTGGGCGGGATGGACTAAAGTATGTTGGTTACCTCATACCCTCACTACATACTTTAACTACAACAAAGAGCTATGCCCAGCCCGGCCAAAAAGCGCAAGCGAGATGCAACTGAGTCGTCGCCGCAAAAGAGTATCGCCTCGTTCTTCAAGGGCCAAGCGGCCCAACAGACCAGAGCTGAGCCCGTCACCGACCAGACCGTCTCGGACGAAGCTCTGGCGCGCAAGCTCCAGGCCGAGTGGGACCAAGAAGAGCCTGTTTCCTCGGCCGTAGAATCATCAGGTGCTGTTACAACAGAGCGTAGAGCAGACACATCTCCGGCAGTGCCTCCGGTAGCAGCAGATGTGCCTGCGGGAGCTCCTGTGACACCGAAGAAGCACACGCTGTCGCTACAATCGTCAACGGGCACCGAGGACACAATATCCCTGTCCGTTCCTCTGGACCAAAGCCCCCAGACCTTCGACGCAGCCCAATACGCCAAAGAACTGCGGTCGCATTGGATGTCCGAGGGCGGCGATGCGTCGTATGCCTTGCTGACGAGGGCTTTCGTCCTGGCCAACGCCACAACCAGCCGCATCAAGATTGTCGACACGCTGGTCAATTTCATCCGGGTCTTGATTGAAGGAGACCCGTCCAGCGTCCTTCCCGCGGTATGGCTGGCAACCAATTCCATCTCACCTCCGTATGATGAGCTGGAGCTTGGATTGGGCGGCTCCGCCATCTCCAAGGCTTTGAAGAAGATATACGGACTCGACAATCAGGGGCTCAAGTCCCTCTACGATAAGCACGGCGATGCGGGAGATGTCGCGTTTGAGGCGAAGAAGCGCCAGACTTTCACACTGGTCAAGCCGAAGCCACTCAAGATCAAGGGCGTGTATCAATCCTTGATGAAGATTGCGACGAGTAAAGGGACCGGCAGCCAAGAAACAAAGCAACGAATTGTCGAGAAACTCTTGCAGGATGCGCGAGGCGCCGAAGAGAGCCGGTACATTGTCCGGACTCTCGTCCAGAACTTGCGAATTGGAGCTGTGAAAACAACCATGCTTATCGCTCTGGCGCGAGCTTTTCTCTATTCCAAGCCAGCGGGCGCCGAGTTTGCCGTCAGACCTCACGAACTCGCACGTCTGAAAAAGGACGAGCTCGCTGAAATACACAACAACGCAGAAGAGATTGTCAAGGCGTCGTATGCCCGACATCCTAATTACAATGATTTGGTCCCGTGTTTATTGGAGATTGGAGTCACAGACGAACTGCTCGTGCGATGCGGTCTCGCGCTACATATCCCACTACGGCCGATGTTGGGCAGCATCACTCGCGACCTATCAGAGATGTTAACCAAGCTTCAAGCCAGAGACTTTAGTTGCGAGTTCAAATATGACGGTCAGCGCGCACAAGTGCATTGTGACAAGCAAGGAAAGGTGTCCATTTTCTCACGACATCTCGAACTCATGACGGAGAAGTATCCGGACCTGGTGGCGCTTGTGCCCCATATCCGAGGCGAGGGCGTGTCCAGCTTTATTCTCGAGGGTGAAGTCGTCGCTGTCGACCAGAAGTCGGGCGATCTCCAGCCCTTCCAGGTGCTGACCAACCGCGCAAAAAAGAACGTGGACATCAGAGCCATCACGGTCAATGTGTGCTTGTTTGCGTTTGATCTAATGTATCTCAACGGCGAGCCTCTCCTGGACCGATCACTCCGCGAGCGTCGCGAGCTCCTCCGAAGTTTGTTCGTGGAGATGCCCAACCGGTTCACCTGGGTGAGGAGTCTGGATGCAACGTCCGCCGACTCGGAGGCCGTGCTGGATTTCTTCAAGAGCGCCACGGATGCAAAGTGCGAGGGTATCATGGTCAAGGTGCTAGACAACGCAGTCAAGCCGATCAATGACACTAGCACCGAGCCTATCGAAGCCAACGAAGCCACCACCACCGCCACGAAGCAAAAGAACACGCGGCGCAAAGCGCTCCTTTCGACCTACGAACCAGACAAGCGCCTAGAATCATGGCTAAAAGTGAAAAAAGACTACAGCACCTCCTCGGACACGCTCGACCTAATCCCCGTCGCCGGCTGGCACGGCCAAGGCCGCAAAGCGAAATGGTGGTCCCCGATCCTGCTCGCGGTGCGGAACCCCGAAACCGGCTCCCTCGAAGCCGTGACAAAATGCATGTCTGGCTTCACGGACAAATTCTACCAAACCATCACGACCAAATACGCCGAGGGCAGCACGAATGTCATCTCGCGACCCAGTTACATCGACTACCCGGGCTCGCCCGATGTGTGGTTCCATCCACAAGAAGTGTGGGAGATGGCCTTTGCAGATATCACGTTGAGTCCGACGTACCCGGCGGCCATGGGGCTGATTAGTGACGAGCGCGGTCTGAGTCTGCGGTTTCCGAGGTTTCTGCGCGTGCGCGAGGATAAGTCGATTGAGGAGGCGAGCTCGGCGGATTATTTGGCGTTGTTGTGGCGGAAGCAGATGGAGAAGAAGGCGGCGGCGGCTAGTAGTCGTGCTGAGGACGGGGTATACAATAATAGCAATAACAATCTAGATACTGTGGAGCAGGCGGATCAGGAGCAGCGACTGGGCTGGCAGGAGGACTGAGCGGGCGTTGCAATGGCACGTCATCCGGCGGCCGGGTTGCATCATCTGCGTGGCTTTTCTTCGGGTCGGAGACAATAAATTATACAGCATATTTTCATACTCAGGATATGTCTTCTCTCCCTTGTAGTTCTATCGCCATGTGTACACTGGACTATATTTACGGAATACACAACGCAGGGTTAGGGCTATCCAATCAACAAGCGCAGGAGTCTCCACGATCCTTGGTTGATGACATCATCCATTAAACTACTTTCGGACTAGCGCAGACGCGAAAGTGACGCGAACAGAAAAAAAGACGTGTTGAAGTGAAAGGACATTGGCCAATGCATTTGCACAGGGAATTCGTCAAGGCTCGTAAACACACGGGGAGGGCTGCGAACATGGCACATAGACATCAGATGGAGCATGCTCAGACAAAGGAAACGAGTGCAGACACACAGATACCAAAGGAAAAAAAAAAAAAAAAAAAAAAAGAAGCTAAAACGCCTGCTGATGCTAGGGAAGTGCCCACGTGAGTTCACGATGCAGGGGCTAGGAGGGGAATTTGCGAGGATGCATCATAGCACGCGTAGAAAACACACAGACCTCGATCCATCCCGGTTGGGGGACATGCAAAGGGGAGTACAAAGAAACGAAAACACCGACACTGTGTACAGAGCGTAATCATGAAGCCGTCATTAAGAGGTGTCCGGGCAGAAAACAGAAAAGAGACGAAACGTGCTTAAGGGTGGAGTTCGCCGCCCAGCTGCAGGGCAAGGCCCGCATCCTTGGTGCGCAGACGGGGACTCGAGGTATTGGGAGGCGCGAGGTTATCAAAATTCAGGCGCTTGCGGGCGTCCCGGGCAGCCAGTGGCGTACGAGACGCATTGCCGGGCGTTCGATTGCCCCAGGCCGGCTGGGCCGGGGACGGGGTAACATTGACAAAGTCCGCAAAGTTGAATTGCTGGCCGGGAGTTCCAAAATTAGGGAACAGACCGCCGCCGGGAGTCGGGGTCAGGGACGGTAGCACGGCGTGCTGGCTAGGCGGCGTGGATGGGGGAAGACCTGGGGCTGGCCGGATGCCACGCGAGCCGGGGTGGGAGAGTTGGCTAGGTACAGCAGCAGGTCGGCGCCGTCCTCGTGCTTCAGAGCGCGGTCGGAACGGGACAGTCTCGAGTGTCGCGGGGGAGGTGTGCGTGGCGGTGAGGAGCCGGCCATCGAGCTCATGTTCTGGAAGCTGTGCAGGGGCAGGTCCGGGTCGTTTTCCTCGTCGGACGGGCCATGGTATTGGTATCGAACGGGGGACGACAGCTCGGGAATCGGGGCCTCGGACATGAAGGAGACCGGGTGATGATGGGTCTGCCGGTGGGTAGCCGGCGAGGATTCGGGCAGCCGGTACGAGCTCTTCCACGAGACACGGGGTGCCTTGGTCGGGCGCTCGGCAGTGATCGAGTCCGTCCGCAGCCGCTTTCGGCTGGCCGACAGCATGGGCTGCATCACACGAGAATTGAAGGTCACAGCATGCTTGTTGCGGGCCGACCGGGGCAGTTCCTTGGAGTAGGTCGCGGCTCGTTGGGGAGGAGAAGTGAAGGGGGTCTCGCAGCGGCTGCGAGAAAAAATGGACGACGAGTCGGAGGGCTTGTCGCTGTCAAAGTCGAGTCGAGGATCGTGGAGACCGTGTAGTCGGCCATGCTGGTACTTGAGCTTGGCCAGGCCCAAACGGTCCTGCAAGCTGAGGGAGACCTGGATTGAGGGTCAGTCAGTTGAGATGCTGGGTACATTTTGCAGGTTGTATTTTTTTTGTTACCTGGGCAATGTCGATTTTGCGGATGGTCTTCTCGGCAGAACCAGGCTGGGACAGAGCCATGGCGGGCATGGAGGCGAAGAGGGAGTGTGGTCGAAAGAGAAGAAAGGATTGGAGGGGAGAGAAAGAGAGTGTGAGAGAGAGAGAACAAGAGCAAGGGCGGCTGGGAACACGGGATTTGTCAAGTTCAGCTGCACTCGACCACCGAACTTGTTCTACCAGCACGTTCGTCGTCTTCTTTCTTTCTTGGTGAGTCGCAGTGGGTTGACTATGAAATGAATGTTGTCCCCTGAATTGCCCTGACTGGAGAATCTGATCTATCGATCCGTTCTTTGTCGATGCCCTGTTTTTCCGAGCCCATAGTTAACTAGCCCGCGAACTAATTCCTCCAGCCTTCCGTGGGTCCGTTTCCCCGAGAACCCTTGAGGAATGCAAATTCCCATCCCTAGCTCACAGGCGATCCGTCGATACTCTCTCCGTCGAGTCAATTGGTCCCTATCCATGCGATCGAGGGCAACGTGCTCCGATCCCTGTGTTTCGACCATGTCATCAACAATGCATCTCGCGTCGCCCCCGGACTGGCCAAAAATGCCGTTTTCTTAGAACAATCGGGTTGCTAATTCATGACCTATGTCATCGGATTAGTTATGCGACTCCGCTCCACCGCTCCAAGCATGCTTTCATGGAGTGATCGTGAAAGGGGGTACGTAATACTCTGAGACAGTGAGACAGCCGTAGGCAATTAATTAACTGGACTTATTTTTATCTTTTTATCTTTCTATCTCTCTTTCTTTCTTCCTTCCTCTCCTCCCCCGTCTTACTCCTCTAATTCCCCTTTTCCAATCATCTGGCGGGGCGTTGCCATCCTCAACCGCCGCAAACGGTCGAGCTGTCCTGTTCCTGCCATCTCTAACCGCTGCTGACTGCGCCTGCTTCTGCCTGACGTAGCGTACCTGCTAGGGTAGTACTTGCCAGGTACTCTCTCCAGGAGCTTGTCTGTCCTTCTCTGCTTTTTCTTCCTCCTTCCATCTTGTATCATCGTCACCCGCCATGCCCTTCTTCAAACAGCTGCGCCGTCGTTCCAAGGCCAGCTTCCATGCCTCCTCCAGATCCACCGACTCCAAATCATCCCACAATGTTGAGATGGTTTCGGGCAAGTCGGACTCAACCATCGACACTTCCTCCTACGCCTCCATCACTCCGCCTTCGTCCATCAAGCCTAACATGTCCTCGCCAAACCTGCCCTCCTTGACCGAGCTCAATGGCTCAACCACCCCAGTGCCTCCCCTACCGCAGCAGCGCCCAGGACCCTTCGCGACGCATTCGCAGCGCAACAGTGTCATTGTATGTCACGGATTGGGCGTGTTTAAGGAGTTTCGGCTGATTGTTTTGACAGGGTAGCAGTTCGTCCTCTATCAACGGCCTGTATCGCTCGCCAACACCCAGCTCGCCGTATGCGCCGCGAATTGTGTCCATTGCCGACAATTCATGGGTATTGGGATCATCCCCGATCATCAAAGATATACTGACCTTGCTTCCAGGTGCACCAAAAAGTACTACTCGTATACGGCCAGATTGGAGATCCACGAAATCATCCGCTGGACGGAGGTATAACGGTGAACCACCACCAAGAAACTTTCCCGGCGACCGGCTGGCCGGTTACAGCGTCTCACTTCAAAGCTCTGATCCATTTGGTCCCGGGGCCGAATCGCCTTCGGCTGGACTTCATCTCGCCGAAACTATCGTCTGGAAGTGCGCATCCGGCCGTTCATTCCACGTATCTCTGCATCAACTACCTCCCACTGGTTAACACGCCTCCATTGCAGCTAGTGGTTCTACTGGGGAAGGATTCGGATGGCACGTACGATGCGGTGCCTGAGAGAGCGCAGCGTGAAGGAAATGGACTGGATATGGCCATCCGGAAATACCGAACGGCGGCATATCTCTGGCAGGCCTTCACGGGGGAGCAGATGTTCCGCAAAAACTTCGGGCGGCGCTGCTTCCGGTTCGAGGAAGAGTGGCAATCGGGAACACTCAGCCGCCGTGATGCAGCGTCAGGCAACATGCGTAACGAGGCTAAGATTCACATCGTTCGCACGGAGAAGACAGTGGCAGAGCTCCGGGATCTCAACATTGCTCAACAAAACAGCAAAGCCGAACACAGGGATGAACTATTCAATATCGCCAAGGAAGCAGTGCGAAACCATTTCCAACCTCAGCCCGGGCAGAAACAATACGTCTCCGTGCTCCTGCTCGACTCTCACTGGGACACGGACTCGCAGATCATCACCGGCCATGCCGCTCTTGGCTCGGCTGGAGACGATATCAAGATGGCCATCTTCGGATCTCACAGCCTCCAAAGCTATCCATCGTGCTTGGAAGAGGTCGTGGAGGCATTTTCGGACTGTACCCGGACAGACACGAACCATATTGCAAATGACTGCGGCGAAGCAGGCTCCAACTGGGAGTCTGCCAACCTTGGCATCGGTGCTCACCTGCACGAGGTGGGTCATCTTTTTGGGAGCCCCCATCAAGAGTCCGGTATCATGCTCCGAGACTACGTGCGTCTTAGCCGTTCTTTTCTCACCAGAGAACCCTTCGCGACCCGAACAAAGACACAAGGCTTGAAGGTGTGTTTGCCGAACGACGAATGTGGCTGGCATCGGCTCGATACACTGCGCTTCCGATTTCATCCGTGTTTCCGTCTTCCCAGCGACTCGATGGTCAGTACGGAGGATAGCGTGCAGGTGTGGCCGGTGGAGAACGGCAAGATCTTGTTTACTGCCTCTTCGGGAGTCGCCTTTATGGAACTGTACGCGGAGGGGGACACGTTCTGTCACAATTTTGTCGAGTATCTGAACACGGAGACGGGCAGCAGCAACGGTCTCCCGAAGCAAGTCACGGTGACCGAGAGCGAGCTCCGCCAGCGCGTCTTCGGCAGCGAAAAGGAGAAGAAAAAGAAGATTCGGCTGGTCGTGTTTTCTGGGGCTCTCGGAAGCTGCACTGTCGAAGACCTCAGCCAACTGAAGTCGAAGAACGCCCTGGTCAAGCTCCCCAAGGGTCAGTCCGGCTACAAGAGCGGGATATTAGGCCAGTCGACCATGGAGGGGAGCGAGCCCGAACAGCTGTTGTTGGATTGTGCCTTTATCAACACCAAGCTTATGACCTCGATCAAGGTCTATCATGGGTACGCGGTGGATGGGATCGAATTCTGCTATGAAGATGCCACCACGCAACTCTTCGGGAAGCGTGGAGGCAAGCCCGGCGGTGATGAGTTTGTACTGGGTAAGTTGGGCCGCCCAGTTTCTGCAACATCCGACGGCGACTGATAAGCTACTAGATACTCGGCGTGGGGAGATTCTGCTTGGATTCTACGTTCGTGCCGGGCTCTGGATTGACGGCATTGAGATTCTCACGAGTCTCGGGAGGAAATCGGGTGTGTATGGGAATGCCGCCGGCGGATCTGGGTATGGTCCCTCGTTGACTCGCAAAGAAGAAATCTTACTGACCAGCCACTCCAGCCACACCCTGATCCCACCCCTGGGGTATCGGGTCGCAGGGATCTCGGGCTCCTGCGCCTCATGGATTGATGGGTTTTCGTTGATCATTGCGCATTAAGCCGTCAGACATGACGAAATCGGCGTTGACGGTGCTCAAGTGTGTGTTACATTGTTTGCATTGATTCCATTCGGGAGGTTCTGTTGCTCTGTTCTTTGATTCCTACCCCGGTCGCAAGTCCGGATTTACTCTGTTTATAGTATGTTTTCTTTTTTTTTTTACTTGGGCAGTCACACCTCGGGCGTTTTTTCGGTCATGGCGGGCATTTCTTTCAGGATCGAGGGTTTCGGATACACCATGGCGAACAACGATTGTAAAAAGAACATCATTCATAGTGGCCGCGGCTCATACATCTGACTGTTATCATCCTCTTGTTTCATCCGTTAAGGCTGAATCGTGCTACTGAATGCTCATTGGTTGGAGTTGGAAGCAACCAATGAGAGCCAAGCATTCTCTCCAGCGGTTGTGGCAATAGGTAGTTATATCCGCTGGACTGAATAATGTTGGCCTATGATGAAATGCGAACAACGGCAGAGATACTACGTACATCTTGTTGGTAACCGAAGCAGCATCGATCTTCCCGTCCTCCTGACCGCGCTGCGTCGCGTTGTTCGGTGTTGATCCTTCCTTTTTGCTTCGAAATTCGCCGCACCTTCTTCCACACGGCCCCCGCCGATGCTCTCCAGCGCTTGTTATTGGCCTCCTCCGGGCCGTCCGATCCGTGGCCCCGACGAATTGGGCTGCGTCAGCACGTGCACAGCTCTATATTAGCGTAAATGTGCGAGACATAAAGGATGGATGAGATCATGATTATGATTGTTATTCGTTCAGTTGAGATGCTCCATTCTTGTTACAGTCACAGCCCAAGGGCAAAAAAAAAAAGCTATAGTATTAAACTTCAACGCAGCATTCTACAATATGCTGACTAAGCACCATTGCATCGCCCTGGATGCTAAGTCCGGCAGATCCACAGTGGCGAGAGTCGCGGTCATACAACCTCATCCGCGGAGACGCTCACTGGCTGTGGGTCGCGGTGGAGGATGACTGAATTGCAAATCCCGCCTAGCCCACGGCTCGCGATAGTTATCTCGCTGCCTTGAGTCTTCATTGCACGGCTGGGGCAAAACGCCACTCTTTGAGCTTCTTTGAAAGATCTGCGCGCCCGGTGCAGCGTCATGATCTAATTACAGCACATATCCGAGGAGAAACGGTGTGCATTCTGGATGATCGGCGGTCGCACACACGTAGAATGGTGTGCTATTGGATGCTGGTGGAAGACCCTTGATCGTGGCTGAGACGTGTGATGGAAGGATCGGATGCTCTTGTGCCTGTCGGTTTGTCCTGGGGCTGATACTGCTTCGAAAATAAATTATGCTATGTATCCTTTCTGACTGCATTACTACTGTACGTGTTATTGACAGGCTGGCAATAGCTCCCGGACCGCGCACAACTGTTATCCGTGTCGATGACGGTTGTGGCTGTTTCTCCAGACAGATGCAACACGATCAAAACTCAGGCTTGGCGCTAACGTCATACGCAGCACTTCGAAGAGATGAATACATCGCAATAATAAGGATGAAGCTAAGTTAGCTCACCCATGGTGAGCAGTGTCTTTTTTTTTTTTTTTTGGGGGGGGATTTTACTTACAAAACATACTAGCGAGAAACGGCTGATTACCTGCTCTAGCGCCCGTAGTTTAAACAATCCAGTGATGAGCGGGGAAACGCACCATGTAGTCCATCCCTGCCTCTTTCGTTTGTGAACGTTCTGTAGACACTACCGATCGGATCTCGGAGTGTGCGCCCAGCGAATGAGAGGGTCGGATTTAGCTCATTATCCAGCCGTGGTTCGCTACGGAAGAGAGTTGTCGATATTCATTTTATAGTTAGCTGGCTGGGTCCTCGGAAATAGTTATTCGCTGTGTCAGCAAGTACACCCAACCCGTTTGGTACTGTAATGGGTGATCAGCCGCTGCGACGAAGCATCAAACCGAGCACTCTGATTGGCGGGAACTCAAGCCAGGCAATGGCACGAGTTTGTTACAGATTGTCAGGCTAGTGTATGAGGTACAGAGTGGAAGTACAGACCTACAGCTAACAGAGCCACTGGGAAATACTGCAAGCCAATTTCATACGCACCTATACGAAATACAGCCCTCAAGGAAGGAAGAACGGGTAAAGAAGAAGGTCGATCAAACAGCCACCATCACCTCATCCGTCATTCATCCACGGGATGTAGAATGCGCCGATTAAGCCGCGTTGATTTCGCAATCGGTAATTATCGACGTGGGGAGACACGGCCGAAGACCAAAACAAATGTGAAGATCCTGCCATTCTCCGTAGTTGTGGCTCGGGCTGAGAGGCCGCCACTCATGGTCACAACGGCTGCTCGGACAGCCCATGACAGCTCGACACGGGGGAGTCCCGGGCTCTTGGGGGTGCCTTTGAGCAGAAGTACCTACCCAAATGGGTGTGACGGCCTGGGCCTATGGAGTCCAAAAAGCTAACTGAGCTGAATGCCGAGGGCGACATGTGCACGGCCACAGACCTATGTGGCGACGCTTTTGGTTGGAACGAACCAGACGGTTCTCGAACGAGAGGAATCTCGCTGCCTGAGGAATGTCTGCGGGTTATTGGGAAATACTGCACCCACTGTCGGAAATGTCAGCTCGTACTTCGTGGGACTATATCAATACCCGGAACCACTTCCGTCTGGCATAACCCCAATTGGCTTCATCGCATAGCAGATGACATCATGGCTGTTGTGCAATTTGCAACAAGACGGTGGAAACGATGTGGCTTGCTCCGACAATACACCGTAAATTACCCAATGTATAGTAAAATGTTAAATTTCTCCCCTCACCGGTGCCCATCCGTGGGTCGGTGGTCCATTTCCTTCGGTCAATCTCCCCTGGTAAGTAATGAATTCATCTGTGAATTACTAGCACCAAACTAACTTAAAAAAAAAAAAAAAAAGAAGATTGCTTGTCGGTCTTCTCATTTGCCCATGTGGCCCTTACTAGTCCTTATCGGAGCTCAATCCTATACCGTACTATAGTGGCAACCCTCGTTCGCTCGTTCCCGCAAGCTTCCATCTGTCTCTCCACTCTCTTTCTCCAAACCACACTTCCCTCCACCCCCTTAGCCACAGTTGATACCAGGGCCCTTCCCTTCTTCCTAACGGGCCTTCATTATTGGAGGCTCCATGGACCGTTCTGTTCTATTCTTTCTTTTTTCGTTTCTCTCTGACCTAAGGCTTGTCGTCATCACCCTTTGCCTCCCCTCCCTTCATTAACCCCTCGTCTTTCTTACTACTCTCTCGACTTTTTTTCCCTTGACCTCACTTCCCCCCCCCCCTTCTCCCCGACAGATACAAAAATAAAGGGACACCTCCTCGCACCCTCCCCCATGTTCTAGCATTGTTTGCTTGACACTCCCTCTCAACTTTTACACAACCACTTTTGATTTTCCCCCAATCTCGGTCTCGGTCTCACCCGGTACCATTCTCGTCTCGGCCATTGCGCTTCCTCTCCGCTCCTCGCCTTGTCGCGATTGCATTGAGGTCAGAGTGACCAGGAAGATCTCCTAGAGTGTTCATCGAGGCTATCTAGGTTCTTGCGAATTTCCCGATTATCTGGTGAATCTGGGAAAAAAAGAGTGGAGAAAGCATCGGAAAGGTGCAAGGCCACGAACGTCGCAGCATCCGGTCCTCACACTAGCCCACATCAGATATTGTCTTATCTGACACTTCTCCGACTCCGCGCGCGTGTTCCGGGCAACATCCCCGCCGGTAAACTCGCCCTCGATGTTTAGCAACCGGTAAGTGCTGCGTGATAGCCAAAAAAATAAAAAAAATATAAAAAAATATAAAAAAAAAGGTTTGGTGGTCTGGAAACAATTGTCAATTGCTAACTGTCTTTCTTTGTGTAGAAAGAACTCCCAGAAGCCTGATGACGAGCTCATCAGCCGGTTCCAGCGTACCTTTGGAGATGTTGTACCTCGAAGAGACCCCAACGAGCAAGGACCAGGTCCCCTCAACGAGGGAGCGGGTGATCCAATGATGCCTGCAAGGTACGCACTTCTCGGTTATTCCAGGGCCGCCGCTGACGAGCCGGCATTCGGGGACAGAATGATGGAGACTGGTGAAATGAAATTTCCCGCCCAACAACAACGCACGCCGCGCAATCTCATGGACCTGAACCTCACGCCCTCGTTTATGGATCCCGAATCGCTGAATATGATGAATTTCGCTGGCCAACACCCGGGCTTCTACACTCCGAACTCTGGTGGAATGGGCGCATTATGGCACAGCCAGGCCGGCGACTTGCACACACCGACCCTGGGACTGAATTCAATGACGCCCCTGTCTCTGCCGGTTGCAATCTCAGGCGTGCCGCCTAATACTCAGAGCACTGTGGGACAATACAACCCACAACTATACGCCCAACAAATGCCGGGCATGAATATGTATGCGCAGGCTCAGCAACAGCCGTCCTTTGCGCCCAGCGCATTCATGCACCGCGGTGACTCTGGTTATGACCCGATGGACGAAACTACCGATACAAGTGAAATGCAAATGGATACGGCATCGAGTATCACTGGCTCTACAGATTTGTCAGGCCAGGTGGACATGTCGTACGCGAATCCGTCCGGTGAAAAGTGAGTTTCGAGAAAGCGCCCACAATAACCCTACTTCCTAACTAACGTCCCCTTCCCCAGATTCCGCTATAATGTCTCCCTCCGTGCTCCGACGGCCATGATCAAGGACGCGAAGGAAATTCCCATCACCTATCTCAATAAAGGCCAAGCGTACAACCTTACAGTAATGGACGCAAACCCGCCGCTGATGAGCTCGCAACCCGTGCAATATCGAACCTACGTTCGCGTCTCCTTTGACGAAGAAGAGCAGCGCTCAAAACCATCCACGTGCTGGCAGCTTTGGAAAGAGGGGCGGGGTTCCAGCGAGTCCCACCAGCGCGGTGGCAAATTGCTGGCCGTTGAATACGTTGACCCGCTTCAGGGCGGCGGCGAAGACCCTAAGCACCGTCAGATCCATGTTGAGCATGCCTCTTTCGATGGCTTCGTCATCACATGGACGGCCAATCCGGCCACTGGTACCTCCGACTGCTCTATTCCTGTGCGATTCAACTTCCTCTCGACCGATTTCAGCCACTCTAAAGGTGTGAAAGGCATTCCGGTGCGGCTCTGCGCGAAAACGCAGATTCTATCACCGGGAGACGAAGGGACGGAACCGGAAGTGTGCTACTGCAAAGTGAAGCTGTTCCGCGATCACGGCGCCGAGCGGAAATTGTCAAACGATGTCGCGCATGTCAAGAAAACCATCGAGAAGCTGAGGCAGCAGATTGCGCAGGCTGAGATGGGTGGCGGATTTGGCAAGCGGAAGCGCGGTAGCATCAACGCCGTCAAGGCAACGGATCGTCAGATGAAGGTCAAGCACAAGCGGACGTGGTCTAGTTCACAGGATGGGCAACCCGAAAAAATGTCCTTGGAGGACGATCTGCACGCCAAGCTTGCCATGATGGAGGCCATGTTTTCATCGACTCGTTCTGTCAGCAGATTGAGCCTGCGCGGTGAAGATGGTGATGATCCCGATATGTACCCGGTCCGGTTACCACGGGAGTCGAACGGCGACACTGTCAAGGTGGAGTTCTTAGATCGCCAGAATACAGGTGGATCGCAGCAGTCCATGGAGTCCTTTATTCTTTCTCCGAGCAACAGCAGCGGATCCTTCAACTCGCCTCGCATGGCTCTAGCTCAATTGAAGAACCATCCCGTCACCGTCCAGAGAACCGTAGCCGGCGATCCGTCTATGTCGGCAGGGTGCATCGAGGCCATTGATATCGACCCGACATACCGACCACCAGCCGAACGGCCTCACAAGCCAATTGCCTGCTTCTACGTGCGGTTTTCCGGCACCGAAACACACCCGCGGGACTACTACCGCGCCGTCTACCTAACCGAACGCACTGTCCGAGACTTGCTGCGCAAGATCTCCGAGAAGCAACACATCGATCCCTCGCGCGTGGTCAACGTGTTGCACGTCAATCGCAACGGTCTTAAAATCATGATGGATGACGACGTGGTCCGAGAACTCCCCGAGGGCCAAGACATGGTCGCCGACATCTGCGAAGCTCGCAGCCCAAATGGCACCGATGCTGACGCCGATACCACGGGCGTCGAGATCAATTTGACGTACTGATGATCTGCCTCTCCTTCCTTAGCGTCGCCTCTCCTTGCCTCCAGCAGGACACTTTCGTCTCTCGGGACGACGAAGCACACGACTCTACTTTTTGTTTCCTAATTTTCCCTTTGTCCATTGGGCCTGGTGGTTCTTTTATAACTCATCATTTTGAGGGCGTTGATTGCGGAGATAATACACGAGTCTCCGAGCAATGATACCCTGTCACGATATGTTTTTGTCTTTATTGTGAGGTTTTATTTGTTTTTCTCTGTTTATTTCGCGCCGCACCAATGAGGCGTCATCATTCCCAACGACGGTAAATGAGTCGGAAGGGCCATGGAGCAATTTTTCTTTGGCATGTCAGATTTGTGTGTGAGAAACAGGGACGAACGAAGTACACGACGTTGATACCCCGTTCCGAATCGATTATTTATCTTGTTCTGTTTACTGTCTGGATGTTCATTCTGCATGTAATGGCCTGTGGACTAGCGGAGAAGCATTGCAAATCATCTTTTTGGACTGGATGCATAGGTACAGAATACGATGGACCTGCTGGCACCCCCTTACTTTGGAATCCTCGCCTTGCCTTAACAGTAGGTGCTCCGGCACATAAAAATTCAATTACAGGACTACATACATCTGGTAAGGCCTCCAACAAAATCCTACTTGCCTAATGCTTGGCATTTGGAGCAAGAACGGCTAGTAATCTCCGTATTCTCAAACGGGTTCGTTCATGCGAGCAAGCGAACGCAAACGCGACAGATCTTTTTCTGCGGGGTCTCAACCCTCTACTTTCTAATTCCCACGGAATGATTCTTCTCTCGCGTTCTGTTTCATTAATCTCCGCCAGTCAGATCCCCACGGTGACATAACAACCAGATAAACTAGGGGTCTTGTTGCTAAAAACAGCCTGAAACGTCCATTGGCTGGGCCACTAGCCCATGGCCTGTCAGCTACCAAATGGACGTGCCGGAATCATCCGGGTATGTTTTACGGTTGCGTCGGGAACTCTTAATTGGACGACTGCCAACCATGGGCGGACTCCGCCGCATGCTGTATTATTTCCACTGTGGGGGTGGGTGTGGCACGATTTCTGGGTGGAGCGTTCGTTTTCGCAAACTTATATTCGCCTTCCTATTTCAACGGTTTTTTGGCTTTTTTGTCGTATGATCAGACCTCCCCGTGGGTGGTCGAGTTCTCCAATACCGACGGAGGAGTCAGTGGAGTAAAAAGTTAACGGGGGACAGTAAAATTGGAATTACGTACGTATAGTTAATGAATAAATACCATGTATGATATCATGACTTCGATTTAATTGGCTGGGAAACTACTCCCCGGTAGTGGACCATCCCCCTCTTGGTCATGATTCAAGCCAGACAACTAGCCCACAGTCTCCTGAGTCGAGAACGATCTTTGGTCTGTCGATCGCCCTGCGACCAGTGGGGCCTTATTCACACCTCCACTGCCCGCTCTCCCAGTCAGATGTGATCCAACGACAAGAACATTTTGGAGGCTATATGGATTCATACTATCCTACATCATAACATCCCACCCATGACACATTCACAGCACTCCATGATCCCATCTCCCAGTCCAACGAGCCGGAGGTGACTTAGTCATGCCCCACCACTTCCAAACGACGGCTCGTCCCGTTATCGAGCTCACGATGCCCAGTTTGGTCTAGCGGGTTTTGTTATTTCCCGGTACGTCCACGAAAAGCGGTTGGTTTTGATTGGTTCTGGTATGCCATCGTTTACGGGTTCCCCGATAGAAGAATTAGGTCCCATTCTGATTGGACCGTCGCGGTCGCGGTCTAGTCGCTGTGCACTGCCGAAATCGGGAATTTGCTATGGGCCCTCAATGAATGGGCTGGGGTGAGTGGGTTTTTTACGTAGTTGTAACTACCTATCGGAAGGTATTGTGGATGGGAAGGCTGTCTGTCAATCTAGATTTGGGTTGGCGTGTAGTTTAATTCTACATGACTTGAACAGAGCCGCGTGCCTTGAGCCTGACCTTTTATTTCCAGTAACAGCTGAGTCGACCGTCTGCTCTCTGCGGTCGAGATGCTGGCAATAAGTTCGTCTTTTATACTTCTACTACGAGAGATAAACCTGGCGCAAGGTGGCTAACCATGTGCCCATCGTGGAAGCATCTGACGAGGGATGGAACATCATGAGTAGAGGTTTCCATTCAGAACAATCTAAAGCATTAACTTGTTATAGACGGATATTACTACTTCCAGGCTCAAACATATATACTCAGGAATATCAACTTGACATATAGATATATCACCAAGTCCACTGCCCTTGTTTCTGATTGCACAGAGCCAGTCCGTGTTGCTTTTGCCTACCGTTTAGCCCTAACCGTCTGGCACGTGCCCCCTCGTGCCTTCCATACTAGCAACAACAGAGTCGCACCTGCCCTACTATGCAACTGTGCCAGCCCTTCATCTTTTTCTTGTTTTGTTTTTCTCTTTCTTTCTTTCTTCTTCTTCTTCTTCTTCTTCTTCTTCTTCTTCTTCTTCTTCTACCTTCCTCTCTCCACCCTTTTCCATCAACTCCCGCTTCCCCTTCGTCTCCATCCTCTTTCGTTCCATCAATCTTCAAGCTTCTGCGTAACACTCGTTTCAAAATGCCTTCTCTCGGCACTTTCTCTCTCGTCGGATGGCTTGCCATCCTGCTGTTCATGTTCACGGGCATCTTTGGTAAGTTTTGTCGTCCTTGACAAAAATGCTTCATCAACTTGATAACACTGACCCGTCCTCGCGTCTATCAGATGCTGGCTTCCTGGTCCCCGGTGCTTTCGCTATGGACACCAATGCGGTCGCTGAACGTGGTGGTAAGTTTCTCTCGGCGTATTTTTGGGTTCTCGGCGCGTTTGTCTTTTTGTTCATGTTGATTTGACCCTGACATGTTCTGCTTCTTACAGTTGAGAACCTGCCTTACCTGGCCAACCACCTATTCGCCCGTGCTGGTATATTTATTCTTCCCTTTTCAACCCTTGTGAACAAAGCTGATAGAGGCCAGAAACTGTGACTGTCACTGTGACTGAGTGCGAGCCTACCTCCACTCTGACGACTATTGAAATCTCGTTGCCTCCTTTCATTATCCCGGGTACAAGCCCTGTCTCTGCTCCTGAGGGTGGCATTTCCACTGTTCACATCACTCTTCCCACCACGGTCCCTACCACTGTCTCTGGTCCTGGAGGCATCTCGGCTGTTCACATCACTCTTCCCACCACGGTAGCTACCACTATCTCTGGTCCTGGAGGCATCTCGACTGTTCACATCAGTCTTCCTGGCCCAGTCACAACCACTACTGTGTCTACTCCTGAGGGTGGTATCTCTACTGTTCACTTCACTATTCACCCCACTGGTGAGGTGCCGACCACCTTCAACACCGCTGTCCACCCTATTCCTCCTGCCGAGACAGTCGCCCGCAGCAGCAACGACACTGAGTCTGTGATCCCGCTGCACTCTATCAAGACCACTGGTGGAGTGACCCTCGCCAACAGCACCCAGGCTCCCTCGGCTTCTGCCCACCCCAACCGTGCTTCCCTTGCCAAGGGCATCCACAACCACTCGGTTCTTATTCTGGCTGTCGGTCTCGCTTACATTATGTGAGGTCCTCCTCGATTGGATCCATCCTTCCTCTGCGATAACTTGACGTGTCTTCGCCATCTTCGTATCTTCGTGGATATGGACTACGTTCTGGTCTTCTTTCTGGACGATGGATCATACCCTGGTCAGGAGCTGGAGTTGTTTCTGGTGTGTTTCGATGAAATCGATGATGATAACTTTGTTTTGTTCTTCTACTTCTGAGATGGGGTTTGATGCAGTGGCGGCTTGTTCTGCTTAGCTCCCCCTGACCTTTCAATGTTTCTATCGATACAGATCCTAGTGGCAGCTCTGTCTGCATAATCTAGCCTGATATCACTTTTCAAAATAACTTGATGCCTCTGTACAGGTAGAATCTACTCTGAGTAGTATGCAAGTCTACTCTACCCAACCTTTGTGGCGATGGTACGTTTACAGCTACGGCAATCCAGAGAGATCTTGGAGATGAAACATGCATTGCCATGCACAAGTCACTGGCTGGATGTCTATTGCGAAGCAGTCACAGGACCTTCAAGTGAGTAGCGATACAATGACCCGCTTTGTCCAAACAATGCATGTACTCGCCGATGGTGGGTCAGCTCAGCCACGGACATGAGTAGTTAATTAACTAGTCAACTTTCTAATAGTTAAATGGTTTGCATAGTTTAGTAAACTTGCCTATCTCGAAAAAACATGGCACCTGGATCGGTTGTTCCAGATAATCTCCATTAAGTGGGGAGGGTAGTATTTGCACCATCAGCACAAACGCCCTTGACACTATCTACTAGTCCCGGAAGGGAGACCTTATGCAGGGCCACAAAACCGAAGGTATGAGATGGATTGTATTGGGGTATCTCCAGAAAACAAAAAGATGATGGTTGTATACACGAGTATGTGAAGATGTGAAGCACGAAGCGGAGTGGACACGAAAAGAGGAACCTCACACCATGCCCTAGCCTTCCAGGGCCTCGATCTTTCTTGTGAGAGTGCAAATACGACACCCATCGCCGATCTTGTCGCGCAGAAGTCGTGCAGTTGTCACTTTCGGGCCGACGGTGCGTGATACGGTGGTGGATGATGGGGATTCGTCATGAGAAGGGGTAGAGATGTCCTGGTTTGGTGGTTCCTGCTGCTGCTCCTCCTCTGTCTCCGGATGTAGGTGGGATAGATGGAAGACGTGACCGCAGGCAAAACCAATGAGGATTTCTCGTTCTGTATTACATTACATTAGCCACGGGCAAAGCAAAAATTGGAGTTGGCGGGTATGTACCGTTGGGTTGGAAGGGGGCGTGGCAGCCTCCACATCTTCCCGGTTGGAGGGCACCAGTCGGTTTCTTCGATGCACCGGGTTGTGGCTCTGCGTGTTGGTCCTGCCTCTTTACAGCCCCGTTTGGAGCATTCCCTTCGTCGTGGACGTCATCGTCGATAATGTCGAACTTGATTCCTCGGCGCTGTCCCTTCCGCAAGGCATCCATCCCCAAAGCGACCTCACTCTGCAAAATCCGAGCAGCGCCTTGGCTGATGCTGGCCTGCAGGTCGTGTTCACGGATCAGTCGAGTGAGACCCTCCGTAAGGCCCTCGATCTCAAGGCCGCTCGGGATCCGGCGCACAAGCTTGATCGGGTCAATGGCTGTTCCAGCTTCGACAAGCAGGCCGTGAATAAATCGCGGCTTGTCCATCGAGTAATTGAGCAGATCTTCCCAGAGATCTGGGTCATTCTGGGACTTTGCAAATGAGATGGCCTGGGAGACGTCTTTCAGATCCGACAAGATCAAGTTCAACGCTCGCTTTGTCTGGCCCATCTTGGACAGTAAATAGATCAGTCCCTGGGTGAAGTGATAACGTTCGCAGATGGAAAGGGCAGTATCGAAAGAGTAAGAGACGCTTGTTTGCAGGAACTCCATCAGTAAGGGCTGGTCCTTCTCGACAAAAATCTCAACTGCCGTGTCGGCGAAATTGTCGATCAACGCCTTGCCCTCATCTGCAGCCAGTTTGCTGGCTGCATCGCGAGCGTGGGCCCCATGACCTCGTCGTGGCTTGGCCACCTCGTGTGGAAGTGACTCGCCGCGCCATAAAGCGCGAAGATAGAAGTAGAGGAACAGGCGTTTATCTGCGGCCTGAAGCTGTGACACCACGGTTTCCGGACGGACGATACCCGTGTATGCTTCACTGACAAGCAGTTTGATAGACTCGGCGGTTGCCTCTTCGAGTTCAGAGACCGGAGCATACTTCATTTGCTCTTTGGAAACGCGGATCATGATAAAAGCGGGAATGTCGTCAGAAACAGCGTCAAGCAAGCGGTGGGTCCGGATCAAAGACATGGCTGCATTTGCATCTTGCAGGCGAATGTAGCAGCGCAACGCTTCACGGTAGTGACCACCAGCCAGGAACAGTTTGGCAATGCAATCCATGAGAATTCGCCAATCTCCGGATTCAACAGGCACCGATCCCGAGTTGAGTTGTTCTTCGATAGCCATTGTCACAGTGTTGACATCAAACAAGTCAGCAGGCCATGTCTCAACCAGCTCTTTGAACCGCTGAAGGTCTCGAGAAACGTAATGGCTGAGAAGGGCTTCGTAGATAATGGGAGGAAGCAGTGGATGTAGATCAGCCGGGATGTATGGTGTGATCTCATCCTGTTTGTTCTTCTTGATAAATGCCCATGCCCAATGTTCCCATCGTGACGCACTGCGCAATACTTTACCACAAACTTGGGCAGCTTCGCTCCATTTCTCTTCGGCAACAAGCTGATCAATCCAGTGCTCCCCTAGCCGAGCCTTTTCCTGCTCTGCTGCAGATACTTTCGCTCGACCAGCACCCGTGATTGATGATCGATCATCAGCAAAGAAGTCACCCAGGCTAGAGTGTGATTGGGCTGCTTCAGCTGCCGCTTCACTGAGATCGGATATAGTGCCTGCAGCTTCAGGATGCTCATCAACAAGATGCCATGCTTCTTCGTAACGTCCATGAGAATCTAGCCATGATAACCGATCCGCCAAATCCCTCTTCACAGCAACGACGCAGTCATATGGGCTGTGGATGAAAATCTTGGCGCCCGGCGCACCCGCAACATCTTGGACTTCCTTGGGAAGAGACTCGTCGCTTGAGAGATTTCGAGAGGCAAAAGACGGCGGGATTCTGCCAGATCCCTTGTCACCACTACTGGTGGTGCTGCGGATGCTGTTAGCAGAGCTGAAGAGTCGTGCAGAGTATATGGTGGCGTCCCAGAGGCCATAACCAAGGGTCCCAAGCGCGCCGCGCTGGACTACCTGACCTTCAGGGGTCTTCCACGGAGGGAGGACGCTCAGATGATAGTCCGATGAAGAAAGTCCCTCAAAGCGACTGACAGACAGCGTATCAGCACTGAGTTCTTCCTTCGTTTCAATGTCAATAACTCGGAGTTCAGGCTCTAGGGCTTTTTGTCGACGACGACCGGTGCCTTTCTTGGTCTCTTGGGTGGAATCGCTGTCGGCTTCTGTGTATGCAAGAACAACAAGGAGGCGAGGCGTGTACAGCGAAATACCAGATACCACGCAATCCGTCCGTAAACTAGTCTTTAGTTAGTACTTGCCCAATCGACCACGGTGCACAACTCACATCGTGGCAACCTCTGCAGATCCGTATCTCTCGCCCTTGGAGGCCTTGCTTGCGCGGTCAGGGTACACATCAATCACCCAAACGGTACCTCCCCAGCCAACAACCAACTTCTCACGCTTTTCGGACGGCATGACTGACTGCGTTTCACTGCGGGAAGCAGTGTCGGTAGCATCGAGATTGTCGTGGCTGTCTAATGCAGATGTGTCGATCCATTCGGCACGCGCCTTCCAGACACTCGCCATCTCATCCCAGCCCGGGCGGTTGGGACGATCGATATGGCTAATCCGCTTCCAGGCAAACTCTGATTGGGAAGAATCCAGATGCAAATTGGAGCGCATAATCTTGATTCCTTCTTCGTTCACCCAGGTAACATATTTTCCAGACGTAGACCACTTGACAGTGCTGATAGCACCTTCTCCGCTGTGTAAAATCGTGTCTTTGCCGCTACTAGAGCCCAGTCCCATCGACCCCAGCCAGCTTGACGCAGTCACAGCTGCACCGCCCATTGTTGTTGAGTTGGAACTTGTGCCGACACGACCGCCTGTGGTCAGAATCAATTCACCGGCTCGGCCACCAGAAATAAAAGTCCTGTCGCTTTTGTAATCTGGAGATAAAGCAACTGATTGAACCGGACGACCGAAATTCCGCAACAGCACATCCTTGGAGTCCACCAGCGACGAGACGCATACGTTGCCATCAATGGATGAGGTCGCAATATAAATCGAGTTCGACGGGGTCGGCGGGATGCTTGCATTGTGGCCTGTCTTTGATCCACGGATACTGCTCGCACTCATGGATGATCGGGTCGGCGGGGCATGCTCCTCGGCAGGTTGTTTGCTTGCAACATCGGACTTGAGGCTTGGCAGAGGAGGCGGGAACGGCGATATAGATATGGAAGTGACACTAGCCGAGTGCGCATGGTAGATGCGGAGAGACTGTAGCAGAGGCAGTCCTAGCACATGCTTGACAAGGTCAGCTCATCTGTAGTGGTTGGCGTTGGTGTAAAGAACTCACAATATTGCCGTTATGGGTGCCGACGATCTAGACAGAGAGTGTTAGTCCAAATTCCAGCTAGATATCGGGCGGATAGCGCACCATCTTATCTCCTGCGGTGAGGAAGGAGCTCGTCGCATCCCCATTGCGGTATACCGGCTTCAGGTGCTTGGTGAGATACGCATATTTAAGCCTGGGCTCCTCCTCATCCTCCTCATCTGAGTCTTCCTCATCTTCCTCCTCGTCTGCCTGGCTGTCATCACCGACGTTGGAGTCATCGTCGCTCCCCTGATGACGTCGATCCAGCTCGTTGGGGGTCGTGCTCGTCGGGGACTTGCTACGCGCAGCAGAGCGGGCTTGTTTGGTCTTGTTCGAAACGGCTTGACTCGCCGTCTTCGTATCCGGCGCATCCATTGAGAGAGAGACCCTTTCAGCGCCCGGGACTCCCGAGCGGGTTGAAGTGGAATGCCACCAGCGCGTCTTTTCGGAGTTGGGGTAGCTGTTGTCATGACTAAGCACATCTTCCCGCGGTCTTCGGATTGATTGATTGACGGGCTTGTCCTGTTCATCATCCTGTCGCCATGTTTGCACGGCCATATGTCTGTTCCTTGTGCAAGCGCTCGACGCCATTGAGGCTCTTGACCCGACCCCAGACGCAACGCTTACACGCCTCCCCGTTCTTGAATCTCCCCCGGCGCAAAGACTTCTTCTCATCCAATGCTCTCTTGAAACAAAAGCAGTCCAGTCAAACCGGTGAAACGCCAGACGAACTGCTCCCAGAATCACAGAAACAACGCAGACGAGGCAGCCGAACACCCGCCGCGCCCACATCCTTGCGACGAGTAGCCGTGGAAGCACAGCGGTCGAGGGATGGATCTCTCTCCAAAGCCCAGCTCAAAGAGCAGGGCTTACATCAGACTAAGGTAAGAATTGCTCTGCACTATATGCTAATGGTTTGCTAATACTTCTCTCTTGCCAATGCAGACAATAACCGCCTATGCCGTAGCCGAACAATTCAACATTCGCAAAGTCCGAGACATTCTCCGCGAGAAGGGCTACGAACCGGACCCGTTGGAAACAGGACTCTATCCGCAAGTTGTTCACGTTCAGATCCCTGTAGACTCAATACGACGCGTGGGGAATCCATCTACGGTTGATCTCTCTCCAGAGGAAGTTGGCGATGTCTTTGTTTTCCCGTCTGGCACCGTCGTGGCATGGTCTCTCCCGGAGGGCTTTACCTCGTTCTTGGCTACGCGGACCCTTCTCCCGGCCGCCGAGGGCGCACACACGGAAACCCTGGAGACAGAGGATCTGGAGTATGTCGAGGACCCCAAACGGGACAACAGTACCATCAAGGGAGACAGGATCATCCTGGGTACGCACACCGGGCACGAAGGACCGGAAGCATCATCATCAAGGCAACAGTCCATCGACACCGTTCTGACCAAAGTGGCATTCTCATCAGGATTAGCTAGAAGCACCAAACTAGCCGTTCTCGAGAGTCTGTTGGCGAACTATTTCGAATCGACCCGGGCGATTCCCACACTGCTTTCGCATGGCTCGCGCCTCCCTTTTACGCGAGACTTTATTCTCCGCAAAACCGGGCAGCTCCTCAGCGTGCGCGCGCAGCTGAATCTCTACTCCGAGCTGACGGACTCTCTTCCGGACATTTTCTGGGACAGTCGGCATGAACTCGGCCTGGAAGGCTATTATGAACAAGTCGGACGGGCTCTGGATGTAGGGATCCGCATCAAGCTCTTGAACGAGAAGATGGACTATGCGCAGGAGATTGCGAGTGTGCTCCGTGAGCGACTCAGTGAGACACATGGGCTGCGGTTGGAGTGGATCATCATCCTTCTGATCGCGGTGGAAGTGGGATTCGAAGTGCTGCGGTTGTGGAAAGAAAGAGTCCAGGAGACGGAAGAGGTGGCACAGTCTCGGGAGACGTAGTTTAGCCTGACTAGTTCATCTGATCAATGTGGGCAACTCCGGGAGTATGTAGATCTATCGATAAGCTATCAGCTGATGAGATCACCCGCTTAGTCAGGGGCACGTGTATCATGAATGCGAGTCATCCCAGATTCTCTTTTGTTATAGACGCGATCGATGGCTCGGGGATTGGTCTGATTTTGCATTGACTCGCTGAACTGCCTTCACTAGACGTGGTTGCGCCCGACACAGCTTAACCACCATGTGGGGATCCGATCAACAACCCCTGCGGGGGCTTCCAGGCCCCCAGTCCCTTCTCAAGACCTTGGCCGGCTCACTGGGGCTGTCCTCGCTCTCAAAGCCAGAAACGCCGCCACTGGACACCGCATCAACCTGCTCTCGCTCAGACTTAAGCTGCTACACCAAGTATAATGGCCAAGATACCTGCTGCTTCAACTACCCGGGCGGCCAATTCCTGCTGACCCAGCTCTGGGACTTTGACCCAGCACTCGGTCCAGATGATTCCTGGACAATACATGGGCTCTGGTGAGCAATATATTATCACTCCCGAACATGCAGAATTAACGCACCCTAGGCCGGATCATTGCAACGGCGGGTTTGACCAGTTCTGTGACTCGCGCCGGAGCTACAGTAATATCTCACTGATCCTCGTCGACTCCGGTCATGGGGATCTCGTGGATTACATGGGCGAGTACTGGAAGGATTTCCGCGGTGATGACGCCAACCTGTGGCAGCACGAGTGGAACAAGCACGGTACCTGCATCAGCACCCTGGAGACGCGGTGCTACGAAGGCTATATGCCGCAGCAGGAGGTGGTTGACTACTTCGACAAGACCATCGAGGTTTTTAAGACATTGCCTTCATACCAAGTTGGTTCCCCTTTTTGACATACCCCTCTTAATTACTAACCATCATCTATCTAGGTCCTCGCGGATGCAGGGATCACTCCATCTCATACCCACACATATGCTCTGGACGATATAGAGGACGCCCTGGAGAGATTCCATGGTGTTCCAGTGACAGTCCGCTGTCGCTACCACTCTCTGAGCGAGATCTGGTACCACTTCAACGTAGCAGGAACTCTACAGACCGGGAAGTTTGTTCCCGCAAAGCCAGGTTCGTCAGTCCACATATAATGCAGTCTTCTGGCGTCTGGATTAATTCTCCACCAGATGGCCAAACCTCCAACTGCCCTGCCAGAGGCATCCGCTATCCACCAAAACGAGTTCAGAATGAGCCAACCAAGACAACAACCGGTCATTCTGAGCCGACAGCAACAGGGGTTCCGTTTATGGGTAAAGGACACATGATGGTCTCACGTTTAAACCAACAACGCGGGTGCATTATTAGCTACGGGACATGGTTTGCGTCTGGAACGTGTGCCACTTTCCGGGCAGAGAAGGGTTCGGGTTAGTCGTGCCATTTTCTCTCTTTTTTTTTCTTTTATATTCGACGCTAATGGGCAACTACATCAGGGGATACATTCACGCTGACCTCTAGCAAGGGACCTTGCAGCTTTGAAGAAGACATCTTGAACTGCGGCCCTCACGTCGATGCTCCAGAAGAATTTTCTGTGCGTCTTTCTACCCTCATTGTATTCAAGTGTGCTTTTCTTATTTACTTTCTGTGCAGGTCAAGGATGGGAAACTCAGCTACATGGGCAACACGACCTTCTTCGCCGACAAGGCACCAAAGGGCCATGCGCAGAGTCAAGTCTTTGCCTCGCATGAAGATCATCCGATTGAGATTGAGATCACCTGGAAGTCGCGGGAGTCGATGCTTTGACGGGCTGGCTTTTACTTGTCGTGACTAACGGCGCCATTTGCCATCGACTGATATTGCCGAGGCAAGGGTCTGTGGAACTCTCAGTAGACCTAATGGCAGTAGTATCTCTGGTAGTAACTGGAAGCTCTTGAGTAACGTTTCTTATATTCAAATTCCTCCTCTATCTCTCAATAGTATGGAGAGACTGAACACCAATCTCCCCTGTCTCCCCTGGACTCAAATTCACAACACCCTAGACACTAGGTTCAATTTACAAGACAAACTACTGCAAGAAGAAGGAATGAAGCAAAAAGGTGGGTTCAATTCAAAAGAGTGTGGGTCAAGAAGTGAAGTCGAAGTGAAGAAGAGCCCCAGCTTGGAAAATGCAAAGGTCTTGGGCAAATAGGTATACGACCAGCGTATACCATTATATGACAAGAATGGAAATTGGAAGATACTCTTGTATCATGGACAGGACAGCATCACATGCATCATCCAAGGAGACCCGGTAGAGTCTCTCTTTTTTTCACTTAGATGAAGTGGTGCAAGGGCAAGAACGAACGCCTTCTGGTAGTGCCGTGGCCCTCGCCATTGTGGTGACCGTGGTTGTGGCCCTCGCCCCAGTGGTTGCCGTTGTTGCCGTCGTTGTCGGGGGAAGCAGTGGAGGAAGCCGTGGGAGTAACGGTCCCGCTCTACGGAGAGAGTTATTATACATAACACGTGCAAATAGGGTGGAGGGTACTTACCACAGTGACTGTTTGGACAGAGACAGAGGTCACGGTAACGGTGGCCGGGTTGCAAGCACCGGGGCTGCTGATAGCGGAGGCGCTGGTAACAGGAGCGCTGGTGGCAGGAGTGCTAATGGCGGAGCTGCTGATAAGAGGAGTGCTAGTAGCAGAACCGTTAATGACAGGAGTGCTGATGGCAGAGCTGCTGATAACAGGAGTGCTAGTGGCAGCAGTTCCGAGAGTGATAGTCTCAGTCTAGACAAACGATTAGTACAGATAACCAGCACAGCCAAGCTAATACATACCACCCAAATAGTGTGTCCACTGCTAACAGTCGGGACGACAGTAGTAGTCACATCCGTAGCTGCAACAGAAGAGGTAACGGCAGCAGTTTCAGTCTAGGAAACAGTTAGTTCGGATCCCAAACACAATCAATCGAATACATACCACCCAGACGGTGTGGCCGTTGCTGACTGTCTCGACAAATGTGATGGTTTCAGTAGTGGCTGGAGCACCAGAAGCGGCAGGAATAGTCTCGGTCTAGGGAATTATTAGTTTGGTCCGCCAACACAAGTGCGCTTCCAATCCAATACATACCACCACAGCAGAGTCAGCGGCAGTAGCCGTCTTATGGATAGTAGTGGTAACAACCCTGGTCGAGGTGCCAGCACCGAGAGTGTAGGTGATAGTCACATCGGCAGCGTTCGTATAGCTCGGGCTTAATGTGCTAGAGCTCGGGACGCCGGTGCTAAGGGGAACACTGATAGAGCTGTTTCTCACCTGCGAGGGCGAAACGATAGGCGAGACCACACCGGAGGACACCACTGCAGAAGATGACAGCTTTGTCGGGGAGGCTGCGACTGGCGAGCTGATCGCACTCGAAGAAACAATACCAGACGAGGCGGTACTAGGGGATACTGTCACGACCGATGTGCTGATCACCCGGGAAGAGGACGCACTACCAGACGGAGTAACAGTAGACATTGCTGCAGCCGATGACGGGAGCTTCGAGGTCGAAGAGGCCACCCGAGTTGAGTTTGGAGACAAGGTCGGGGTGACAATGACAGCAGACGAGGACACTGCGGTTGGAGTAACCTTCACCGTAGGGGCCGAATTGGTTCCATAGAAGGTTTCCGTGCCGTAGAAGGTCTCGGTGCTGTACCAGGTCTCGATACTGATGGATTCAATAGGCCGGTTGTTGCGGGCGCGCAGACCCCAGGGACTGGCATCGCTAACGGTAGCCAAGGAAGCCAACAAGGCAACCGTGAAGGTTTTCAAATGCATTTTCCCCCTTTTCTGGTTGGTAGTCGCAACTAATGAGAGCTAAAGCTCAAAGGGCTTTCAAAAAGAAACAAGTCGTTTGGAAATGAATGAGATGCAAATTCAATTTGCAAGAAAAAGAGGGAGAAGAAGATCTCTGATACAGAGAAAGAAAAAAAAGAATTGAACACAAGCTTCAAGCTTGGAGAAAGAAACAACAGAAGGCAATGATCCAGATATTTAACTCATTTGTCTCTACGTTGTATAACCCTTAATCAAATCACGGTCCTCGCCGACATTTCTATTCTGGTGTTTGAGTGGAGCCTTTGTCAGGTCGCCGATATATTGGAAAGTGCTTTAGTAATGTTGTCTAGATAATAATTCTGGGTCCTGTGGCTATGTACCGTGATCAAAAATTAATCTAGCTATGTCCCGCCATGTGCATGGCTCGGAATCTTGGAACTCACAGAGAACCTTTATCTGACCATGACGTGTCATTCACCTGCATTCTGACTAGTCGTTCGAGTGCGCAAATGCCGAGTACCAGGCTTCTTAGCCGGTGTCGTCCCACTATTGTGTTTTTTAAGTTTCACTGCGCGGATCTAGACCGGCTGAATGATCATCTTCACTCACGGGTGAAACTGGATAAGCTCAGACGTTTGTTTCAATATGGACTCGATCTATCAATGCTATCCTTGCAGATATCCCGAGTACGGTGAAAGCCTCCGAAAGGACGGTTGCATAGACGTGTGCAAAGTCTGAACATGATGGCGGGATAAATTTGAGGCAGTGTCTGGGCAGCTCGGGCTCCGAATGTTTCGGCGAGCTTTTCCTTCAGGATGCTCTTGACCGTTTCTGAAGAATCTCTATGGAAGCCTTGCCGCTTTGTGAATCCCTTGGCGTCAGAGTCGCATTTCTCTGCAAAATCAAAGAAAGCATATAGTCTTGGCTCGTCGGACACATCGACAAGCTGAATAGGTGCATCACCGAGGAGTCCAAATAAGCCTGTTAGTGCGGCATTCTGAAACGTGGTATGCACCACAATAATACGCATTGCAATAGCCCCATGTTGTAGTTTCTGCAAGGCCCCAACCCTGTCTTCCATGTCTACCTCTCCATCAAAATTATTATCAAGATAATCAAACATAAAAGACCCCCTCCCCCCAACCTGAGCCGCATTCCATGCGAGATGGTCAAGCGCACTGCCGTCGCTCCAAAACTGAGGTTCGTAGCAAGGAGTCCAATTTAGGTGGATTGAATCTCGAGAGGGGTCGATCCATAATCTTTTTAGCCGAAGGCTACATTTCCATTGTGCATCTGGAGGCGCCTCCCTATTACGACAGTGGCTAGCTTCAGAAGCAATCAGGCGTGATTCGCGACATACCCGGCTGATGACCGGCGGGTGTCGGTTGATATCGGTTGTTTGCTGTAGCTTGCACGGCGGCGGCGTGAGAAGTAAATAGGCGCCCTCGTCCCACGCATTGTCTATTTCTACCACACGGTGTGGAAGGCATTCCCGCCAGATGGCTAACCGCAACTCGGTGGGAAGCTGGGGGAAGAAACGAAATTCTTGGTCACTGTTGTTTTCCATTTGATGAAGTCGGTGGGTGATGTGTGTTGGAAACTTCTGGTTCTTTGGCTCGCCCTTTCCTGTTCTAGATCCACGAGAGTCTGAGCTCTACGGGGGCTGGGAGGAGCCAAGAGGATGCTGCTACAAGTCTTTCTGAGACCCGCTTGGGGATGCGGAGCCGACGGAAAATGATGAGAAAGGTCAGCTTAGAGATGAAGTGGGGTTGGACGGATTCATCTAAATTAAGGTCCTTACCCAGGGGTCCAGAACAACTGCCTTCCCGTGCGCCACGTGGGTCCCTTGTTGACGGCATTGCGCTGCCCCCGGCCAAGAAATAGGAATTAACCGTCAGACTTTCGAGGCCTTCTATTGATGTCATCGCTTGTCTCAGAATGTTATTGAAGAAAACCTAGCAACAGTAGGATCCTATGGTTCACCACCGTAATAAGGCGGTTGGTATAGGAATGGTGAATAACAGGTTGTCGACGTTGAGACTAATAGCTATGTTTTTCCCGCTACGGTAGAAACAAAACAACGCTTATTTCCCTTGCCAACAGAAGATCAATTGAAACGAAAGTTAAAGTACAGGCCAGTCATCAACCATATGCGCATCGAAAGAAGCAGATATGAATCAAACAAAATACCCTCGCAGATAGATGTTCACATCTCAAGCATCAAGGTGGTAGGGTAGGGGAGAAATTAAGCGGAAGTGAAGTGATGGAAGAAGAAAGAGAAAAATCAGACAAAAAAAATGAACACTGATCACATCAGAAGAGAAAAAATGGGCATGGAATGGGAAGAACAAGGGGGTAGGGGCAAAATCAAAAAAAGCAGAAAGAGCAGTATCCCGAACTCCTCCCAATCCACCGTGGGAAAGCCGGCCAGTCGAGTCCCAAGTCCCTGAGTCCCCCATGTGCTGAAGTTGAAAGTAAAATGCCAGAAGAAGAAAAAGATGAAAAGCTCCAGACCCGTGCCATGGGTCAGCTCAAGAAAGAATGAGCATTGTAAAAACAAAGCAGAACTGCCGTTCGGCTCTTTTTTTTTTTTTTTTTTTTTTTGCAGAGTCGTGCCCATCGTCAAATTGTACATCGTCCAGTGTGTCGTTGCCAAAGTTGTCACGCCTTTATGGTTGGCCATGCCTTCTATGTCGTCATGTCTTTCGTGAGGAAGAAGAAAACGCCATTGCCCTAACAACCAGCCATAAGGAAAATCTATTCACCCCTGAGAAATGTGTGATGATAATGGTTCAGGGGTCGACGAGGAACTCGTTAGAGAGGTTTTCGATTTGCTCAGACAGAGAATCCTCGCCGAGTGAGCTGAGGCTGGCGAAGGTCTTGTCGTTGTAGAACGACGTGGTGGAGGCAAAGTCAGATGCGTCGACAAACGGATAGGCGCTGGGATAATTCGACATGGACTGGTTGGTCAGAGAGGCAAACTCTTCATCAAAGTCCTCAGCAGAATCTTTGGTGATGAACGGGTCCAGCTCGGAGCCAACAGAATCGGCCAGGGTGGGTGCTGTGTGAGGCGAGGACATGTCGTGAGGCGAGAGAGCCGGGTCACTGTAGAGGTACTCCTTTTTGTACGGCTCTGGCGCGATGCTGGGGTCGTACTGCGAAAGCGCACTCTCGTAAGTAGTTTGACTGAGCTGAGGCGGCGACATGGGCAGCATGTCATCTTCGAACGCAGGAGAGAACGGGCCCGATGGGATATTTCCAGTGCTGTTTCCGGGTGAGGTGGGCGGCGTGTAAGACGACCGTGCCACCGAGTAGCCATTGCCATAGTTGGGCGAGTTGAACATGGGAGCATCATGGTGGACGGGAGATTCGTAGAGCGCCGGAGCATCTTCAAGAGCAGGAGAGCTTCGAGAGGATGAAGCTTCAGTCATGGTCTCGTAATGAGTGGTGGTAGGTGACTGCTGGGCGTCTTTCTGAGCCACACGGCGGCGAGTGCGAGTTGCTTTATCGACGCGAGTCTCCATGTCCGGACGGCTGTTCTTGGGCGGGCGACCTCGCTTGGTCGTCTTCGGCTGGATACCATTGATGCCACCAATGCACATGCCACGCTGACGGTGTCGAGTCAAGGCATCCATGCGGACAAAGTTGGCACCACACGGGCAGACGAAAGGCTTGCTTCCAGCGTGGGTCTTCAGATGGCGCTTGAGGTCGTGGCCGCGAACGAAGTGCTGAGTGCACACGTCACAGTGGTATGGACGGTCTCCAAGGTGGGTTTGGACATGGGACCGGATGTTTTCCTTTCGTCCAAAGCGAGAATTGCAACCCGGAAATAGGCAGTCCCATTTCCCGTCCTGAGCATCGGGGCCGGAGATGTACTGATTGATCTTTTCATTAGAGATCCCCGTCTTGCGGAGGCATGCCTTGACTCGAGCGTCAAGGTCGACCTGGCTCATGGACTCCTCGCAAGCATCCATGTCTCCTTTGATGGGAGAAGATGTAGGGGAGGCGACATGGTCCAAGTCTGAGGGTGTGGGAGAGGCACTTTCAATCTTTTGGGGCGGGATCTGGCATGAGCCCGGGGAGGGCATAGCAGCGAGTTCAGCAAATGCTGGAGCTAGAGGAGAACTGGCAGGGGAGGGCATCTGGGGAGGGAATGACTGGGTTAGGTGTTTGGAAGAGGTTAGATCACTGCTATACATGGATAGATCAAAAGATCTCTTTGAAGGGGTATGACTTGGGGTTAAAGGGAAATCTGGTGAAGGTCAGCGTGTGTAGTCAAAATGACAACAAAGGCACATACAAGAAGAAGAGATGTGAGCATGGGACATTTCCGGGCTATCCTCTGCTTTCACAGAGACGTGATGTCGACTATGTCGTCGAGGCATAGGCACATTCGGCGGCACCCCAACGACACATCGCTGGGGAAACAACTCCCAGTCATCAGTCTCAACATGTGCTTGACTCGGATGCTGGTTTGAGCGCAAGTTACGCCGAAGTCTTTCTGGCTCTTGGTGGATATGGTTTAAGTGTCCATTCAGAGATGCAGTCTCTGAACCTTGGCTCCGGGGCCGAGAAAGACTCGAGGTCATCCTGCTGGAAGTCATATCTCCCACTTGAGCGTGTATCGCTTGCAATTGCTCGTGGGTGAAAGCTTGACATTGATCCCTGACGGTCGTAGGGGTCGGAAACTGATACGTTTGATGAGCAGACAGATCCGTCGGGACAAATTGGCGTTCGGCCACGGGGAAGTAGGCCTGGTTCTGCTGCACAGTGGCCTGCTGGCAAGGGATTGCTGATTTTTCGTTATAAAAGTCGCGAAGCTGCGTGACCGTCTTCGGCGTATTGCGCCTGTCAAGGGCGATTTGGGGACCAAACGAGCCATAGTCGACTGTTTGGCCGCGGCGGTGGCCTCGGTATGGCGGCGCAGCTGTGGCCATCGTTGTCGGAGCTTTGGCCTTGAATGGCGTTGAGTTTTGGCGACGATGGCCCAGGGGTCTCGGGACGACGCTCATCAGGGCTTTGGGCAGCCGATGACAGGAACGGACGGACGGGACGACCCTACAGCAGTGTTAGTCGGTGCACAGTATAACCAACGCGCAACAATTAAAGCAGAAAAACGAAAAGAAACGGAACCGAGAAACTAGGCTCTAGTTCTCTTCAATGGGTTGAGATGGAATATTCCAAGCTCGAGTGTGACACGCGAGAATAGTCAAGGATTCAAATTTGATCCAGTGCGAGGAGAGTTGTGTCTGGAGGAATCCGGACCTTTGAAATGAAGAAGTCCGGACCCGTCTTACGGCGATCTATCTATGGGCTATCAACAATGGGGGCGTTGGCAGGGCAACCGACGCGCCCGAGGCCCAGTTACCCAGCTGTGACGAAGGCGGGCCCACTATTATTGATTGATTTCCTCTGTGCGTTCACTGTGCCTTGCGATTGGAGTTGCTAGTCCTTGATTTCTTCCCGATTCCCGTTCTGCAAGGGCGCTGTCGATGTTTCTGCGAGGAGTTCGCGGGATGGTGTCCGTCGCGCCGCGCCATGGCTGTCGCAATTCCCCGGACGATCGCTTGTGCCGTTCGGCAAAGTAGATAGGCTATCGGTGGGATCTTAGGTCCATCGATTGTCCGGGCCAATGGTTTCCTTGTTGACGACGATGTCATCGACATCTGAAATAGACACCTTAGAATTTGCGCCTGATAAATGAGGCAATAACGGATTATGAATCTTCCCTTCCGGAGGCGGTGTCCCACGTGACCACACAACCCGATTTCCTCGCTAGTCGATTTTTGCCCACACTCGGATTTTCTTCATCTTTCAAGGTTGAGGAAGACAACTTGTCGAGGTGAGCATCCCCCATCCCAAGGTGTGCGAGGCAGACGAGAATGATTACTGCATTTGTTCTCGCTGTCTGTCCCAAAAATCCTCAAAACATCCGCTAACCCAGCACCTCTCCAGGCCTTCTCAAGATGCAGATCTTCGTCAAGACCCTTACGGGTAAGACTATCACCCTCGAGGTGGAGTCTTCGGACACCATTGACAATGTCAAGTCCAAGATCCAGGGTAAGCAAGCCGTTCAGATCAGAAAGATGCCGTGGCTAATGGGCACCCCCGCGATATAGACAAGGAGGGCATTCCCCCGGACCAGCAGCGCCTGATCTTCGCTGGCAAGCAGCTCGAGGACGGCCGCACTCTTTCGGACTACAACATCCAGAAGGAGTCGACCCTGCACCTCGTGCTCCGCCTGCGTGGTGGTGGCAAGAAGCGCAAGAAGAAGGTCTACACCACCCCCAAGAAGATCAAGCACAAGCGCAAGAAGACCAAGCTCGCCGTCCTCAAGTACTACAAGGTTGATGGCGATGGCAAGATCGAGCGTCTCCGCCGCGAGTGCCCGTCCGCCGAGGTATGTTTCTTGTCTCTCTCCGTCATCTCCACTCGCTAATATTATCTTTCAGTGCGGTGCCGGTATCTTCATGGCTGCCATGCACAACCGTCAGTACTGCGGCAAGTGCCACCTCACCTACGTCTTCGACGAGTCCAAATAAATGGACGTTGTTGAGCGGGAGATTTCGTTACGAGGTTCGGGCATAGTGATGCTAGGCTAGGGCATGAGTGATGGGATTGACCGAGTGGTTGATGGTGCGCCTTGTGGTATTATCTCTGAGGTAGCTGTCAATGAAACAAAAAACCAACAAATGCTTGTCCCTCTCCATCGTAGACAAAATTCTTCAATTTGGTTTCGTAGTACAAAGTCATGAAAGGCGCGACATATTCCTGCCTATCCGAACCACCCCTCATTCATTCCGGTATCATCATCCTGGAAATCCCGCGCGCAAATTATCGTACTTGCTATCCGGATAGTCGATCGCGTTCGCCGTCTGATCCAGTGCAGAGAGACCGCCAACGCCGTCGACAAAAGTCCCGACCAAGCTGCCATCCGAAGCATTGGCCGTCTTTCCTCCCTTGTCACCGCTACTTTCCCACCACATACCACCGCCCAACTGACGCTGTGTAACAAAGGAAGCCTTCATCTGCGCCATGGCGACATTGTCGTACGAGACCATCGTGCGGTCTGCGGAACTATAAGACCACGATGCGCCGACGTTCGAATCAACAAGCTCGCTCGCACCGGGTTTCGGAAGCGCCTTGTAGTCCCACACGCCATTTTCCCAGCTGCCCTGGCCGACGCCCGAGAACGGGGTGCCGGGCCCGTCGGTGTTAGTGAAGGCGCGTCCGTACAGCGGCATTCCCAGGACCATCTTTGAGGGTGGAACGCCGCCCTTGTTGATGTAGTGGTCCATCGCTGCGACGGTGGAGAAGGGCGTCGAGGTCGGGTTTGAAGTTGACGGGAAGAGATTCGCCTGGTGGCCGGCGACTTTGTCCCAGCTGCCGGCGTAGTCGTAGGCCATCAGGTTATAGAAGTCCAGCAGCGGTGTCATCTGGGGCAGCTTGAGCTTGGTGAAGTTGCTGGGTCCGGCGGGACAGGCTACTGTCAGGTAGAACTTGCGGCCGGGTCCTGCTGCTTTGTCCAGGGTCTAAAGCATTGTTAGTATCTGTTCTGTTTGGTAAAGTGGGCGTCATACCTCTCTGCATTTCTGAAGCAACAGAACCAGGTTCTGGGCTTGGGTATCATCTGCTCATGGTGTAAGTTAGTCGTCCAGGAATAGAGCATGTCCCTTAGCTGTACCTTGAGGATACTCCCAGTCGATATCCAGACCTGAAAGTGGTCAGTTCCCAAAAAAAAAAAATACCCTGGAGCCACCTAGACATACCATCAAACCCCAGATCCACAACCAGCCGCGTCGCCGACTCCGCGAATTTGGCCCGTCCCTGATCAGAGCTGGCCGGCTGCGCAAAGTTGGCCGAGTAGGTCCAGCCACCGATAGAAAGCAGGACCTTCAGCTTGCGGTTCCGCTTCTTGAGCAAGAACAGCTGCTTGACGCATCCGTATACATTGGTGCCGGTGTCATTCCACGAGTCACCGGGATAGTGTTTTTCAATGTCGGACCATGAATCCGTCAAGTACCTGGAGGTAGGTAGATCAGCCAGGGGTGATTTGAGGAAGGCAATAATGACTTGGCATACACTTCACCATCCTCGGGATGGATGTTTGCAAAGGCATAGAGCACATGTGTCAATTTCTCGGCGGGCAGATCTTGCGGGTTGTAGTTTCGTCCGTAGATCGCCTAGTGGATGGGGTGTCAACAAGGGGTGTCACAATATAGAGAGATCCTTTCAGTGGAAGATACACTCAGGGGATATAAAACATACCCAGTTGACAAAGTAGGCAACGGTTCTGTATCCAGACGACATGGTGGGTGTCGAAGTTGGAGCACAGGGTGTATTAGAGTAGTACTGCACTAGAACAGCCACAAGCACCACGAAGGCAGTGAGCAGGGCAGCAGGTCTGAGGAGGTGAAGAGCCACGGTTAATTCTTTGGGTGGTTTGAAGAAGAGCGTAGATGGATGATCGTATGGAGGGGTACTTGATGTCGCAGCCTAATAGTTAGCGGGTCCTTGTACCTGAGGGAAGCAGGTTATAAATAACAGCTCCCCACATGATTATTGGTGGGATGCTGCTGTGGCAGTGTATGTGGCTGAGGATCAATGTGGCTGAGCTGTTTTTCTAGATCTTGGCTTTTAGATAGAATGAAGCATGACGCCAGAAACGGACTCTTGAAAGCGATCCTTATATGTGTCAATCACACAATCTGCAGGGTCCTCGCAGCGTGACATCTCCACCTGCGCCGGGTCTCGTGCAACATGAGTTATGTGTTATCATGTCGAATATGGTCACGGAGTGACTATCTTGATTTTCAACTCTGCAATTTCTTCTGCATGGAAAAGGTACAGCTGCATTCTATGGCGCTAATTAATAAATACAGTAACCACGATTATCCTCTCGAAATCAGGAGCATGCAATCCAAACGGGACTAGAAAATAAATTTATAACTGGTCGTGAGAACGACGGTTTTGCGTAAAGAGTCCATTGCTGGAAAAGAAGCAGGCGACACAGCATCTAGCCGAATGGTTTTGTTTCGAAATGATAAGTATAGAAGGAATGAATTAGTCGCTCCAGCTCAGATCGCGAAGACTATTTTTGCTGGCTTAACTAGCTAACTAACCCCTCTGGGCATAGTGCACATGTTTGTATGATGTCAAGCAGGCCTACCGAATCCTTTGCTGGTTTCTCACATTATAGATTTATAGATTGTTCTGGCCACTCACGGACGCCACTAGATCACCCACTGTTCACCCAAATGACGCATTCGGTATCATACGGCGAATATTGGATAGGCTCTAGTGTAAAAAGGCGACAAGAGATCACATTCCTCAAACTGGAAGACCACAAGGGTGGTACTGCCCACCTGATGACCCTAGGCTTGAAAGAGAACGGCGAGCAGATCCTTCTTCTCTCAATCCGTTGATCCGAAGATCAGACGTACGCCAACTTCAAATGGCAGCAGCATATATACCACTAGCGGGGCATAGTAGATCCTTTAGACAGTAGCGGAACGCCGTAATAATATAAAGGTGAGTAAAAGAGAGGTTCTACACATGGCTATGCTCAATAGTACAATGCCCCACAGCCGATCACCGAGATCAGATCGCGTTCGCACCTGAAGGAAGAGGCAAAAAAAGGGGGGGGTTGAAGGATAAATGATACCGAGATCAGCAACAATCCCCACAGAGGCGAGTCCAGAGCCCAAACTTGGAAGGAGAGCTAAAAGTGCGAAAAGGACTGAAAGGACATCGCGAGCTGAACCTGAGCGAACATCAGCGCGTCCTGCGTGCTGATTGGCACCGCGCCACCTCCGACTAACGCCTTAGCTCCGGATCCACCGATCCAATATCCATTCCGCGATTATCTTTTTTTTTTTTTTTTTGGCTCCCGCTGGACCGACCCTTCCTGTGTGATTGCCAAATTTGGTGTACGTGCCGCTGATGAAGCTGGATCCACGTCGATCGGCATCGCTTGTTGCGCCAAACCTCCAAACGGTCGCTGGCGCCCGGCGACTCATCTAGCTCTGTCCGCCAAAACAGATAGTATGCAGTAGTTAGCAGCCATGTGGAGTACCCACACAGAGAGAGAGAGAAAGGCTGAAGCCCACCAAAAAAGAATAGTGTTTGTGCATTTTCCACTTTGTTTCAGCTGGCATCTCTGCCTTGGGCACCCGGCACACCGGGTCATGTCCGTGCCACAGCCGATTAACACGCCGTTTCCTGTTAGGGCTATGGATCCAATGCAACTTTACTGGGTAAATTCCTCAATCGAATCAATAGTATTTGTTCCAATTTCACTATCCAAGGTACGCGCCTCGAGCTAAACACTCCTAAAATGCAGTCAGCTTAATTTGGAAATCGGCATCGATCTACACGGTAGATCGGAAGGATGATTGTAAGCGTGTCTAATTCTACCCACTTACACGGTGCACACACACCCACAAACAAAAAAAGCTCCAGAACGCCATCAATACCAGGATGGAGAAAATAATTGTAAAAACAAGATGTCAGGGGATATCGTAACCAGAAGTCAGAACCACATAGTAACTCAAGGATTGCTCAGAACAGTATGTAGCGGCCAGCGCTATTGTCCACCCATCCACGCCCGCGCTGTGCCCGTCTATGAAAACCAAACGCTCAATGCCCCGTCATAGAATCATGTAACTGGGAGATTTGAAAGGAAAGAAACGAATGCGAAGGTTATTTATCTCCGTCCGTGGATCCAGTGTAGGATCATAGCCAAGGACGGGTCATCCTCGAGCCAATGTCCTGCCCGCAAGTCAGCAGCTCGAAGATCCGCGACAACATGCTCGTCAGTGACGTTCGCCAATTCATGGTGTAGTGTCGTGCTGGCAGTTTTCAGCGCCGCGACACGCTGTGATGGTGACGGGTGGCCGTGAAGAATGTTAGCGCGGGACATGGCCCATCGGCGTGCTGCTGCTGCTCGGAGGTAGATCTTGTGTGCTTGGAATCGTCTGGCGCTGCTGTCGATTATGACTCTGATCGAGGCAAAAACTGTGAGAAGAAGCAGGGTGAAAGGTTTCGTGTCCATTCTTTCCCCTACCTTTGGAGCTCTGCCTTCTCCGACTCGGCACTGCCTCGTCCTGACATCGGGGCTGGGCTGTAGTTGGCAGCCATTAAGCCTTGCGCAGCGGCTAGACACTCTCGTAACACGACGAAGCCTTCTTCATGGGCTTCCTGTGGATGGATCTGAACGTTCTGCTGGGCAATGTGCAACAATAGAGTTCGGTAGTCATTGATGAGCTCGGCCACTCGCACAGCACGGGCTTGATTGACTGTGATTCACAACCGCAATGGGAATATCAGCATGTTGTCCGGCAAGAACTCAGACAGTTGTAGAAGTTCCGGCTTACGTCCGTCCGCCATGCTCTTGGGATGGGGTATTAGGAAAGTATAGTAGAAGGTGAAGAACAAAAAGGGCTAGAGAAAGGGAAGGGCGCGGCAAAATGACATCAAGTTAGGGAGCCAATGAGCAAGAAGCAAAGGTTATAGCAATTGGCCAGAGGAATCGAAATACCCATGTGGTCGAATTGTCAGGCGGCCCAACGGTCCCGGGAAGGCGAAGAATAAAGACCTTTATAGAAGAGAAGAAATGCCAGAAAGTAAGAAAGAAAATGTATCAATTGGGGTTTACCCCATACATACATGACAGCAAGCGATCTCAAAACGGGGTCTCGGCCCCAGCAAGGAAAGAGACAGGGGATCAAAAAAAAAAAATGATTTTATCAATTATTAGGAACTATCAGCCCGTGACAAGCGGAGCAGCAACGGTAGGAGGATCATCGGCGAGCATGGCCGGCTGCGCCAATAGACGGTGAAGATCCGGCGTCATGGAAATAATCTCGAGCACACGCCAGCTGGGCAAGTGGGTGAGTGGGTTCGGGGGACACACGATTAGTCTCCCGAGAAAACGTCAACGGCAAACAAAGCCAGGAACATCCTTGTTGGTTCGCAGGGAGAGAGAAGGGGGCCGAGTAGTGGCTCGTTTCAGCAGATGTGGAGAGCAAAGGGCCGCAGGGAAAAATCAACCCTGAGCTGGACCAGCCAGTCGGTCCCGTTTGGCGCGCGAACCAACTAGGGCCGGTGGAGAACGGCTAGTTAGTTTAGTTAGTGCCACGCGAATGAGATTAGGTTCCTGTACGGCCGATTTCTGCTCCATTCCGGTCAGGAGCGAAGAGTGCCTAGACGCGGTGATTGGGTGCGGAGGGGCAAACTGCCGGAACAGACCAGGGGGATACGTCAGGTCAGTTCGTCTCGTGGGACCCCCTGTCTATTGCCGAGAAGGGACAAAAAGGAAAAAAAGAAAATTCAGGAATCTGGGCGAGATCTGATCCCTCATCGGTGATTGTGGCTTGTGCATCGCACGTAGAGTTTCTCAGCTCCGGACTGGTACCCAGCCACTGCTGAAAGCCACAGGTGGCGTCCTCGTAGAACAGCTGAAGAAGGCATGCGAGCTGCTGGTCTCTCTCTCCCTTGCTGTCTGCGCCGGATGGTGAAATGTGTGATCAATCCCTCGCTTGCACGGTCCGATCCTCGATATTGACAAGCTCGCTTGCGCAGCTGGCCGTGGCCACAGGACGCAAGTCGGCTACAAGATGACCGTGCGTGCTGAGGTGATATCAAGCCGGAGACCGGGTATTTACAATTACGATTCATGTCCTTCGGCAAAGAATGCACTGCACAGTCAAGAATCGGACTTGACTGACTCGCAGAAAATAAAACGCGAAAAATAAAATAGAACCATGTCATTCACAGATTCGTCCTGCTTCTTTCTAACCCACCCCCATCCTGGTCTCTAGCTCCTGCAGACGGCCCGTTTAGTCCTTCTCCGCTATGGCCTGCAGCCGCTCATCGATCTCTTCCTCTGTCAGAGCCCGGAAGTCTGTGGTGGTGCCCTCTGCGCCATCCTCCCGCGGCCCGCCAACGATGCCAATCTCGAGCTCGTGCTTCTTGAAGTCGACGCTGAGGACGTTGCTCATGGCCGTGATGCCCAGCTCCACAACCTCCTCCCAGCTGCCCGGTGCATGGTCCTTGTTCTTCAGCTTCTTCTCCAGGTAATTCAACGCCTCCTGTTGCTTGGGGCCCGACGCCGTCGCCTTGTACCCAACGTAGTAGCCAGCTGGGTCGCATTTGTAGAGCTGCGGGCCCTGCTCGTCATCAACCGAGATCAGGGTCGTGGCCACACCGAGTGGTCGCATATAAGCCTAGACATATGTCAGTGATGCACACCCCCAAAGACTAAAAGAAAAAAAGAAAAAACTGACTCGTTGTGTGTACACCTGGTTGATATTGGCCAGGCGCTTTGCAAGAACATCGCACGGCATCTCGTAGCCGAACTTGTACCGGAATTCAGCAGCTTCTCCACGAGCACGATCAACAGATGCCCGAGCATCTGCTATGGAGCCTGTCATGACACTGCCCACGGAGGGCGAGATCTTGAAAACATGTGAAACGGAGGACGGGTCGATCAGTTTATCCTGGAGAAAGTGCGAAAATCGAACGATTAGAACACCTTGCCGGCCGGATCAGCTTCCAAACTTACAGCAACTTTCTTCTGTGACAGCACCACGGCACAGTTCTTCCCTCTCACACCGATTGAGGTGATGTTGGCCGATGTGATGGCCTTGAATGCATATTCTGGAGTGCAGATCGGTCGGTCAGTGGTCATGGTGACGGCACATCGTGGAGGGGTTGGGAATGGTCTCGAGGATGGTGGTGGGATAACATACCGACTTGGTACAATCGACCCTGGTCGGAGAAGATGGTAATATGTCTGTCGTAGCCTGCGCTTCCTGTTTGGCGAGGACGGGGTCAGTCGGTGATGAAGTCACGGGGGAGGTCAAGCAGGGGTTTGGGGTAACGCAGAAGCTTACCAGACATGATGAACGGGTGAGGGTGGTTGAATTAGAGAATTGAGAGGGCAGAGGAGGGAGAGAGAGATAGAACAGGACGCCGGTGGATGACAGGAAGGTCTGACGCGCGCCCGGAGGTGCCTGGACGGAAGCTGGAGCTCTGGGCTGACCGCTTGCCGCTTCGGGTAGTTGGGTATAATATTGGGTTCACCAACTAGTTAACAGTTACTGTGCAGGTACATTGACTAATTGAAGGATTGTATTTAGCTGCCTATTTGTGTTTTTAAATTCATCAAAAGCCATCTAGCCGGAACTAAGTTGGAGATTGATGGATGGAATGAATCGAGATCAGCAGCTAACTCGAACGTCCGCAAGATATATAGTCGGGTATTACTACACCCATATTGGAACCACCAAACACCATTCTATGCATTGGTATAAATATCCACAGACAAAAACAAGCACTATATACACCCAGCACACTATGAAGACGAGGAGCCACTCGAGCTAGTACTGTCCGAATCACTATCCTCACTCTCGCTGCTGCTCGAGATTTCCACAATCGCCGTCCTGTTCTTCCGCTTCTTCTTACTCGCGCCTGGCGCCTTGGTCTGCTTATCAGACACCGGTGTCGACTGCTCCCCGCTGAACAATTTACCCGCAACCGCGAAAAAGACCAGCTCTGCTCGCTGTCTCTTCTTCAGACGGGCCTGTGCATCTGCCCCCAGCTTCTCGCCAACATCCTCAGCGTTGACATCGTCCTTGCTCTCAGACAAACGTGTCCGGAAAGCCTCCACAGCCTGCTGGTATTCACTACCCTCACTACCCTCTCCTTCTCCTTGCCCATCGCCCTCTTTCTTCTTCTCAGCATCCAGATCAGCAACGATAACCTCCTCCGCGCCATAACTGAGCCGCGCCTTCGCCGATAAACCTTTCAGTCCCTGTAGATAGGCCAGAAGCGCGGCATTGTACTGAACGGGGACTTGCTCAAGCGAGTACAGGTGTTTGAAGAGGTGTGTTTCGCGGTTCTTTTGGAATTTCCATGACGCGCGGTCTGTGTGGTAGCGACTCAGGTAGGAAAGGATGGGAGTCTCATGGAGGTGCGAGGTTGTCGTTGTTGAAGAAGATCCACCATTCTTCTTTTTCTTTTCTTTCTTCTTCTCGCGCTTGCGTTTCTTCATTTCCTCGATTGCGGCGTCGTTGTTGTCTTCTGCATCTGCATCTGCCTCGGCGCCATTCGTCGCCGTGCTCATCATCGTGTCCTCGACATTGTCTTTGTCGTGACCATCCTCGTCATCACTACCGTCGTTTTCCTTAGTCCCAGGTCCAAAGGAAACCCTCTTCTTCTTTTTCTTTGGCTTCTCCTCCGCCTCATCCTCTGCGTGCCGCCGCTTATTCTTCTTCTCCTTTTTCTTCTCCTCTTTCCCATCTCCATCCTCACCGATTGCGCGATCGCTGGACTTGCGCTTCTTTTTCTTCTTCTCGGTGCTCTCGTGCTTGTCCTCTCCACCTTCCTTCTCTACCTTGGGTAGGTCATTCGGCGCGTCTGCAGATTGTGAATTCTCCGATTCCTTAGCGTGTTTAGCCTTCCGATCGAGCTTTTTGGACAGCTGTGTCGCAGAGTCTTTGGAGCTGTCTTTCGCCATGGCTGCTTGGGGGTCTGTAGCTAGGTGGAGGGAGTGGCGAGCTGTAAAAGTGGGAATCGAAAAAGGGGGAGTGGTTCTCCACTAGGTGAAATATGTGCGCTGCCCCGGAGATAGAGATCGTTGCTCCCCGTGAGTGAGTTGGAGGAGACTGCCGATTCTTGATTCTTAGGCGGCGTGGACGTTTTTTTTTTCTGCCGGGCCCATGGGGCGGAGAGCGAAGTAGGAGAGTATGTATGAGACGGAGGATACAACCACACGCTTTACTGGAAAGAACAAATGTCATGGACTCGTCAGTCACATTAGACTATCCACCCTGTCTAAGTAAGTATGGTCATGCCGCAGCACCATAATTCTCCTTATTCCCCGTATCCCTCCTCTCCCTTCGTGGATCCTTCTGCGCCGTACCCTCCACGCCCGCACTAGACGTCGCAGCCCTACGCTTTGCCCTTTCTTTCTCCTTTTCCTTCTCTTTATCTTTATCCTTCGAGCTAGCCGTACGCCGCCGACGCACCGGCTCATATACATCATTGAAGTTCATGACCACTCCTAGGAACCGCATGTCCACATCGGGCTGATACGCTAGGTCGCCTAGCAGGATGTTCAGACGTGACTTGAAGTCCACCGACAGGTCACGGAGCCGGGTACGTAGAGACCCGAGCATGTTGTCGTCGGCGGCGAGGTCCCGTGCCGAAAGCGAGAAGGGTGTGTCCACGCCGTCTGGGCCGGCGGCGCTCGCGGGTCGGACATCGGGGGTAGATGCCCTCGAGGTGGTTCCGCCTCGGCTGTGGGCGCGGCGGGGAGGGAGCATGTCCTGATCTGTGACGCCCCAGCGACCCTGGGCGGTGCGGGTCTCGATTTTGGCGCTGAGTTCCTGGCGGCGGGTGAATTCGGCCACGGAGAAGGAGTAGAGACCGTCGACGGCGTCTTTGTAGGCGAGCATGATCTTGAGGATCTGGTGGAGCTGGCTGAGGAAGCTTTCTTCGGGTTGTTTCGCGGAGGAGGAGGTTGAGATGCCGTAGCGTGAGGACGAGGATGAGGCCGAGCCGAGTAGGCCCTTGTGCGTGATGGAATTGAGGTACTTGGTGTGGGCGTCGATCAGGTCATCCAGCGTGCAGCCTGGTTTCGACACCGCGGCTTGCAGAGTGTCCCAGCTGGATTCGATCACTTCGAAGAGGATGTAGTACTGCAGCTGGCAGATGAAGTGGATCATCTCGGCAATCACGCAGCGCGCGCGCTTCCAGTCTGGGCCAAGTTTGTCGTCCACGCTGGCCAGAACGCCCCGGGCACCCGTCATACATCGCTTCCAAGTGCTGTTGAGCGCGAATTCGACCCTCTTGACGCGCCAGAGGAAGTTGAACACCTTCAGATACTGAGTCGATCCCCAAGGCGTGATGACGACATCCACGGGAGCGTCAATCTTGTACTCCAACGTGAAACAGTCCCATCCGATCTCGCCGTGGCTAAGCTCGAGCATCCGTGCATCCAACCTGCGGAGCACGTCTGGTGAGTCGTACTGCGCATTCGACGCGCGGATGGCATGCTCCAGCTGTGCAGTGAGGGTATGTCGGTACTGCGAGTTTGCAGGTCTGTCCAAGTTGGAAGCCAGCGACTCCATCAACAGAGCAATAAAGTCTCCCTGGCCAAGCAAGAGGTATTTTTTGAGTGCGCGCAAGTGATCAAAGAGCTTGAACTCGTCGTTCATCAGGTAGATCAGCCGCGCCATGGTCGTCTTATAGGCCTCGTCAATGGAGGTCTCCAAACTCGCCGTATCGCCATACCGTAGCTCCTTCGAGGCCTCCTTGGAATATGCCTCAACCCACCCAGAGTCGCCGCAGCCATACCGAATGAAATTCAATGATTTGCCGATCAGAAACACTTTCTTCGCAAAATCTTGTGTGATGATCGAAGGAACCATATCATCATCCAGCTTGTACTTGTCTTCCCAGACGCTCGTGGCAAGTCGCCGTGGATCAGTGCTGGGTCTAAACTCCGGTTCGGCGACAAAGAATTCCGTATAGGGGTCAGAAAGTTCGCCATCGTAGATCCACAGGCGTAGCATATCGTAGAACGGACGCGTAATATGAGCAAGAAGCTTTTCGGCGAAAGCGCCCACAAACGGGTCTCCATGAGACGAGGAGAAGCTGTGTATCAGTGAGATCAACTGGCCGCCCTTTTTATCTGCAGGGCTTGTCAGTGTGATTTGAAAAGCCTTGATCGTAAAGTCATCACTTACTCCGAGCCTCTTCCACAATCAAACTCATCAGCCGAAGCGCCATCGTAGCGTCCCTCGTCCATACTAGGCAGCGTTTTAAAGTAACGCCGCCCTTCCGGACCCCTTTAGGTTCATTTGCATCTCCGATTGCGGCCAGCGCCTGTCGGATTTCCGCCTCGAGCGTGGCTACCAAGCCCAGATATGACCGTAACTCATTGGCAATGGCTGCCCGTAAACTCTGTTTCACAAGTCCACTGTCTGTGCTTTCCACAAATTCGGATAGTCCCTTGTAAAGCAGACACGGTTCGGCCAGTGAGTTGAGCAGCGAGATGACCGGAGTAGGCAGGTTGGGCGGGAGGTTCAGGATAGAGGATGATCGGAATTGCAAGTTTGACGAAGAGAGACCTTGCAAGTTGAAGGGCAGGTCACGCAGCAGCCCATACTCCATAGATTCAGGCTGTTGGGCGTGCATTGTTGACTGCCTTGGAGTCTGCACCCCATACTCATCACCAGAATGGTCATTCACCCCCGAGTCGACATTACTAGCACTCCGAACTCTATCCATAGAGGGGCGCGCACATTGACCGGCTCCATTGCGCTCCAGTCTTGGTCCGCGCTGCTGAGAAGCAGACGAGCTGATAGCTGGGCCCTCATCATCCTCCGAATCCAGTCCAGCGCCTCGTCTCGGGATCGCTGTGTTCCTCCCCAACATATTGTGCAGATTTACATCATCCATCAAGGGACTGCGACTCCTCTCCTCACCCTCCGCAGCAGCGGTAGCAGGATCATCCGAGCCCGACAGGCGGTAGAGCAAATACAAAATCCCCCATTTCTGCGAGAGCACTGGCTGCGTCAGGAGACGGGAGTAGAGATTCGAGAAGCGCACCGCCTTATCGGGGCTCGCATTCTCGCGCCGCAATTTGCGCTTGATGAGATCGGGCGCGTTGTTGATATTCTCAGCTGTGCCTGCGCTCACTCCGGCGGGCGAGGAGGGCTGGTCGCCTGAGTAGTGGGCATCGAGCACGCGCCAGGCGCGGTCGAGCTGGATCTGGTGCCGGTGTTCCTCGGCTGCGGTGAGTGCTTCTTCGGGGTCCGAGTAGTCGTCGTCGCCTTGGACGGCGGAGAGGGGGAGCGCGGGGGTTAGGGAGTCGACGAGTTGGGAGAGCGCGTCGTCGATGCGCCGAGGGCGAGCGGGCTGCCGGGTCGCTGTGGACATGGTCTGCCCGCCGCCAAATTGATTGGCGATTCGCGGTTGGTTGGTGGTGTCTGTTCTGTATTCTCTTCGTTTTCGTGGGGGGTTTCGTTGGTCGTGGTCGTGAACTGTTGACGAGCGCGGACAGGGACAGGAGGTGCGAGTTGGGGTTGGGCACTCGTTCAGGCCGGACCGACTTTAGACTGCAGGCTTCGGGAGCGAGTCGCCGTAATGGAGAGAATCAGTCGCGTCTCTCTTATTGCTGGAGTTTCGTGACACTCCCAACAAACAGTCGTGTTTGCCGTGTTTGGGCTGTTTGACCCGATCTCTTCTTATCACCCCACTTATCTACATCATGCATGTAAACAACAACTACTATTGTTTACAGTGCACCTTTTCTCAAAAGAAGTTCAATTGCTCAAGCATCGGGGTAAAGAAACTAATCAGACACGCAAAGCACAAAACCACCCATACGCCAATCAGGAATCATATATCGAGACAAGCAACCATCGAGAAAGAAGAAAGGCATGCACCTGTGTGCCCTCAAGTATTAAACAAGTGAAAGGAAAGAGACTCTCCCAAGAAGTCAAAGGAGAGGGATTAGAAAGCAGGGGCCACCAGGAAGAAAGTACAAAACTGGGGGATAAGGATAAACTGGGGGGAACAAGAGGAAGCAAAACACGAAAGCCAGAGCAACCTGAGAACGAAATTCTCGTACGCCAAATTTGGTCTTTTGAAGACCAAATTCATCCTGGTCCGAACCATCCAATTTTTGAGTCGTATAGATCATGAACACCTGCCCATGCTGAAGTGTGTCGGCAGTAGCTGGGCCGAAAGAAGAGGGTGAAAAAAAAAAAAAAAAGGGTGACCGCCGAGTCTAAGCAAAGGTCCAGCTAGGGACAAAGCGAGAAGGTGGTAGTCCTAAAACGAGCAGGCCGACTTGTGCTTGCCCACTCGGTCGTGTGCGGTAGGCTGTTTGTTTTTACCGGCGCATGCCCTGGGCTGGGATCGGCCCACCGTGCTGCATGCCCATATTGTTGGGCATGTTGTAGGCATGATGATGATCATATCCAGTCGACATGCCGTTCATCATGAGCGGGCCTAGACCCTGGGCCTGGGAGACCGGGCAGTCCTTATGCGCCAGCAGCAGCGTTTTGAGGTTGACAATTTCCTCGCGGAGCTGGGTCACTGTTGCGGTGAGCGCATCATTCTCCGTGGTAAAGAGCTCGACCTTGGCCTGGAGATTGGCCAGCCATTGCTTCTTCCGTTGACGACACTTCAGAGCCGCGACACTACACCAAAAGGTCAGCACCTAGTAGTAGAAAGAGAGAGGGGGTAAACGTACCGATTGCGCTCCAAGAAGTTGCGCCTCTTCTCTTCATCGGTCATCTTCTTCGGGTCCATCGGGCCATCCATCTTCATATCCTCGTCCTCCTCATCCGACATGTCATCCGATTGCGATTCGGCCACCTTCGCCTTCTTGTTGGGCCCTTTCGACGCGGGCTCTTCGGCCTTGCGCCGATTGTTCGTGGCACCCTTGGGCGCGTTCTTCTTGCCCTTGCCCTTGGGAGCAGGCTTCGCGGGTTCCATCTGGTCCGATTCGCCGCTCATCTCACGGCCGCTGTTGCCGTTCGCATTGTGCGAGATGCGCCGCGTCGAGGTGCGCGTCTGTTCGTTCATGGCGGGTTGGTTCATCTGCTGACCACCCTTTGCCAGCATAAACAAGCCGTTGGCCGCATCAGCCGCATCGTGGTGGGTAAATGAGTCCGCGTTGGCGGTCTGAGAGCCCTTCACATCCATAGTCGTGTTCGGTGGTTGTTCTTGCTCGGTCTGGCCAGACGTTGGACCATTCGTACTGTTCTTCTTGGCGGCAAGTGCAGTGCGGTGGAACTCGATCGTCGAGGGAGTCGCGCCGCCGCTTTGGAGTTGTTGCAGGAGAGCTTGGGAATTGGGGCTGGGGGCCGGGAACATAGAACCACCGCCGCCGGGGGTTAGACCGGTGCGGAGGGACGATTCGTTCGGGGTCGGGAACCCTCGGTTGATGCTGTCAAAGTAGTCACTCGATCCCGTGGGGCCCGGCAGCATAGCCGGGCTCAAGGGCCCCGAGCGCAGCGAGTTGGTCCAGTTGTAACCACCAGCCGAACTGGTTCCAGGCAGCGCCGGCGAAGTGAGCGCGGCGACCGGCGGCAGGAGTGACTTTCCAGGAGTCTCAGCGGAGCCGTCTCCGCTAAACGACTGCTCGAAAGGGTTGGGCTCCAGGGAGAAAGGGTTGTGCACGGAATTGAAGTAGTCGGGAGTGTCGGTCGCACTTGTCGCGGCCGGTCGGGGAGGTGGTCCCAGCGATGTTTGGGTATCTACGTCCGGTTTCTGGTCTTTGGTCTCCGAAATGGCGGCGGACGATTCTGTTATTGGGGAGAACCACGTCAGCAAATCCACGCGACCACATTACACAGCACACGCGACAACGATACCAGAACGATGCTGATGAGAACGAGTGTTGGGACCTTTCATCGCGCAAGGAGACGGGTGTGTAAGGTTTGTGGAATGGGGGAAGTGTGCTTAGGTCAATGACGGCAGTGATATCATCCCGACGGCAGAAAGGAGGGAGTGGGTGGCAAGGTACTGGGGAAAGGGAACACCAGTGTGGCGGATTACCAAGCCGAAAAGGGAGAGGGAAGTGTACAATAATGAATGCGGGCAAGAATGAAGCCACCAAGCGTGACAACAATCATAATAGGAGGATGGCGGTTATGATGACGTCGTACCTTGCTTGTCTTTCTTCGACGAGTCGTCCATGGGCGCAATAGTCGAGACGCTGTGAGCGACCGCAGCAGACATATCAGAAGAGCCGCGGGCAGAGAGTTCAGTGAGATAATTTGGTGGCGAGGCGAGTAGTCGATCTCGATGATATAATGGACACCAGTACAAACAAAATGGTGGCTTGCAGGACACCCTAAAGAGTCGAGGGAAGAGTAAGAGAAAAGAAGAAGGGGTGACGCCATCTCTCGGAGAGGGGTGGGGATTGGGTTTATTAATCGGAATTGGAAAGGTGCGCATTACCGATGGGTCTGCCATGTATCGCAGCGCGCGCGACAGGCGAAGGACAGCGGGCGGTAATCATGTAACGGGCTGTTACGACCCAGACGAAGCCGGTTGTGATTGAAGGGCGAAAAAAAGCCAGACGCGATGGGGGCCTCGACCGGTTCGGGGGCTATTTCGACGTTTGGGTCGCTGATTACACCTCCTCTACTGACTGGCTCCCTACAGAATATATTCTCCCTAGAACAAGAATCTCTACAGACAATGAACAATATATTTCTGTACAGAAATCTCTGCCGTCCACCGCGTACTACTCAACATGCCTCCCGATGATACATTTTCGACGAACCTGGATGGAGACGGTGGGGGCAGCATCTCCGCTGGACCAATCACGGCCGGACTCACTTCGTTCTCGTCGGGACCGGCCATCCGGTGGTTGGGAGTGTGCCAGTTGATGAGTCGAGGCTGGGAGTTATTCGATAGCCCCTTCTGCATGCCCATCGTATTATCTACAATAACAAACAGGCGCAAGGACTTATCAGGGCAAGAATGAAGAAAATTATATCACGATGACGAAAATTCTTCCAGTGAGTGTGGGTCTGAGACCCTTTTCTGGGTTAGCCCGTTCTGGATTAGTTGGAATGGGCCATAGCAGCAAGTGGTTGCGTCATTGAATCCCTTGGCTAGTTCTGCCAGCTACACAACGAGGTGTAGATCTGGGCACGGGCTGTCAGTCACGTTACTAGGGCTTGCTCCATCAAACAGGAGTGCCGAGTGCCGGTGAGGAGGGTTAAGTCTGGGGTCGAGAGTTATTGGGGGTTGGTCCATGCATGGATTGGTTCTCCCCGCTTCCTCGGCGTTTGGCCCGGCGATTCATTTGGCAGGCACAGGGGAGACCTCGTGGCTATAATTCCGCACGCTGGGCTACTATCCTAGATATACAACTGCCGGCGATTGCTGCTAGCACAATCGCCATCGCCGATGTCCTAACTGATGGAGGACACCTCACGGAAAACACGGCCTTCTCGGGCCTGTGAGATCTGCCATGAAAAGAAAGTAGGACTGCCGGTGGAAGGGACCAGACAGAAAAAGAGTCTCTGACCGTGCCTAGATTCGCTGTGACTTGATAGACGGTATTCCCTGCTCAAACTGCCGCGCCTATAATGCCTCCTGCAGGTGAGAAGAACCCTTGCGGGACCAGGATCTTCTAATGTCTGTCAAGGCCGCATGTACGTCAGCGCAAGCGCAGGCGTTTGGATTCAACGGCGACAGCCGCCAGCCCCAAAAGGGACTCCTGGCTCCAGGGGCGAGACGTGCTGGACCAGCAGCACAATGCAACCTTAAGTCACCCGACTACCCCATTATCACCACGCAGACAGGATGTAGGGATCCCAGCGGACCCCAATCACTGCAATAGGAATCAGTCAGTGGCCCCCGTAGAGACACCGACGGCTGACCCCGTCGACAATGAAACGCCTGATAGCCGCGGATATCTCGGTCGGCTAGAGTATCTAGGAGTGGCAGCAGCCCAGGCGAAGGGAACCACCGAGGCACCGGCGTCGGAAAACATTCTATCTGCAGAGGAAAAAGCCATCCTCAAGGTCCACCGCGCCTTCGATCTGCCTCCGCCGGCCATCCAGCAATCTCTCATTGATACATTCAAAACCTACTGCGCACCCTGGACGCCCATTGTGGAAAACAGCTGGCTACGCGAGCCCAGGTCCAACCCGCCATCTCTCCTGCTATTACAGAGCGTTTTCGTGGCCGGCAGCCGACTCGCAGCCGCTCCGCACATATCAGCTTCGTCAGAGACCTACTACCGCCGGGCCAAGGCTCTGTTTTTCAGTAGCTATGAAAAGAACCCCATCATCAAGATCGCGGCGGCCTGTTTGCTGAACTGGTTCAACCCATCCGCGCCAGAAGAGGTCTCCCTAGATAGCAGCAATTTCTGGCTTCGCGTGGCTGTCAGCGTAGCCTACCAAATTGGTTTGCATAGAGAGCCTACGAGAGGAAAGTTTGCAAGCTATCGGCGAAGGCTTTGGTGGACACTAGTGGTAAGTTGACTTCAGACAGACTGTAAGGAATGTGTAGGATTCTGATTTTTGTTTCTAGGCGCGAGATTGTCAAATATCTGCAGCCCATGGCAGGCCGAGAGCCATCAGTCTAGAAGACTCGGATGTGGCACCATTGTCTGCGCGAGATTTCCCTGCGCATAATAACAATGCAGAGTTTTTCATGGCCCATGTCAACATCTCCCTGATCATGGGCGACGTAACTCAAACTTATTTACGACACCAGCTCTCGCCGCTGAAGCGGAGAGAAATTCGGAATGCGCTGTATTGCTGGGTCACTGAACTCCCAGACAAATTATGTCTCTTCAGCCAGGGACCCGCTCGGCGCCTGAATCCGTACAACATGTGCACGCGCAGTCTGTACATACCCTACTTTGTAACAGTACTGATCCTATACCGATCCGTGACACCACACGAGATATCCACAGCCATTGCAGCCGTCGCATCGTCTTTTATCTGCGGGATCTTCGAAGAGTTCCTCGCCCGCGACGAGTGTCGCTTCTTGGCTGCAGGGTTCAAATTCTACGCTTTCGCAGCAGGCGTGGCGCAGCTGAATGCACGCTCATATGTTTCGCTGCAGTCTGATATCAGGCAGGAAGTTGAGACCGTGAAAAATGCGCTCATGGCGCACGCGGAACGCTGGCCGTCGGCGAAGAATAACATTCGCATTCTGGAGAATATCAGCAAGACAATGCCGACACAGGCGCAGCAGACTGATCAACTGCCTGTCCTTCCTAGCCACCATGATGCATTCCCGTTGTTCCGCGCGTTTGGCCCAGAGCTGTGTCACATGTGGTACTTGGTTGATCCGAAGAGTGCCGCTGCACGCAACGAGAATATGGGGAAGGTTCCCTGGCAGACTGCTGAGTTCTCAGAGACTCCGGTGCAACCGGGCTCGAGGGGGTCGCAAGCCGGGTTACCGATGGCGCCTCAGCCGCCTTTCGCCCCTGGTGGCTTTGCGGACCCGTTGACTTCCTTGCCCATGGTCGATACTCAAAGTCCCGATCTTACTATGGACTCCAGTATCTGGACCTGGCCCGTGCTGAGCGGTAACTGGCTTCTTGATGGGTTACCTGGTGGGTATCCTTCGGGAGAAGGGTGGGAGTAGGCTTATCGTTCTAAATCCAATTTATACCCATCATCTAGTAAACCTTCACAAGTAGGCTGTGATTCTGTGCACTAAAAAATTGGCATACGACTGCAAGGACAGCAACTTGTCCTTGCCACCCTGGATGGCGGACCAATAGCTAGGATCATTGGCCAGTTGAACCAGATAGAGCCTTTGTCATGAATACAATTCAAGATTCACGACAATATGCTTCGGCAGACCGGAATCACAACATCCAGCTTCTCAATCACGGAGATCGAAAATCCCTCGAGTAGATCAGACCGTCACTAACCACAGTGTCCGGCTCTTTGCGGACGGACTAAGAGGGTCCAAATCCCTCAAAGGATGCAGGGCTCGCTCTTTAACCCGACTCGTCAAATTTAGTAGATAGTGCAAAGCGGGGGAAAGCATGGGGATAGCGACTACTGGCTTGGCCATCCAGTCGTAATCGCCGCTCACCGGCGATTCTGCTGCAGTTTAGCCCGGAGGATGGAAAGAAACGCTCAGCATTCGTCAACATTCATCTTACCCCCTATTGATCCCACATTTGCCTCTTGCTGCATCGCGTGTATGCATATTCCATTATGCTTTTCAACTTCATTTCTCATGGAGAAGTACTGAGAAAGATGGTGTTTACGTTAGTGAATATAGTGTCCGTAGGGCGTTCTTCAACCGGCATCTCAAATTTAGTACATAGTACAATTGCGGGGAAAACATGGGGATATCCACTCCTGGCTTGGCCATTCAGTTGTAATCGCCGGTGAGCGGTGATTCTGCCATAACTATAGCTAGTCCCAGAAAGTGGATAAATGCTCAGCAGTCCTCGACATTCATCTTATCTCCTTGTCATCTCACGTTCGCGCCTCTTGCTGCATTGCGTGTGTGCATTTTCCATTATGCTTTTCAACTTCACTGCTCGTCGGGAGGCTATTGAAAACGATGGTGTCTATGTTGGTGGATATGGTATCCGCAGGGCATTTAAGGCTGTCAAGCATGATGGCGTATACGGTAAGCCAGACTTCCGTCTGATGGAAACCGATTTATTGACTTTTCTGTTGCCAGACACTAGCGAAGACAGGATCGAAGCAATGAATGCAGTCGAGCAGGACTGGGAGGCCAAAGAGGAGCGAGCTCTGGTTCGGAAACTGGACTTTCGTGTTTTACTCCCTTGCTGCCTGGTGTATTTCATGGCGTGAGCTCTTCTCGTACACGGCATAATTGTTCAATTTGGCTGAATGTATTCAGATATCTCGATCGAGCCAACCTGGGAAATGTCAAAGTGCTTCAGGTTGGGACGTCCAGCTCGCTTGTTTCGGCCCTTCACCTTGAAGGTACCCAGTTCAACTGGGCAGTCTCAATTTCATACTTTGCTGTGACAGCGCTGCTTTTGCCGTCTACTATCGTTCTCAAGAAATATTCCGCGAAAAGATACTTTCCATGCGCCATGATTCTCTGTACGGTTAAACCCTTTCTTCATTTGACGATATCGATATTAACCATGGTTTAGGGGGCACCGTTGTCATGGCCATGGCTGGAATAAAGAACGGGGCTGGACTTCTGGCAGCTCGATTTTGCCTTGGTATCCCCGAGTCTGGAATTGGTAAGGCAATATCAATCCAAGAACATGCTATCCTCTGCTATGCTAATTACCACCAGTTCCCTGCTGTGTCATGTACTTCAGCTTCTGGTATCGGCCACGAGAACGAGCGCTCAGGCTCGCGTTTTTCCATGTGTCAAACTCAATTGCCGGGGCCGTCTCTGGGTTTCTGGCAGCGGGGCTGGATCATGTATGTATAGCCCGCTTGTATGATTCATATGCTAATTCGAAGACAGCTTGATGGCAAAGGCGGTCTTATGTCCTGGCAATGGGTGTTCATCATAGAAGGCGCCATTCCCTTAGTAATGGCGCCTGTGATTTACTTTTTGCTCCTTACTTTCCCCGAAGACTCTACTGCACTCTCTGATCGAGGTAAGTCTCAGCGACTGGGTCTTTGTTAGAGATACTTACAACATTCTAGAGCGGTATATTGCAATCAACCGCTTCGGTCGTGGTGCAACTCGGTCTACGGATATAACCTGGGATACAGCAGCATTTATTCGCATCATGACGCGGCCGTCTACATACTGTTTCTTCATTACTTATATCTGCTTAACTACTGTTGCCGTGTCCCAGGCAACGTTTTTGCCCTCTATTTTCCATTATGTGAGTTCCACCGTCGACATGGAAATACATTCTGACCTCCAAATAGTTCTTGAAATTCGGGGCTTCCAAGTCCAATATCTATACTGCTGCTCTGAACCTGGCTATTATAGCACCATACCTAGTGGTTCCATGGCATAGTGACAAGGTCCGGGAACGCATCTGGCATTATCTCTTCTGCATGCTTTCCAGCATACCCTGTTATGGTCTGTTCCATCAACTCATAAGCTGCTCCCTTACTGACACACCGGGCAGGGGTCTGGCTTTACTTCTCTTACCACTCAGATGATACCTCTATCGCACCGATTAGCCTGTATGGAGTTGCTCTCCTCGGCATGATGGTGGTAGTTGCCCAGCCTGTCATCTTAAGCTACCGCTCTGCCACTTTATACGGTGCAGCAGAACAATCAGTCGGCACTTCAGCTGCTGTTGCAAGCTTGTCGATAGCCAGTATCATCGCACCTCAGGTAAGATCTTACGTCCTTGGTGTCGACGTCTTATGGCTAACTCAATGTTTCTCAGATGTTCCCAGACACGGATGCTCCACTCTTCCACAGCGGCTTTATAGGATGTGTGACCCTGCAAGTCATTTGTGTTATCTCCTGTTTATGCATTCCGATTCTTCTCCTTCTAGAGGCCGAGCACCGCAAAAGAAAAACAGGGCATGCGATGCCACTGCGCGCTATCTTGGATGCGGAGAATTCGCAAGTCTCAGAGGCGGCGTTGGCCCGGTTGCATGCAATCCAGGAACAGGAGGCTAAAGACCTCGAGGATATGAAGATTGGAGCTTCTGGGGGAAATGTGCAGCATGTGGAGGATGTTGAGAATCGTTGAACAAATGGGATGGCGTAAATTATGTCGTCAAGAGGATGATGGACGAGTCCCAGGGGCAGATACGGCTAGATGAGATGTGATGGAGATGACTAGGGTTAATTTGACCATTTTATTATAGTTGTTTCTCTTCCCTTCTAAATCACAGCGAATCTCGCAAAGCCCCATGCTTTCATACATACAAAACTAGAAAGATTATAAACAGATACGAGAAGATTCCATCACTTAGTTATAGCTTCGAGAGAATTGCTCCACCATCTCCAGATCCTTTAATAATCTCATCAGTACGGTAATCAGGATTGAAGGTGACCTTGTTGAGCGGATTCAACCGATGGGCTCGGTTGAAAAGGTCCTCATAAACCCTGCCATCAGATCGTCCCAGAGCACTAGAGACACAGAAGTCAGAAAATATTTCAACCACAAAATGAGGGTAACTAACCTATCCAGAAGATAGTCCGGAATAGACCAAGAATCCACCAGACGAACAGCATGCGGCCGAATCTCCTGCATCAGCTGTAGAATACGGTCTGGCAACTCATCAAGATCCTCCTCGCGAACCGCTCCGCAGCGAGAGAACTGTCGGCTGGACTTGTTAATTGTGTGCAAGGCGAAAAGTCGGAAGTTGAGCCACAGCAGATTCTTAGTTTCCTGCGGTAGTGTGATATCGCCGTTGAGGCCATCGAAGAAGTTGTAGACGAGAATTAGCTCCGATTGGGCGTGACTGAGCTCGTGCATTTGGATTAGCAGGGAATTCCAGCTTCTCTTCTTGACTCGGTATGCGGTATATGCATCAAAAGTCTAGTGATTCTTAGCTTTGACCAAAAACGGGAGAAACGAAATATCCTACCAGAGATGCTGCACGGTGCTCAAATGCTGAAACAAGCTGGCTGTCATCTTGATAGATGCGGAAGTTCTTCTTTCCCGCAGAACGCGTCTGGTAAAAAGCGTTTAAAGCCACTTCGGTCCGGTTGGATGGCGAGAAGCCCTGCGAAGTGGTAGCGACCAGCTCCGCCTTTTTGACCAGATACCGCGCCATTTGTTGAGTAATCATCCAGTTGTCGCCCTCCACTGTGGGCTTGGACAAGTAATCAGCATTTAGCTGAATGAGGCCGCTACCACCACCGAATCCATGGCCACCCATCGCACGACGGCAAATCTCAATACCTGCCGCTGCAAGGTCACTGGACAAGCACTTCAAACCAGAAGATAAACTGTGCAAATCAATAAGCGAAGACAAATCGCCCGCATCTACGCTACTTCTTGTCGCGTCGTAGATTTGGCCCATCCGTTCGCCGGTGTAGTGTAGCGCGTAGGTGGTAGCCAAGAGAGGAAGCAGGCGGATCTGGACAGTGGGATAGTCCAACACCGCATTCTCAAGGGGTTGAGGGTTTTCTTTGTCTCGGAATTGTCGGCGGACGGAACAGTACCGAATGGCAATTGTTACGGCGCGAGCTAGGACTAGACGTGCTGCCATGACGATTCGCTTGCGAGCCTGGGGCAATTGTCAGTCATGGACTTTCTTAATGAGGAACCATCCCTTACGTGGGTCATAGAGCCATAGACTACCGCTGGGTTCTCTGGCTTGTGATATTTTCCAGTTTCGGGATCTACCCAGCTGTACCGGGCGAGCATTGCACTGTGCGGAATCCTGATTTCAATTAGCACGCATGTTCTTTGAGTATTGTGGAAAGTATACTCACCTGAAGTTGTTGAACAACATGTACGCATTGTCCATGGAAGAGTAGCCGTATTTCGGACCAATATCACCAATCACAAGTCCAGGAAGAGGCTTGTGCGTCTCGGCATCTCGAACCCTAGAGACGAAAAGGTGATGTCCATAGTTCTTGTACACAGACTTGCCACTCGAGTCCTTCTCTGGAAGCAGCAGCTGCGCAGCAACAACAGAATGAGTGGCAGTACGTCCCAGGGTGCCATTCCACCACTTGCTAGCTGTCAAAGTAGGTGAATGCAAGACAAACTCCTTGGTCTCTGGCTCCCAACGCGCCGTCAGTTCAATGCCTCGAACGTTGCTTCCATGACCCAGCTCTGTCTGCGCATATGCACCGATGATAGTCCAGGAAGCATGGAGATCCATCCAATACTTCTTCTGCTCCGGGCTCGTTTGCTCGAGCAGTGTCTGCCGAAACATTGAAACATGGAGTTGATAAGGAGAGACGTCATCCAATAAATGCTTTGCCATCTCGTGGTCCTCATCATCCCAGTTATACTTGTCTGCCATCTGCCGAAGGCGCTTAGCGCGGGCGAGGCCTAGCTTGTACCGTTCAGGGTGGCCGAAGTTTCCTTGCTGCTCCTTGGAAAAGAGGCGATCTTGTTGCAGCAGACTCAAAATGCGAGTCTGGCGCTCAAGAAACTCCTTTCCCAACAAATGCTGAGCCAGGGCGTTGACGTCCACATTGGAGCGCTTTCGTTCCGCCTGGATGGTGGTGGCCCCGTCGGGGGCAGCAGGCTTGAGGTCATTGACCCAAGAATCGTCAGACATGCTGGAAGAGAAGAGAGAACCCAAAAGATGAACCAACTTTTCGTCCGTTCTGGCTTGACAAACGTGTTGGCGCATCGACTTTTCTACTCGAGCTGCAGTTCCCTGCTGGGCCAGCCAACTATAGCGCAAACGCCGAAATCGCCGACAGTTCCTCGGATACACCTCGGGATTCGCGGACTTCCACATCTGAGCGGAATAGAAGCGGGGTACACATAACGCATGAAATGAGACGATGCCAGGGATTCGAGTAGCTTAACGGACTAATTGATATGGTTACGTGCTTTACCTGCGAGAGGCCTGTATAGGAAGGTTGACTTTTCTTTTCCGAAAAAGGGTTGTAGTTGTAAAAAAAAAAAAAAAAAAAAAAAAATTCTATCAGATGCTATGGCTATACGCCGATTATGTCTTCTGTGCAAGTCCTGTCTATCCTAAATCTTAGACCGACATATTCTTCACATACTCGTCAGCTCTTCCTCAATCTTGGTCCATGTCCGTGGCAGCAGGTTCCCCATCAGCCAGTAGTTGTCACTGTAGTCCTTGCCCAACATATAGAAAGCGTTCGCCACTCCCGTAGGCTGATTAACTGCCCTGTTGTAGTAACACACCATTGTCCCCGGAGGATTAGCCCTCGACTCCGTCTTTTCTCCCTGACGCAAAACCGCCGCGCCAAAGTTGGCAGCCTTGATGAGCTCGGCCTTGGTCAAGTTATTGAACAGCACCGGCAGAGAGTCCGACTCCCCAAAGAAGAGCCTCGGGCTTTTACCGGCGTCGATATCCTGGCGCAGGGCCCGCAGGAAGCTAAGCGTTTGCTGCTCGGTAGCCTGCTCGGCGAGATGGCGTCGGTGAGCCAGAGCGATTGATCCAACAGAAGCCCTCGCTTGTTGAGATGACAGGAACGCGTACGCTACTAGTGTCATATTCTGGATGTATACGCCTTCTGTCTTCTTCAGCAGCGGAATCCGAAAGCGAGTGTTGAGGAGACTTCCGACGGTTACTGGCCGGGGCTTCGGCTCCGATAATGATACCACTCGAGTAACCCACGCTGTTAGTATATCACCCTCGCTGACGAAAACTTTCTCTTCAAAGGCTCCTCGTGTGATGCTTTCAGCAGCAGCTTCATTGAGAGACTGGTTTTGCAACCGGGCAAAGGCATTTTTGGGGACGTAAATCATGCGTAGTTCTGGGGCAGGGTTTCGGACTTTGTCCCATATAAATCGAGATATGAGCTTCATCACGCCTAGATACCCGAGACGCTTTGACTCGAGTATGAGCTCTTCCTGGACAGCAGCACGTGTGGCACTTTGCTTTTCTGTCGCCTCCATCAAGGCATCCTCTCGGGCGCCGAGCATCGGCGGAACTTGGTCTTCACGCCCGGCCAGCACGAGCGACCACGCGCGCAGTAGGGCTTGCTGGCCCATGGCGTCCATCAAAGTGTGAGGCCATGCTAGTGCGACGAGCGTCGCGTTATGAAATGAAGTAATGTGTAGCGATAGCTGAGGCGCATCCTGACGGATACTGTCCTTAATTGTCTTGGGAAAGTCTGGTCGCGCTGCGAATTGCCGGAACTCGGCATCAACGGGCTGAATGGACGGACTCCCAGTTGGTTTGGGGAAACGTTGGGCAACCGGGTGATCCTCGATGCTCATCTCAAACAGATGGTCGTGAGAAAAGGCCACTGCCGGTCGCTCAGCTGTGAAATGTCTCGGGACATGAATCTCAAGCTTCCCGTTTTCCTATATAGTGTCAGTCTGCTGCTCTGTTCCGGCGCAGCCGCCTCTTCTCGCTCATACCTTGAACTTTAGCCTACCACCTAGCTTCCTCCAGTCCCCAATCTCTAGTAGTCTCGATAGAGCCCCCTTTAGTTTTTGCGCGTCGAGGACATCGTTGAAGCACATTATCCAAGACAGGAAGATGTGATTCATTTGGATATCGTCTAGCGCGTGCAAAGGGTAGACGTCATGCTCTGGATTATTACACGTCATGTTTGGTCGACTCTTTATAGCTGATGTTTTTGATCGAGATATCTTACCCTCGAACCCTCCACTGCACCACCAACCTTAAGTGCGTCTAACCCGGTTTGGTTTAGCTTTAAAGTCATGTGGCTCTTAGCATGTAGTACCTTACACACCTAACACTCTTCCTTCCAACTCGCTCTCTCTCACAAGTGAGTGATCGATTATTACCTCCTCCTTGATTCGCACGTATAGATAGCCTCCTATATTGAGTTGGCCCGTGCATTGATTGGCTCCCAATTGATTTGGCTTCCCCGCTTCCTCGGCGTTTGTCCCGGCGATTTTAAAAATCGCCGGGACAACATCGTCTGCTTTGCTCTGAGGGGTATGAAATTTGACTGGCCTGATTTATTTTAAGCGGAGGCGAGGTGGGATAAATGAATAAAACTAGTCAACACAGACTGAGTTTGGGCGCAAAAGACAAAAAGTACAAGTCATGCAATCGATCATGCCTCCTCAGAGGGATGCTCAACACAGTCACCATGACTACTCAAAATTGCCTCAGCATGTTGGAGATACCATTCTACCCAATTTTTCCATATTCAATCGTCTTCTTTTCTTTGCTGGCAATCGCGATAATCTCGTGGTCAACGACGTCACGAATGGCCTGAAAGCAACGCATCGACAGCTCCTCTCTGATGTATTGCACCTCCGTAATGCACTCCAGGCGCGTTTGGATCCCGATACTAGACGCCGTCTTTTGCAAGGCGATGAAGTTGCTATAAACCTACTTGCATCGGGAAGCTATGAATTCGCGACTGCGTTCCTCGCATTGCTTGCCTTGGGCGCGGTAATCGTGCCGATTTGTGAGTGCTTGCTTCATGACTTTCTTCTCAACGATAGAGCCTCTAACTAGATCCTTTTATTTTTCAGCTGTCAATGTACCTCTTGAGGAAGCAATGTACTTCGCCAAAACCTCTCGATCAGTCGCTATCGTTTGCTCGACGAAATGCGCAAAGCTGGGCAATGAGCTTGCCAGCGCTATGAATGCATCAAGGATGCCCGGGTTTATCTCTATGGAGATCCGTCCGCATATTTGCAAGCCCCAGATACCTGTCGCTCAGATGGCTATCTCGTCAGACCACTTCCTTGACTACCTCGGAGCGGGACTGGTGATCTTTACCTCGGGGACAAGCGGTCCGCCGAAGGGTGCCATCAAACGGCGCTCATTCCTTGACATGAATGCCTCAGCAATCGCACAATGGTACCATCTCCAGGAAACGGACGTGGTCCTACACACTTTGCCTGTGCACCATGCCACGGGAATTGGCATTAGCTTCATGCCCTTTCTCCTCGCTGGCTCAGGAATCGAGTTCCAGTCATCTGGGTTTGACCCAGCTCAGATCTGGGAGCGCTGGCGACAGGGCGGTCTCACCATCTTCTCTGGTGTTCCTACCATGTACATGCGCATGATGAGATACTTCGACGAGAACATCTCCAAGCGGTCTCCCGCGGAAATCCAGTCTTATATGGATGCGGCCAGGTCGTTCCGGATAATGATGTCGGGTAGTGCGGCGCTGCCTTTCTCGCTACAGACTAAGTGGATCAAGTTGCTGGATGGCAAGCGGATTCTGGAGAGGTATGGGGCTACGGAGTTTAGCAGTGTGTTCAGTGTCAAGCCTGGTGATTCGAAGAATCCAGATGTAACCCACCCTTCTTTTTCATTTGCGTCCCATTGCTGATTATGGTCGATAGGGCTCCGTGGGAAAGGTCTTCTTTGGTTTGCAGGTGAAGCTGTCTGGTGGAAACGAGGGAGAAGTGCTAGTGAAAAGCCCGCACATGTTCAGAGAGTACGAATAATTGCTCTCCTTGCTAAACAACATGAAATGCTGATCAGACTCAGGTACATGTACAACCCCACCGCTACCGCTGCCGCCTTTACCTCGGATGGTTTTTACAAGACTGGTGATATAGCCCGCCGTGAGGGAGACTACTACTTCATTCTTGGACGGGCATCAATAGACAGTAAGCCACACTACCACCATCCTTTGTTATCAAGCTAACGGTACTAGTCATCAAATCAGGTGGCTACAAGATCTCCGCTCTGGACATTGAGCGCGAGATCCTCGACCTCCCCTATATCGGCGAGGTCATGGTAGTCGGAGTTGAAGATGAAGAGTACGGACAGAAAGTTGCCGCTGCAATTACCCTGAGAGATGGCGTAAGTCTTTCGTGAACAATTCTTGGAGATAAACATAATAACATGACATGGCAGGTCTCATCTGTGTCTTTGGAAAAGCTGCGGGCGGATCTTCGCTCGCGCCTGGCCGGGTATAAATTGCCCACGATCCTACGTGTGGTGGATGAATTCCCCAAGAGTGCATCTGGAAAGGTTGTGAAGAGAATTTTGGGCAAGAAGTTCTTCTCGCAACTCGACGATCCGAGTATCCAGACCTGGCGGTCTCGACAGTCTAAGATTTAGGATAGCCAGAACTTGGACGAAGAAGTGACCGATGTATCGCAAGAGCGTTTGATAGAATATTTCTAGATTCTTTTTCCTACAGTACAGACGTTTACAGGAGAAGGGTGTCAACTAGTTGTATAGGATAGAAGGACTATCGATCAGGTAAGACACGAGAGCTTAACAAGGAGGATGAAACAGAGCTAATAGATCAGATTGCGAACCAAGACCCGTTCTTGGCGAGTAATTGGTCGGGTCGGGTCGGGTCGGGCCTCTGTGGGTCATTCTGAATAATTCATCGGATGATAACGTGTGCTTAATCGAGGGCTGTGATTAAGGGCGTCGCTGAGAAGTCGCGTCAGCGGAGGACTCAGCGTCTCATACCGAACCTTCTAGTCCACTGGCCGAGTCATATATTCTTGTTGCATAGGTACACGGGTGAGATAGTTGGCGAGTGGCAGCTCTCTATCGCGGCTTGGTTTGGGGTCGGACAACCAACCGTCGCAGGAACAAAAACCACACCTTCCGTTAGGGGGTAGATCCAGTCAGCTTCGTGCGCCCTTCGCTCGACCAGCGAGCCGCAAAGCTACAAATTCAAGAGCCCCGCCCACTGACCCAGGCTTTCGAAACTACTACCGAACAGATCTATCAACAATACTCTCAATCTTTCGAGTTCGCCAAGCTTTCTTAACGAATCTTGTAAGCATCCTTCCTCTGTTCGCATCCATTGATCACCACTTGCTCGCTGAGCCTTAAATGTAACGATCGATCTTGCACAAGGTGTTCGTTCTGATACCCCATCGTGATCGTCGACCCAGGCGGGATTTTCGTCATTCTATTGCACGGCCTGAAATCACAAGTCCTATTCAATACGTCGAGCTAAAATTACCGAAAGCTGCTTCTCGTCTGGGAGGATTGGACATGATGTCAGACAATCAACGTACTTATTTCCAAAGCTACCCCGACGCTAAAGGATATTTCGGTCGGTTTGGCGGCAACCACTACCCACTGGAGCTTCGGCCTGCGCTGGAAGAACTGGCCAGAAGCTATCAGGACCTTCATCAAACGTCAGAATTCCAGCACGCACTCAACCAGGCACGGGTCGGACTTCAAGGGCGACCGACCCCGATACACTACCTCGAGAATATTTCAAATCAGGTAGGGGGCGCTCAGATCTTCATTAAGCGAGAGGATTTGAATCATACCGGCGCGCACAAAATCAATCACTGTGTTGGATTCGCACTTCTCGCGAAGAAAATGGGTAAGAAGAAGCTGATTGCCGAGACTGGGGCTGGCCAGCACGGCGTCGCGCTAGCAGCTGCAGCTGCCTATTTTGGCCTTGAATGCGAAATTCACATGGGGGAGGTGGATATTGGTAAACAGAGTTCGAATGTCGGTCGCATGCAGCTGCTCGGCGCGAGCGTGATACCAGCAACTACTGGCCAGTCCGCCCTCAAGGATGCTAGTGATTCCGCATTCAACGCGTATGTAGAGCAGCATGCGCACGCGCTCTATGCGATCGGATCGGCTATCGGCCCACATCCCTTCCCAATGATTGTTCGAGACTTCCAAAGGGTAGTAGGTCAAGAAGCCCGCGAGCAATTCATTTCCATCACGAATGGAAGCTTGCCCGAACATGTGGTTGCCTGTGTCGCAGGTGGCTCCAATGCGATGGGTATGTTTTCTGGCTTCATTGATGATCCGGGGGTTGTTCTACACGCAGTGGAGCCTCTTGGCATATCTGATGAACTAGGCCAACACGCAGCGACGCTATCCTATGGAAGACTGGGAACATTGCACGGTGCACAATCGGTTGTGCTGCAGAAAGATGACGGTACGCCTGCTCGTGTCTCCTCTGTGGCATCGGGACTCGCCTACCCCGGCGTTGGCCCAGAGATTGCGATGCTCCATGAAACCGGACGGCTTTCCATCGCAGCAATTTCCGACGAGGAAGCCATCAATACGTTATTCCGCATGGCAAAATTCGAGGGAATTATCCCTGCATTGGAGAGTGCGCATGCTTTGGCGTTTGCAATCCGCCTGGCGTCGCAGCGCCCTTCATCCGAACGAATATTGGTCAATCTTTCGGGGCGCGGTGACAAAGATGTTGACTTCGTGCTTGAGAACTATGGGATAGGAGCCTCACCAGGCCTTTCATAAGCTACCGTTGAATCCAGGCCATCACTCGGAGAGATATTGCCATTTTGATATCGCCCAGATCGTTTCAGAAGTTTTCAAAATATGAATCTCAATTTCAAGTATCTCATTTCAAATTAATCCCTACTACTCGGAGTGTTTGGTCGTTTGGCGTATACCGGAATAACCATATCTGGTATGGAGCATCATGTGATCAGGGCTTGGAAGAGCATCTCATTATTTCCAACATGGAAGGTGATAACGGTCGCCACTGTTCTCGAATCCTTGGTATAGCCTCATTCAAGTGTCATGTGTACCCCGCTTCTATTCCGCTCAGATGTAGAATCCCGCGATCCCGAGGTCTAATATACCGGCGTTTTCTTCGGCGATTTTTTGCGGGAATCGGCAGCGGGGGTGTGGTGTACCCCGACGTGACAATGATAACTAAACTTATAGCTCGATCTTCAAGGTCTATTTCAGAGTTGAGATCAATTCATCCGTTTCCTGAATAACTCACAATTCTCATCATGGCGACAGGCACAAAGTTCCTCAAGGTCGAGCGCAATGGCGCCGTCTTTATTATCACATTACAGAAACCCCCAGAGAACCGTCTGACAATGAGCCTGTGTCAGTCTCTGATTAATACCTACCGCCGCATTGAGCAGACGCTCTCTGAAAAGCCTGAGCCCGAAGGCGTAGTGATCTTGCGCGGGCAGGATGCGAAATTCTTCACTACTGTACGTGGATAATCGGGGACACAATCGAGCAACTTGCTAACAGGCACACTATGTAGGGACTGGATCTAGACGAAAGAGATACCAATATCTTCGCTAGCACCGACGGTTTCTATCCGGTAGGTAAAGCGCCTCGTTCCAATGCCATCGCATTCTTATACGAAGCCATAGCTCGTCCGCACCATCCTCGACTTCCCCTTCCCAACAATCTGTCTGATTACGGGACACACCTTCGGCGGCGCTTGCCTGCTAACTCTAGCACACGACTACCGAATTATGAATTCCAAGCGCGGCTTCTGGTCCATGCCGCCGGTGAACCTGGGTCTTCATTTCAACGGAATGGGTGCATTGCTCCGAGCCAAGTTGCACCCCAAGGTCGCGAGGAAGGTCCTCTTGGAAGCCCACAAGTTCACTGGCAAAGAGGCGCTGGAGGCGGGGATTGTGGATGAGATTGCCGCGCCGGAGGACATGCTGGATCGGGCTCTTGCGCTAGCGGAGAAGGTGAAGGGGAAGTCTCGCATGGGAGTGTTTGCGCTGCTGCGGAGTGAGCTGTATGGGGATGCGCTGAAGCAGTTTCAGCAGATTAGCCATGTGCATAGTCGGGAGACGTCGCGGCAGCCGAAGGCGAAGATGTAGATATATAGAAAGCTGGTCTATAATATAGCTCTTGTTCGATTGGATTGATACTTTATATACAATCTCCAACAAACCCTTGCGCAGTCATCTCATGACCCCCGATACGTCGAGTAATTCCAAGGCCCCAGCAGCACTGGCACATGGTAATGGCGCCATCCCTCCTCGCCTTCGCGGCCACGGCCCTTGACGGTGAATTTGACCTCGACCTCGGGCCAGAAACTCTCCACCCCTTGAGCCTCATACCAGGGGCCGACCTCGAAGCGCACCGACCAGTTCGTCTTGGTATCAGCGGCTGGCAGCGACGCCAGCAGCGCGGGGACGGTCACGGAAGCTGCGCCGGCGGGGGTCCAGTTTGCGACGCGGCCGTCGGCATTCGTGGTTGCGTGGAAGGTAACCGGGCTGGATGCGGAGGCGGGCGAGGAGAGTAGGGTGAGTGTCACGGGCAGGTTGGCGGCCGGAGTGCCCGATAGCGTGTTGAGGCAGTGGCAGGTAATGGGGTCGCGCGCGGCCATTGTGGCGGTGGGTTGTTGGTGGTTGGATGACGGGGCGATTTGTTGCTGGTAGAGAGCGAGGCGGTGGGTGGTGCGACTGGCACTGTTGGCGTCCATTCGCAGAGAAGGAGAGTGTGGTTGTCAAGGAGGAAAAAGGTCGAGCAGGAGCATTTTCTACTCAATGCTGGGCAGCATCGGAGGACCCCGATGATGCGGAGGATGCCATGACTGGTGGGTCAGATCAAGCATAGAGTTACTTTGAACATAGTGTTGATCCTCAAAGGAAGAGGGCATCAGAAATAATCATCTTCATGATAGTCGTAGTCAAGAATGGTCAATGGGAGAGTTGCAAACTAGTAACCACGACCAAGTCAGTACTCGTTGCCAAGCTCAACTTTTCTGCGGGGCGGGAAGCCCTCATCTTCAGTCATCTTCAACACATCCCACATTCTTCCTTCACCTCATCCCGCCATGTCCTCCACCGCCGTCGTTCACGACGACCTCGATATGGAGCCTACGCTCCAGTCGATCCTCAACCAGAAAACACTGCGCTGGATCTTCGTCGGCGGCAAAGGTGGCGTCGGCAAGACCACCACCTCCTGCTCGCTGGCCATCCAGCTGGCCAAAGTGCGCAAGTCCGTGCTATTGATCTCGACCGATCCGGCCCACAATCTGAGTGATGCCTTTGGCCAGAAGTTCGGGAAGGAGGCGCGCCTCATCGATGGCTTCTCCAACCTCAGCGCAATGGAGATCGATCCCAACGGGAGTATCCAGGATCTGTTGGCCAGTGGCGGCGAGGGGCAGGGCGAGGATCCCATGGCTGGCCTGGGCATGGGGAATATGATGCAGGATCTGGCATTCAGCGTAAGTCTTTTGTTTTGGTTTGGGGTCTTTCACTGGCTAACCCGGAGAACGACCTGCTAGATCCCCGGTGTCGACGAAGCCATGTCCTTCGCCGAAGTCCTGAAACAAGTCAAATCTCTCTCCTACGAAGTCATCGTCTTCGACACCGCACCAACGGGCCACACCCTCCGCTTCCTGCAATTCCCAACCGTCCTCGAAAAAGCCCTGGCCAAGCTCTCGCAGCTCTCCTCGCAGTTCGGCCCGATGCTCAACTCGATCCTGGGCGCGCGCGGCGGGCTGCCCAACGGCCAGAACATGGACGACCTGCTACAGAAGATGGAGTCCCTGCGCGAGACGATCAGCGAGGTGAACTCGCAGTTCAAGGATGCGGACATGACCACCTTCGTGTGCGTGTGCATTGCCGAGTTCCTGTCGCTGTATGAGACGGAGCGCATGGTTCAAGAACTGACCAGCTACGGCATCGACACGCACTCCATTGTTGTGAACCAGCTGCTGTTCCCTAAGGCGGGCAGTGGTTGCGAACAGTGCAATGCGCGCCGCAAGATGCAGAAGAAGTACATTGAGCAGATTGAGGAGCTGTATGAGGATTTCAATGTCGTGCGCATGCCAATGTTGGTGGAGGAGGTTCGGGGCAAGGAGAAGTTGGAGAAGTGCGTTTTTCATTCCCCTCTGTCAAGCGCCATGTCCAGGCTAATTGATTTTCTACCTACAGGTTCAGCGATATGCTCGTGCAGCCTTACGTCCCTCCAGAGTAAGTATGAGTGCCATGTCAATGCGAGATACACTTCTTTCGTGAGACGAATTACGAGAAAACAAATGATAGAGTATAATACACCGCACATCTCTGCTGTAGATAGTCCGTAAATGTCCTCGTTCTTATGAACTACTCTTGCATAGCAAACTCTCCGTCTGGAAACAACCCATCTATCTGCCGGCCATGTGTTCAAACGAACCCATGCAGCTATCCGACGAGGCGCACTTGGACCCCGCGACAAAGACCAGCGGTCCCTGGTGCCACGACATCACCGCCATCACCGACTGCATGGCGACTCACTCGCTCAATCGATGATCTGAAAGAAAGAACCCCCAAAAAAAATGCGGTGAGGGGCGGAAACCCCCAGAGACGTCGCCTTCGTAGAGATCAATTTTTCGCCTCTGAATTGATTCGAGAGCATTGTCCCGCGCCGCAAGCCTCACTTTGAGGTCGGCAGACTACCCCAATTCTCTTAGTTGGCGGCCGAACCAAACGACGCCGCGCTCTTGCTACTACTACTCCTAGCGGAGTCACTATGCCGTGCCATGCCGTGCCAGTCTGGCCTGCCGAAAGGGTTGGATCTCGTTGTCTGATAGAGTGAGGCGGCCGGCCCAGCAAGCCCGCTCTGGCCGGTTCCGACAGGAATCCTTCTCGCCAGCTGGTTGCTTGCTTGTCAGGGGACTAGCTACTGATTTGTGACTGGGTAAATGAATTCTGCTACCTCGTTTGGGTGTTTCATGAGCATATGTCCCTCGGGATATTCAATTGGGGGGTTTCTCATTTGCTCCGTCTATTATGGTGTATCGAAAGCCTGGGTGGATGGTGGATCTTGACGTATGATGGTTCTTGTTTCTTTCCAAAGGATTGCAGATAGGAGATGGGAGGGGGACACTGCAGCTCCGAACTGAGGCTTATCCTATTGGTTTCGTCTCTTCCCTCCGACATCTCTTAGGCCGAGCTATTTATTGCCTGCGCATATCCCAGGTCTTACTTAGGGTTTCGAACAGCCAACCCCTTCCAAAATACCACCTTTTCTCGCATTGGGCAATGTCGTCGCACGTTCAGCAGTATTGGCTGCCGGGGTATGGCCTATCCCGACACATTGTCCTCGGACACATCCACTACTTCCTTGGCCCGTCTGCGTCAGTCAGGCCATATAGTTACCAGGTACTTTGCTTCAGAACACCCGCTGTGCGCCACGGTTAACCCGCTCTAACCAGATATCCTTTATTGAGTTAAGGGCCGCGAAGGGTATCTCATAGTCGGCATGCCGCTGACGCGGGTGTGTTTTTCGTTTTATTCTTCTATTTCTGAGAAGATAGCAAGGAAAAAAAGAACCGGGGAGGCTGATTGATATTGGCGAACAGGAACAAATTGACGACCTGGCGGCTATGTCTCGGGAGTATGAGAAACAGGAAGCTGTGCGCATGACCAACCATGGAAATAACATTTCTTCTTCTTCCACTGCCAGCAACAATGGTGGCGGTTCTTCGCATCGTCAGCAGGCAGAGCCCTATATCAATGAGATCGTCCCAGTGGACCCAGGCCGGACGCGCAGACGTACAGAATCCGATTCTCGGGGCAGCCGTTGAATCGCATTTTCTGACTGGCCCTGCACACTGGATCAGATCCATGGCAGCTGGTTGTCTATTGCATTTTCTCTGTTGCTTCATCCAGAACCGGACATGGAAGGCGATCCCTACTTGCAGGCCAGATTGCGTTTCCTTTTTCATGTCCCACACGTGCCGGAGGACCATGGGCCTTATATTTTTCCAGGAAGCCGGGATCTATCACTTCCCCATGGACAATGGCCAATCCACAAGAGGAATCTTCGAGGATGGACATAGGGTTGCAGGAAATAGATGCATTGCACACGAGTCGAGGACGATATCTTCTTACAAGCTGCTACACACTTGCGTGTGGACACAGTGTCGCACGTCAATCGCTCAATGCAGCTGATGGTTGCGAGGGCAGAACAGGATATCTAGTATGGAATACAAAAATGAACAGGCTTTATCCAAGACATCGTCTTCACTCATCATCTCTATAGACCATTCGTAACAGCATAGATCAGTCAAATCCAAACATGACCAGAGTCAACGATATAGTTGTCTCGCTCCCCCGTCTATTCTCGGCAAAAGCCCCTCGCGAAGGGATTGTATACGATCCCTTATCGGTGGTTCTCTCCTCCGTCCAACCCTCCAGGGTCAGAATGGCCACTTGGCGAATCAGCGAAAAGAATAAGTAAAGCGCGGAAGGAGAGACGGAGAACAATAAAGTGACTACATAAGAAATTCGAGAAAAAAGGGTGGACCACCGAAAAACGCCAGCCGGATGCCACTGCGAGGTGTCCCATCCCCTCAAAGAGCCGTGTCGTGACACACACGGGAAGATCACCGGGAAATGGGTGGGCAGAAACAGGGTTGAAAATAAACAGAAATGGAAATTTTTGGCATCATCTCATGCAGAATTTCATTTCGCAACAGCAGAACTATAGAGGAAGTTAGTGATTGAGATGCTTCAGAAGCAACCAGGAGGGCAATACATACCTCAGAACTTGTGTCCGGAAGAAAGCACCCTTCGTCTTCTCAATGACTTGCTGGTACACCGACTGGGGCGGGTGGTTCATGATCACTGTACCCTCCTTGTAGTCAATCTTGGCATCAACCCGGGTGTCGCGGATCAGGTTGACGATCCACTTCTCGCCCTCATCTTGGCTCAGGCCGAGACGGGTAGACAGGTCCCTAATACAACGTCAGTGCACAAGTCTCATGTTCAAAAGACCAGCCGCAAACTCACTTGATGTCAATCCGTTGGTGGATCTTGCAGTAGCTCTCCGAAATGAGATGCCGGGCAGCCTCGACGAAAGCATCGGCAGCCGACACAAGGAAGAAGTCGCTCCGCAGCACATCCTCAGCCTCGCCCAGCTTCTTCTGAGCTTCCTCAAAGTCAAAGTCGACATAGAGAGCCTTGACAAAGTCGGTGATCGGGTCGGTGTACTCGTAACCCTCCTGACGCACAATGCGAATCAGATCCTTCAATTGCTTCTGGTAGAGACCAGTGTTCTTGTGGGGGCGGCTGCGGTTGGTGATGACGGCGGCGGCGAGATACCGCAGGATCCATGGGCAGCTGGTCTGGATGGTGTTGATGTAGGCGGGGGAGAAGAAGAGGTCGGTGAGAACATCGCGGGCGGCGTCGTGGTTGAAGAAAGGGAAGAGAGACCAGTGGATGAGCCAGGAACGGTTGGTGAGCTGGGCGAGAGGGTTGTTGAACAGGCGCGTCTCGATCGAGTCCTTCACCTTCTGCACCTCCTCCATGGCCGCCTCCCAGCTGGTGGTCAGGATTTCCGAGGCCAGCTTACCCCAGGTGGCAGCGGCCACCTTGTCGTTGTCGGTCGACAGAACCCGGAATTGGTACAGCAGCTCTGCCGCGTTGCCGTAGCTGCCGCAGCTGTACTGGAAGCGGCCATAGTCGTAGAGGCTGTTGACCATCTCGTTGGTGACCCCGTGCTGCTCCTCCAGGAACCGCAAGTTGGCGGCCTTGTCGCTGCGCAGGTTGCCCACGACATCTTCATCCTGCAGCAGCTCTGTAATCTTCTCGCTCTGATCCTGGTAGTGTTGCAGCTTGGCCAGAACCTCCTCGCGCTTCTTGACGAACTCGTCGGGAATTGAGTCGGAATTGTTGATCTCCTGCCACAGATTGGCGACGTAGTCGGTCATGTTGGTGTGCTTGAGCAGCTCGTACTTGGCGCGGGTGATTTCCTTGTCCTCCTCGTCGGTGTCGGCGCTGAACTCGAGCAGCGGGAAGACCAAGTGACGGTCGAGGTACGGGATGAGGCGGGGCAGCAGGTCATACTGGTTGACGATATCCTCGGCGGTCTTGGGCTGGTGGGCCGCAGCACCGCTGAGCATGGTCTCAGCAGAAGGGGGAGCGTTGTCTGCCATGGTGTGTAGGGTTGGATGGGGGAGAGAGAGACTGAAAGGGTCGAACAATGAATTTGGCAAGTGGGAAAGAAAATGTGGGAAAGAGTAATCTGCGCTAGGCCCGATCGGGGTTAGTGGATCCTGGCAGGAAAATATGGCCGTGTCACTTGGACCTCGTTGCTCTTTCATCTTCTGTCCTTCGTCAAGCTTCTTTCTTCGCCCATCGTGTTGGTTGCTGTGGGAGACTTTCTCATGGCCTCCCTCCTCCCGTCCTCGGCTGCGCGTCAGTCGACGGCCCTGTCGCTGCATCTCAACCCGGCAGCCGTCTCCTTCCGCACATGTAGTTCCTTTTCCACATTATGCTCTCGGGCACGATTGTCTTCACGTAAGTTGCTGCCAGTTTCTTTGTCTAATGGGCGGGCTCTACTCGGTGCCTCGCTGTCGTCGACCTCGATTGAGATCAGCATTCAACTGAACGTGCCCTCCAGATTCCCAGCCTCAATTCTCACATCGCCCGACGAGCTCTCATCAACCCTCTCTTCCCATCCGCTCCACCCGCACATTCCTGACGCACCTCCGCCGCCAAGCGCAGGCACTGAAGGAACAGCCGGCCCCGGCCCCGACACCCACTGGCCCAGTGAAGCCGCCCAAGACATCGCAGCCGGCTCTGCAGCTTAATAATCTTCCCTACTTCGTCCGCCGCACTCCCTCCAACCAACTCCCCGTCTACCTTGTCACAAAAGCCGGCGGCACGAAGCAGCAGACCAAGATTCAAAAGACCGAGGGCGACATGGATGCTCTGCGCAAGGATTTGGCGTTGGCGCTCGGCGTTGAATCGCCCAACGGGCCGCCCCCCAAGAAGCCTGAGGTTGCAATTAACCGGTTGAATGGGCATATTCTTGTCAAGGTATGTTCCATTGTCTCGGAGATACAGGCATTGGATGCTAATTTGCTATGTTAGGGCTGGCGGAAGGCGGAGATCCTGAAGTTCCTTGAGGAACGAAACTTCTAAACGTTATCATCGCCAATTATACCACAAAAGTTCTTGGAGAAGCCGCTTGAGTGGTGGCAGGGGCAAAGTCTCGTCAAATGAAGAAAACGGGGGTGGGTACAGGCAGTTGAGCTGACCCATAAGCGGTCCGCATGGAAGGGTAATGTTTCTTTTCTCAATTCCCTCTTGCATCAGGCAGTGTATTTTCTTATCTCTCTATGGGTTTTCTTTCTGTCTTTCTGGTTGGTGTTCGTCGCACATGGTTTTTGCCCCTGCGTACTTGTTTTCATCTCTTATGTACGTATTCATTGACAACAGGTGATGGTTGATCTCCCTTTCATTCATTGATTCATTCCTCTCTTGCCGTACATTGTAACCCAAAACTCAAGGCAACTTCCAACCAAGAGCTACCTAATCCCCAACACTGCAAAAGTTTCTGGCCCTTATAACGGAGGCAGGCTTACCAGGCCAGGCCTCATCGCTTGCCAGCAGAAGTGCTCGATCCCTGAGCACCAGAGGTCAAACCGGTGTCGCCAGTGGTAGTGCCGCCGGTATTTCCACCCTACTGGCCAGATGATTCCGAGCTAGCGTTGGCGTTGCGGTCACCAGCTGCCTGGGTGCGCGAAGCGAAGCCGCCAGACGACATGTCGCCGCCACTTTTGGCCTATTTCTGTATCAGTATGCTGTTGAGCCTTTCAATGTAGTAAGAAGGCATTACCTGGCTAGACTGGATGCGCGAGGCATCAGACTTGAACATTTTGTCGTTGCCCGTTTTCTCGATTGAGATTGGTGTTCTGATATGTAGATTGAGTGGATCTGCTCAGCAGCCTGTCAATCAATCCATGCTTGGTCTCATTGTATATGGTATGTATGAGGAGATGGCAGCAGCTCACTTTTAAGGGTTGTTTTTGAAGGGCCTAAGGGCAAGATGAGAGAATGATGGATCGAGAAGTTGAAAAGAAGAGGTCTGGGGGAGAAAGGGCTATATATGCCTTTCCAATCGGAGATGGCCTTCAATCTTTCAAATTGTGTGTTTAGGAAGTTCCCCACGAACATTTCACTCAAAGAAATATGGTTTAAAGGCATTTATAGCTTTGTGGTGTAGTATAGATCCATTTGTGGATGGTGGACAAGAGTACCTACATACACCTGAGTAACCATCTTAGAACGCTCAACCGCAACTTCCATGAGGGACTGGTTAGGGATGCGATGGTTTTCCTTGCCATATGACCTAGCCAACGATAGCTACCTTGAAGGTTTGCTTCATGTCAGGGAATTAAAATCGGACTACTGTGGAAAAATCATGCAGAATCTCTCGCACTCAGCGGAGGGTATTTTAAGCATTGTACACGGAAGAAAGCAGAAGGGCGAAGCGCTATCTCACAAAATAGAACAAGAATAAAGGGCAACAAAAAACAAACCCCCATTCCCACCGACGCCCGGATGTGTGTAAGACGATCAGGAGACCACAAGGACATTCATGAGTAGAAAAGACATGATAGAAACCAAGATTGCTCGTATTTGCACGATGAAGTGCACATACACGTTACTCCGCGAGCTTTGCATAAGTGACGAGCTGTCGAACAACGGCCGGATCGACGTTCGGCAGTAGCAGTGCCCCCAACAGGCTTTCTTTCTTCGGAAGGATCCCAGAGGGGAGCCGAAGCGGGGAGGAGTTGTCTTGCTTGGACTTCTCTGCAAGCCGGCGGAGAATGGCCAGTCCACGGTGAACAATCGAGCTGAATGCGTAGGCATCAGCCTCTGCTTGGCCTCTTTGCCGCGGGTTGATCTGGATCTGTGGGATGCGTTCCGTGCACAACAAGCAGGAGAGTCGCAGGAGATGGACGGCAAACCCATCAACGGACTCGAGCCACGTTCTTGCCAGAGATCCATCTGCATACCATGCCAGGATGTCGGCAGCCAGCAGACCCTGCATGAGGAAGACTTTGCGCACGTCGGTAACCGCAAGGGGTTTCCGAAGCTGATCCGGGATCGGGCTAATGGCAAGGCCAAAAGCGCGGGTGAGCAATTCCACGTGGGAAGGACCGGATGAGTCTCCAGAGAAGATTGCCTTGAAATATGTCCGGTTGGGGTCATCCCGCGCCAGCAACTTGGCCAGCCCATCCACTGCCGCGGGTGTATAGCGGTGGGTGGAGGAATTGAACGGGGTGAACATCACTTTGTCGAGTGTGGTGGAAGGGTCAGGCAACGGTGCAAACGCCAGAAGGAATAGAAGCAAGCTCAATGCATCCTCTTTGGATGGCAACTGGATGGCGTGGGCCAGATTGCTAAGGAAGATCACCGCATCTTTCATAAAATCCAATGTGTTCTGGTTGGTGCGCAGAAGCATCTGGCGAGTCCCCAAATAGCGGAAGATCGTAGACAGAAATTGGGCAACGGGCGGCGATCCCAGAATTCCAAAGTTCGACTCGCTGAAGGAAAAGTTGCGCAAGACGGTGGTGACACAGATGAGCTTATCGACCGCCCGGTCAAGTTCATACGCCAGAGTGCCGAATTCAGAAACATCGGCAAGTGATGTGAATTCAGACTGACAGCCACGTGTGACCTCCTCGTAGAAGGGAATTCGGATAGTGTCCGACTCTTCTGGGGTGTGTTCAGCCAGCAGGTCTAGCTGCTCCTCTGCACAGTCGACCAAGCTCTCGACCAAATCGTCGCAATTCTCCAGCGAGATCTGGATCTGCGGCTCACAGGAGATGGTAGTAAGCGTATCCAGGGCAAGGCGAACCTCGGCATGTATACCGGACTTGAGGCTCATCGTTATAGCGTGAATGTCAATCACTCCTAGCTCCAAAAAGCTGGGCACGTTCGGTTTTAGCCGTGAGATATCCTCTCCAACCTGGTACATTTCATCCACCGCAATGGGCCCATGCAAACGATTCTCCTTCAACACCATAGGCTTGAAAGGATCTTCAATTGGCTGCTTCACGGGGTGCTCAGGTTTTGACTCTGCTTGTACTGGTGGTTGACGAGTAGACACTGAGCCTTTACCACCAGACTGTGCCGGTGAGGGTGCAGGGAACTGTCCGTCGGGTGGGACAGATGGTTGTGACTGGCGCGAGACACTCAGCCGGTGCTGTGCTGGCTTGCTTTGGCTTCGGGCATGTGTTGGCGTTGCAAACCCGTTTGCAGAGTTGGCCTGGGCATTGTTGGCAATAGGAGTGCCAACCGTGGGTGACTGGGCAAGCTGCGGAGGCTGCTCAAATCCCTGAACCGGCTTCACAGACGGGGACTGGAACTGTATCCCCGAGGCGTCGCTGGGTTGCCTTGGGTGGCCACCCTGTTGCTGCTGCTGCTGCATTTCGAACTGTTTTTGCTGCGAGCTCAAAAAGGCCTGCTCGTAAGGAGCCAAGTTTCTTTGGTGGTGCTCCCGGAGTTCCTGGGCCGCCATGGGAAACTGCATTTGGGGGAATTGCAACTGTTGCGCAACAGCGGGCCACATGTTGGTCGCGGTGACTTTCTTCGACCCACCCATCTTCATCACCGTAGCATACAACTGAACCAAGTTGATCGGGCGACCGCTCGCAATGGGGTTCGGATCCAAGGGGAGATTTCGTGACATCATAAATTTTTGCAGGGTGCGCATGAACCCTTCGGGGTTGTTGGGCTTGCCCATGTTCTGCTGCATCTGTCGGATGGCCGCCATTTGCTGAGGGTTACCCATGGCGTTCATGCCGCCAGGAACTGGCCGGCCGGCCATTGCCGGGTTGGCATTCATCTGCCGGTTTTGGCCCTGCTGCATCTGCATGGCATGTAGTCGTTGCTGCTGAGCGGCGATGGCCTGGTGGTATCCTTGAGGTACTTGTTGCATGCCGCTAAATTGCTGGGCTTGCATTGACGGCTGACCGCCAGCGGTGGTCATTGCATTGGCCTGCTGGAACTGTTGCGGGTTCATGCCCTGAGGGAAATTCTGCCCTTGCATGAAGTTGTTGTTCTGCGGTGTGTTCACACGGCTGCCGTGGTCCGACTGCTGCGGAGACATATGGGGACCACCCACATGCGGGCCAGCGGGCGAAAAGGGGCTTGGAGAGGCCGTTCCCATGCGGACGCTCTGTTGATCAAAATCCTGCATGATTGGCGACTGCGTAACATTGGGCGATGCTCCCTGCTGAAGATGTTGATATGGGGTTGGATGTTGAGGGAATTGCGCGCCATTCGCCGGGCCCTGATAGCCAGGGAACGGCACCTGGTGAGGAGTTTGTGATCGCGACCCTGTCACGCCGCCCGGCGCAGGCCGGGGTGACATGGGCATGCCATCTTCCGGTCGTGGTCGCTTGGACGGAATCACCTGGTTAGGGTTGTGAAAGCCTGGTGAGGCATTCCGGGGCATGCCATTATTGAACATGCGCTGGAATTGGTTGGGGTCCTGGGGCGCCGGGGAGCCATGAAGGAAGGCGGCAGAGGGATCGATGGTGGCTGGGTTGAAACCCCCGTTATCATGGCCCGGAAGGTTCGAGGCGTCAGCGAGCCAGGCATTCATGTCGTGCGGTCTCTACCAACCCATCTGGGCGGGAATTGGTCAGCATCCGAATGGCTTGATCCACGCGTGCAATCATTAAGGTATGTGTGGTAGTATCAAAATTCATCGGGGTAAGGGACCACGGATGATCTTCTAGAACCATGTGGACGCGTGGGTGGAGAGGTGGCTGGTGTTTAGGGTCGCGCGCAAACCCGTCGCGACACGGCCCCAGGCGACCACCACAAAGGATGGCGCAGCAGGGGGAAGGGAAAAGCACAATCGATCCCATTAAATGGGAGGGGAGGGGATGATGGAGGGCAATGAAAAAGACAGGTACATACCGACAAGGCTGGATCACTAAGATTCCGTTGCGAACGGGTGATGGAATCCCGAAAATAGCAGACGGGATCGGGGGGGGAGCGGCCAGAGGTTGGTTGGTCACGGGGTGTAGTCACGTGGATGGTTTGGTGCCTGAGGCCACAACACACAAGGGCGACCTGGGGCGGCCAAAGAAGGGATTGCAGCCGGAAAGGGAGAGGGAAGGCTCAGGGCTGGGGGGAGGGTCGATCATTAGCAAATGATGCACAGGGGATGATCTCAGGAACCAAGATTCAGGATTGATCCAGGCCAACAGCCCAGGGGAGACAAATCGGGGGCTACAGGCGATGGTCCGCCATTCCGGGTGGCCAGCCAGCAGGTGCGTGGGCACAAGGTAGGGAAGGGAATAATGGGGGAGTGTGGGGGAAAGGGTAAATGCAAGGGCCCAAGCAATCAGCGCACAGGAATAATAGGAGTCGTAACTTACTACTGGGCAGACAAGAGCCGTCACTTTTGCATCGGGGGTGAAAGGGGGGGAGAGTGGAGTGGGAAAGAATGGGCAAAATTCAGCTGGTTAGGGTCGTACCGGAGTATGGTATGGTAATGGTCAACACCGGATTCACGGTCGAGTTAGTAGGAAGTGGCCATAATTATGGCTGCTAGGATGGTTAATTGCTAGGATGGTCAATAATTATTTATTCTGTTGGTTGATTTGGTCGGGGAAGGCATTGGTCATGATTTATGCGCCCATCGCGGCTGTCAGCCGTGGCCGACACCTGTCATGGCCCGTAAAGGCTGTAAAGGCTGGATAGCCCAGGGGAAAAAGTAGGAAAACAACACTCAACACTGGCACTGGCCGCCGGAAATGCATCATCACATACCCTCGCAGCCAGTACCAGACCCGGATGCTGGCGAAGATCCATTCCAACGGTCACTGCCGAGTCCGGCTAGTGCGGCGTGTTATACTCGATACCCGCCACCACCGCCCAGGGCTGGCCGGGACTGTCAAACCGCGGTGGGAGTCAACTTGTATGACGGGGGAGGAAAAAAGCCAGGGGAACGGAAATTTCCCAGTGCAGAGAATTTTTAGGACCTCCGCCGGTGACAGACAGGTGGGCATCCTTATATAAAGCCTAGACTAGCGCCTGATAATCGTGTGTCTATGCGCGCCCAATAATCCTCCCACCGCAGTAACGGCCCATCAAAAGCTCAGATCACGATCCAGTCAACCGGCCCAGGGTTCCCCCTGCCCCCCGGGCACAGATCCGACTCGATCCGCGTGGCTCTCATCGTCTGTGCCTGTCCCACCGGGCTGCTCCACCCTCGTTTTCTTCCGTGGACGGAACCATGGCGTCGTTTAGGTGTAGCACGGGGTTATGCGACCGTCTCCATTATTTAGGGGTGTTGGTGCATGGTTGTCCAGTGGCTAGTGCTGCTCGGTGTTTGTACTGCGAGCATCTTGTTGTCGGTGTGCATCCGAAAATATATAATCGAAGATAAGCCGGGTCGGCTGGTCGGCGGTCAAATCCTTTGTTTGAAAGTAACCCTGGGGTTCAATTTAGGGTTCGTCATAGTCAACAACAACAATAATATCTCAAGATATAACTATTCAACTTGCTAGCCAGGGGGCCTTTTTGTGATTGCGTTCTCTTCCTCACTTCAACAGGGTAGCGTAGGCACAATCCCATATGCTAGAACGAAACCAGTCAATAAAGTGCCCAGTAAGTCATGGCCCTAATGATCTCTCAAATGATCCTGTCAGACCGTCTAAACCGGAACTAGAATACTTGGTCCAGCTCCTACTCCATCCTGTCCCATGAGATGGAAGAGGAATCACGTGACCGACCAAGCTCCCGGATCATCGAAAGCTCCAGAGCCACACTCTCCGACACGCATCACCATTACCATCACCATCACCACGTCCTTCTCGATCCAATCTCGGAACTGCAACCACACCTCTCACTCTAACCTGCCTACGCACCCATTTTCATTGACCGCCCCCAGACTCCACCATGGGAGACGTTGCCGTGGAGAGCCCGGCGAACGTCACGCCTCTGCCCAGGCCCGGTGCCCTGGATAACCTCTCGAACATAGAATCGCTCGAGGGCACAGGGGCGGAAGCCAATGATGAATATGCCACGCTCAAGAGGCTACAGAGACACTTGGAGTATGTTGTCGCAGACCTTGGAGCCAAAGTGGCCAGTGCTGATGGAGATTGAATAGGTACATCCAACTGCAGGAGGAATACATCAAGGATGAGCAGAGGCATGCACCCTACTTCTTAACCTTTCTGTGATCATGCTAACCGGTCTCTTGCGTACAGAAGCTTGAAGAGGGAGCTCGTACGGGCACAAGAGGAGATCAAGCGGATACAGAGTGTGCCACTGGTCATCGGACAGTTTATGGAAGCCATCGATCAGAAGTAGGCTTCTTGACAACAAAACCACGACCGTACGCTAACGCGCCTTCTAGCACTGGCATCGTCCAGAGTTCGACCGGCTCTAATTACGTCGTCCGCATCCTGTCCACGCTCGACCGCGAGAAGCTAAAGCCTTCATCCTCCGTCGCCCTCCACCGCCACTCGAATGCGCTGGTTGACATCCTCCCCCCGGAGGCCGACTCATCAATTGCCATGCTGGGCGAGAGCGAAAAGCCGGATGTGACGTACGCCGATGTTGGTGGGTTGGACATGCAGAAGCAGGAGATTCGGGAGGCTGTCGAGTTGCCTTTGACGCATTTCGACCTCTATAGACAGATTGGTGGGTTGGAGATCCTATCGTTTCGGGTATCATATTGGCTAATGCGATGTAGGTATTGACCCGCCTCGCGGTGTCCTTCTGTACGGACCCCCTGGTACGGGTAAGACCATGTTGGTCAAGGCCGTGGCCAACAGCACGACTGCCAGCTTCATCCGTGTCAACGGCTCCGAGTTTGTGCAGAAGTATCTGGGCGAAGGACCTCGGATGGTCCGCGATGTATTCCGGATGGCCCGTGAGAACTCGCCGGCCATTATCTTCATCGACGAGATTGATGCGATCGCGACCAAGCGTTTTGATGCGCAGACCGGTGCGGATCGTGAAGTGCAGCGTATCCTGCTGGAGCTGCTGAACCAGATGGACGGGTTCGAGCAGACCAGCAACGTCAAGGTCATCATGGCCACCAACCGAGCTGACACGCTGGACCCGGCACTGCTGCGTCCCGGTCGTCTGGACCGAAAGATCGAGTTCCCCTCGCTGCGCGACCGCCGCGAGCGCCGCCTGATCTTCACGACCATCGCATCCAAGATGTCGCTGTCGCCCGAGGTGGACCTGGACTCGCTGATTGTGCGCAACGAGCCCCTGTCCGGTGCGGTGATTGCCGCGATCATGCAGGAGGCTGGGCTGCGGGCCGTGCGGAAGAATCGCTACAACATCATCCAGTCGGACCTGGAGGACGCTTATCAGGCCCAGGTGAAGAGCGGCCAGGACGACGAGCGGTATGTGTTTGATGAATTATTTTTATTTTCTGATGCTAACTTCTCTCCTACAGGCCGGACTTCTACCGGTAGATTGTGACACCATGTTTTACCCGTCTTATTTATTGGTTGTCAGCTGCTGCCAGGTACCGGAAGGGGCGCATCCGGCCACTCCTCCATCATCCCAGCCAGGCAGACCCGATGATCGTTTATTCCATCCAATCTGTGTACTATTTATTATCTCCGCCTCAGTAGTTCCTACCTCTGTACCTCCTCACTCGTACTCGGTAAATGTCTATAATAAACAAGGCAACCAAGTTGGGTTGGTACATAACAATCCCGCTGAGTCATCCTTTGCTGCTTGCGTCATGAGGGAGCCTCCCCCAGCCCAGTCACCCGATGAACGACTGGCCCGGCCTCTCTTTCCTCTTCCACCATCTCCCTCCATCTCTTATCTATCATCACCCACTCCATCTCAGTCAGTCGTTCGCTAGATTGTCTTCTCTTGATATACTCTCTCTACTGTCTGGACCCATCATGAAGTCCCTCGCCCTGCTTACGGCCTCGGCCTTAATGGGCAGCGCTGCCGCCGGGGTGCATAAGCTGAAGATCAACAAGGTCCCTCTCGAAGAGCAGATGGTACGTCCACCACTCCCGATCATCGAGTCTTTCTCACTCTAATGGGATGCCAGAAAACACACAGCTTTGATGACCAGGTCCGCGCCCTGGGCCAGAAGTACATGGGCTACCGCCCCCAGTCTCAGGACAACATCTTCCAGGATACCTCCCTGAAGGGTTCCGCTGGCCACGATGTGCTGGTGGACAACTTCATGAACGCCCAGTGTATGAGCTCCCTCCTGTTGATCCTCCCGAACTCGCACTGACCCTTCTCCCAGACTTTTCCGAGATCTCTCTCGGGACACCCCCCCAGAGCTTCAAGGTCGTTCTCGATACTGGCAGCTCGAACCTGTGGGTTCCCTCGTCCGAGTGCAACTCCATCGCCTGCTTCCTCCACTCCAAGTATGACTCGTCCTCGTCGAGCACCTACAAGAAGAACGGCTCCGAGTTTGAGATCCGTTACGGATCCGGTAGCCTGAGCGGCTTTGTCTCCCAGGATACGCTGCAGATTGGTGACCTGAAGGTCGAGAAGCAGGACTTTGCCGAGGCTACCAACGAGCCCGGACTGGCCTTTGCTTTCGGTCGCTTCGACGGCATTCTGGGTCTGGGCTACGACACCATCTCCGTCAACAAGATGGTGCCTCCCTTCTACAACATGCTTAGCCAGGATCTTCTGGATGCGCCCGTCTTTGCTTTTTACCTGGGTGACACCAACAAGGAGGGCGACGACTCCGAGGCCACCTTCGGTGGTCTGGACAAGAGCCACTACACTGGCGAGTTGACCAAGATTCCCCTGCGCCGCAAGGCCTACTGGGAGGTGGAATTTAATGCCATCAGCTTCGGCGACAACACTGCTGAGCTGGACAACACCGGCATTATCCTGGACACCGGCACTTCGCTCATTGCCCTGCCTTCGACCCTCGCCGAGCTTCTGTAAGTCCCTTGTATCTGCTGCACCGAAATTTCCGCTCGACTAACCACCCCAAAACAGGAATAAGGAGATTGGTGCCAAGAAGTCCTTCACTGGCCAGTACACTGTCGAGTGCGAGAAGCGTGACTCGCTGCCCGACCTCACCTTCACCCTCAGCGGCCACAACTTCACCATTGGCCCGTACGACTACATCATGGAGGTCCAGGGCTCCTGCATCAGCAGCTTCATGGGCATGGACTTCCCCGAGCCCGTCGGCCCTCTGGCGATCCTGGGCGACTCCTTCCTGCGCCAGTGGTACAGCGTCTACGACTTGGGCAACAACGCCGTGGGTCTGGCCAAGGCCAAGTAAAGCGTTTTCTCTCATAAGACTTGCGTTGAGGTCCGTCAGTGATCTGCGCCGGGAGGATGTTTCGTATATACGCGTGGCTTTTGCCTGCTGGTCTTGCACCGGGGGCTGTGAGTATCTCTCGTCGTCAGCCCATAGTGGCACTGTCTTGAAGTAGTGTTTCTTTTGCGCGTCGTGTTCATCTATTGATACTGCAAATGCAGCCTCTCCTGCGGCTTGGACCTATTTCGCATTTTCGTTCATTTGCCAGACTTGCTGAATCTAGTCCTCTGCTTGTATGAATGATCTTCCAACGTTGTTGATTATGTAGTTGTAGTCTGGAGTGGCTCGCCCAAGGAACCACCGGTTGACATAAGCTGCACCTCTCGCTCTCTCCTCGCCCCGCACGACTTGCCTAACTACTTGAGCTCGGCTTTTCCCTCTGTCCATCCTGGCACGTCACATCCCCATTTATCATCATACCATTTCCTTCCGGTCGCATCGTGCGCCTGGTGCGTGTTCTGTCTCTGATTTACGCGCCAGGTTGTGCTAGGCGCACGCTTCCGTCTACTCGATCCGCGTGCCGTGGCGAATTGCCCGGACCCGACCTCAACCGTACCTTGCGCTCAGCACACCATCTCTCCCTCAACCCTCATCATTCCCCTCGAATTGATCTTCAAACAATCCCAATCACCGCTCATCATCACATTATTCTCTTTTCGCACCCATACACGCGTCGCGTGTTGGTAATGGCTCCCAGCTGAAAAAAACTACTCGCACGCGATCATCCCCACAACACGACGACCGCTGCCGCGTCCGACGTGATCTCGCAAGCACACGTATTTGAAAGAAGAGGCGTGGAGGAAAGAAAAGCATTGAGCTGAGGAAACCGCGTCATTACCATCGCCTGGGTGTGGGCGAAGTAGGAGCTCGACCATGCTTCTCCGTCTGCCGCCCAGCCTCCACTACCCGATCACCGTGACGTCGCTGCTCAAGAAGCCCGGCGATGCGGTGGAACGGGACGAGGCTTTGTTCTGGTATGTTTACGAGACCACCGTCTCGGAGGGTGATGGGCTGGGGAATAGAGTCGAGGTGGAGCGCAGGTTCCCGACTCGGTTTGAGTCCACTGTCGATGGGGAGATTGTGCAGTGGAAGATTGCCAAGGGGGATGTTATCGATGACCCGTGAGTTTGACTGTTTCTTCTGAGGTGGTTGGTGTTCCTTTTTCTGACTACGGGATGCATTTTAGGGTTGACATCGTCGAAATCGATGAGCCATGTGCGCACGAGATTCAATATGGTGGAATGTGTGCGGAGTGTGGGAAGGATATGACCGAGTATGTATACACCCGTAAGTTTCATTATGGCTTGTTCACTGACTATGGGGTAGATACAATTACAACACAGAGATCCTCGGAACCGAGCGTGCCACAATTAAGATGGTTCACGACAACACCGCACTGACAGTCAGTCAAAACGAGGCGGCACGTGTTGAAGAGGATGCGAAACGTCGCCTGCTGGAATCCCGCCGCCTCTCGCTGGTGGTGGATCTTGATCAGACTATTATCCACGCGACGGTGGATCCGACAGTCAAAGAATGGAAAGAGGACAAGGACAACCCGAACCATCAAGCGCTTCGTGATGTGCATGAGTTCCAGTTGATTGACGATGGTCCGGGCATGCGCGGATGCTGGTATTACATCAAGCTGCGCCCCGGCCTGGAGGAGTTTTTGGACAAAGTCGCCCAGCTATTCGAGCTGCACATCTACACCATGGGCACCCGGGCTTATGCTCAGCAAATCGCCAACATCATCGACCCCACCCGCAAGCTCTTTGGGGATCGGATCCTCAGCCGTGACGAGAGCGGAAGCTTGACCGCCAAGAACCTCCAGCGACTTTTCCCCGTTGACACGAAGATGGTTGTCATTATCGACGACCGCGGCGATGTATGGCGGTGGAACCCTAACCTTATCAAGGTCTCACCCTATGATTTCTTCGTGGGTATCGGTGATATCAACTCCAGCTTCCTACCGAAAAAGCAAGATATTGGCGAGACGAACAAAGTCCCCGTGAGAGTTATTAAGGAGAAACCGTCTACCGAGCATCATGTCAACGGTGCAACTGCGAAGTCAGAAGCCGGAGCCGAAGTTTCGGCGTTGGAGCAGTTGGTGAGCATGGGCGGAGGGGACAATCCAATGCTGCTGAAGGAGCAGACCCATGCACAGGAAGAGACAATATTGCACCAGGTGGAGGACCGACCATTACTTCAAAAGCAGAAAGAGCTGGAGGCGGAGGACGATGCATCCGCTGAGAGCAGCGAGGACAGTGTCGATGAGTCGCAGGAACCTATCAAGCCCCGCCACCACCTACTGGAAGACCACGACCGTGAGCTTTATCAGCTGCAGGACCGACTGGAGCAAGTTCATATCAGCTTCTTCGAGGAGTACGACAAGAAGCGCAGTCGTGCACTTGGGGGCCGAGTGGCGGAATTGAAGGGCGAGAAGGCCGCGTCCAAGGGCAAAGGCGTGGATCTAAAGCTCGTCCCTGACGTCAAGGAGATCATGCCGCAGATTAAGCGACGAGTTCTCGGGGGGGTCGTTCTGGTGTTTTCGGGTGTCCTCCCTCTGGCACGGATACCCAGAACGCCGACATCTCGCTCTGGGCGAAGAGCTTTGGCGCCGTCATCGCACCCAAAATCAGCCCGCGCACCACCCATCTCGTGGCTGGCCGGAACCGCACCGCCAAGGTCCGCGAAGCCACGCGATATCCGAATGTCAAGATCGTTACCACGCAGTGGCTGGTCGACTGCCTGACGCAATGGAGCCACCTCGAAGAGGATCCTTACCTGCTCCCCGTCCACCCGGATGACCGTGGCGAACCCTTCTCCCCCGGCTCACGCGAACTCGCCGAGAGCTCGTGGCTATCTTCCGAAGACGAAGCATCAGGGTCTCTCTGGACAGAAGAGGAAGAAGGCAGCGACGACCTGTTTCGCTCCTCGGGTCTCGAGACATCGCCTATCGGCTACGACGCCGACGAGCAAGCCGCTGTGCACGACGAGCTAAAGGAGTTCCTTGGCAGCGACGACGAGAGTGAGAGCGACAGCGAGACATCCTTCCTGGCCGATGAAAACGCAGGGAGCGGCAAGAAACGCAAACGCGACGAGGGCGCCCCCGTTGGTGAAAATGACGAGGAGTCCGTGGAAGATGATGGCGACGAGTCCGATATCGCTGGCTCGCGGCTGTCGCAGCGAATCAAACGTTCCTATGAGCGCAGCACGGGTCTTCGAGAAGTGGCTACAGCGACCAGCTCGGGTTCTGACGAGACAGCATCGGAGCGTGCGCTCCCTTCTGGTCCGGAAGGGGAGGAGCCCGATGCTTCAAGTCTGGCGGTAAGCTATCCCGAAGATGAGGATGACGAAATGGAGCGCGAGATGCTTGCTGCGTTTGAGGACGGGGATTACGATCCCAAGGCAGAGGAGGATATTGCTGCGGAGAATGGTTAGTCGAGCGTGTCACGTCTTCGTTTTGGGCTGCTTGGATCCCCCCTCGTCTATCCTCTCCTTTGTTTGTTCCTGCCATCCGCTATCCTCCTCAAGATGCCCTTTCCATGCTCTCTGTGTCGACTCTCTTCTTTCCTGTCTGTCTTCTTTCCTCCAATTTTCTGCAGTTGCAATGCGCCATGGCATAGCGACGGCGTTCATCAGTGTCTGTCTTGTCTCCAATTTGCTTTTCCTTTACCTTTTGATTTCCTTAGATGGATGGATTGGTGGGTAGATGGATCTTCCAGAGTTGTTTGGTGACCATCTATCTACCCTGACTATCTTCCGGAAGTTTTGTGTGTATCTTTTTCAAGAAGCGTTTTTGTTGTAGGTACATGTGACAATTACAAAGAGTATGAATACGTGTGGAAAGAGTGTCGAATATGTACCGGCGCCTTTTACGGCTTGATTCCCGCCTGCTCACTCTGTACGCAGCGCCCTACCCCTCCTACATCTTCACAGTACTCTGCCTCCCACTCATCTTTCCTACCATGACGAACCCATACGAAGCGGACCCAGAAAAGATCCCTCCGACCGACTTGTACGCGGATGTGCCCTTTTACGGTCGATACTGTCCGAAACCTGATGACTTCCGCGTTGATTTTCAGCATGTCAACTCCCAGACTGCCGACTCTTTGAGATACTGGACCGTGGTCCTCAGCCTCTGCACTGAAGACATCCGAATCTACCCCGCTGATGAAGGGGGTCGCGACGTTTTTGCTCTCGGTAGCGTGATCGTGAAGTCCAGCCATCTCCGTACACGCGAGGGTGCTCCATGTACTGAGATCGACTACACATACGCCGATGCCAATGAGGCTCAGGCGATTGCTCTAGCAAAGACCGTGCTGAAAGATGTCAAAGTTCCAGAAATTTACTTTTCCGACAAGGTATAATATTTACTCTCGCTACTTTTCGTTTATCAGGCTGAACGACTCACATCTCCTCAGATCAATGGCCGCCAAGTGCTCATCCAAGAAAGACTTCCAGGGGTGGGATTGTGTGTCGCCTGGCCGTACCTCTCCGAAGACCAGAGAAAGTCCTACAAAGAACAGGCTAGGAGGATACTCCAGCAGCTTCACACTATCAAGCCCACGGAGAAACTGCAAGTCGCTCTCACGCCGTACCGGACCCCAACATACTCAGTAACGGCCGTCTCAATCCGCTAGAAGGCGACCTTCTTTTTTCAAGCACGGATCATGATCCGGACATGAGCTTCATGCACAACGATCTTACCGTGTGTAACTGTATAGTGGACAATGGGACAATCGTAGGGCTTATTGACTGGGAAATAGCTGGCTTTTTTTGGCTGGAAGACCGCTAGGGAAGTCCACCGTCGGATCAGGACTCCACAACGAGAGCATTTCCGAATGCCAATTTGCGAGGAACGGCTTCAGGATATGATGTTCTGGAATGACCTATATGATCAAGGTATGCCGGAGGATTGAGCGTGAGGTTCTCAACTTCCTAGGGGCTATGTTTGATATTCAGGGCCGTAGCAGAGGGAAAGCAATTACTTTCAAGCAGAAGAAAAAAAGTTCGATGCGATTCACTGAAAACGCCAACGTGCTCATGCAAAGTGGTATCAAAAGGCAAGTCCGAGTCAAGAATAGAAGTCAGGAATAAAAATAAAAAATAGAAACCAACATCCAAGGAAGGCGTAAAGAAGATCAATCAACCATAAAATCGCGATGCACCTGCCACGACATGACCATCATCCAGAAATAGAAGACGGTATTGACGAGCTCGAATGCAAACGCGGTTTTCCAGCAATTACCTATAGAAGCAGTCAGCAAGAAGATCACCCGAAAGAAAGGAAAGACCATACAGATAGTACTCTGGGTCAACCAAGCCAGCGTATCGATAGTATTCCCCCTCGACACATTTTCCACGACATAGATCTGGCAATTATCATTCACATTGCCCGTAACACCATACAGGAGCAACGAAGTCTCAATAAGACCCGTCAGCCACAGGACGAAGAGGATGAAGCTGCCGATTATGACGATCCCCGGCAAGAGGAAGCCGCGCAAGATAAGGGCGACGAGGAGGAGGACGAAGAAGACGCCTAATGCGCCAGTTACTACCATGTATGGAAAGACCCTGTTCACATCATTAGGATGTTTATTCCCAGGCATAGGATGAGAAAGAGATAGAGAGAGAGAGAGAGAGAGAGAGAGAGAGAGAGAGAGAGAGAGAGAGAGAGAGAGAGAGAGTGGACAGAGTAGGACTTACCAAGGCGTTCCGAGGTCCATCTGCGCTTGTACAGCCATGAACCACGCAAAGATCCCCAGGCACGTCGCGGACCCGGAGAGCAAGACTATAATCAAGAGGTGGAACTGAACCTCTGGCCAGCGGTAGTGCCGGCGCGATTCGCGGCGGATTACCGCCATGGTGGGCGAGGACGAGGGCAGGTATTATCCGGGATGGGTGTTTGTTGGTGGAGGAGGACTTAGCGCCGGATTTATCAAGTCCGTTTTGGACACTGTCGGTCGTGATATATTGTCTTCTGGACAGGAAAATGAAATGCGCGCGCGAGAGTGCTGATATGTGATGTGGTGCGGTGCTTGTAAGCCCGACGCGAAAACCTGACGCCTTGCGTCTGTGTCGTTGGATGTTTGTTTATCGCGGGGCTGCGGCCGGGTAGTTATGGGCCCAATGCGTTGCGCGAATCCGGGGGTCAAATGGCAAGCGATTGGAGGGAGGAGAGAGAGAGCGAGCGATCATTAATTATTCGCAGGAAGAGGAAGCGACCAAGTGGCGCGAATGTCTGTGGTCGGAAGAAAGAGGACGAACAAATAATGAAGGAGGCCGGGAAGGGGATCGAGCAATCCCCACATGATTGTTTACTCTATTTATTCTCAGACAACCCACCAACTAAACACCCACCCCTTACACTTCCACTCACTCTACAACAGCGTATCCCCCAGCGCACTCCGAACTAGCGAGCATCCCGCCCGAATCGTCTCATTCGCTCCGCCCGCCTCGAGGCTGGGGTTGACCTCCACCAAGTCCATAGCGACCAGGTTGCCCGTCTCATGCACGCACTCACAGATAAAGTCGCCCTCGCGCAGCGTCAAGCCGCCGCGCACCGGCGTGCCCGTGCTAGGCGCCCACTGTGGGTCCAGCGCGTCGACGTCAAAGGATAGGTGGATGGGCGTGTCGTTGCCGATGTGCGCGAGCGCCATCTCGACGACGCGGCCGATGCCGTAGCTGGACGACGAAAATTAGTATTGACATCCACGAGAAAGAAGAGGGTAAATGATTCTCACCGGTCAATATCGTGCATGCTAAACGCCTTAATCCCATTCTCGCGCAGGATCTTCTTTTCGCCGCGGTCGACATCGCGCAGCCCGATATACACCAGCTTGCGCGTGCTCACGATATGCTCATCCTGCAACCAGCCGAAGATATCCTTCTTCTCCTCCCTCGCCAGCCTGGTCAGAAACGCCATGGGCATTCCGTGGATATTGCCACTGTCGCTCGTCTCCGGAAGATTGATATCGGCGTGCGCGTCGACCCAGATAACCGCCATCTCGCGGCCCAGCCGCTCGCGGATCGCCTTGGCCATGCCGGACACAGTGCCGATGGCGATGGAGTGGTCGCCGCCTAGGGTGAGCACGAACTTGCCCTCCCGCGCGTGGCTGTATACCTGCTTGCTCAGCTGCTCGGTCACGGCGCTGACGGCGCGCGGCTTCTTCATGCCCCGGTGGTCTGGGTCTGCGGCTGGGATGGAGTCTTCGTAGTAGTGGATCTTGTCGTCGTGGTGGATGTCGTAGTCGAGGTCCTCGCGGAGCTGGGTGAGGAGCCCAGATTCAATGAGGGCCATTGGTGCCGCCTCGACGCCTTTCTTGCACTGGGATCTCATCGTCAGTAACAGAGTTGCTGCAGGGGGCGCTTCGGGGATATACATACCTGTCCGCCATCGAACCCGACGGCGACCACGCCGAGCGAGTTCGGTTGAGAGAGGAATCTCGAGGCGATCGTAGACGGGAGTGTCATTGTGCAGTTCTGGTAATTAACAGTGAAGAGGGAGGGAGACTCTAGTCTAGAGATAAGATTCGATCTAGATCAGAGTAAAAAAGTGGGACCGAGGGGCAATAAGAGAGAAAGGGAGACAGTCGTAGTCAGGTCAGAATGATGTATGAGAAAACGAAGGGAAAAAAAAAAGAAGAGAAACAATGCTCCCTTTATAAATACCTCCTGCCCCCCTTTCCGACACCAACCGTGTCCCTGCCAGGCCGTGGTGCGTGTTGCAACCCGCGAGTCGCTAAAAACTGCTTTTAGGGATCAGCGACTCCGCCGTGTCTTCCCCTAAGTACAGGTTGAGGAGAGCGGCCCCGTTTAGGCCGGCCCGGTGTCCACACGAGGGGATTTACGTAGGAATTTGCAGGTTTGGTGCATGGATGCTTATCGTCATTGCTTTGGGACGATCAATTGATTCAGTTTTTCGATTTGCGTGGTTCGGATGTTGCGGCCGGGGAGGGAGGGTGATACCAGATCTATAAGCGGCAATTGAACAAGGGTATCATTGAGAAAAGGACTACATATACCATACACAGCTACGGGCCCCCCAAAATCAGCTCGCGCAGAATCTCCTCCGCCTTGGGCGCCTCGACCCGGCCCTTCTCGCCGGCGCGCATCATCTGGCCCACGAACCAGCCCAGCTTGCCCAGCTGATTCTTCGTGCGGATCTGCTCGACCATTCCCGGATTCAGAGCGATGGCCGCTTCGGCCAGCGCGACGTACTCCTCGCGCGAGAGCGGGCGCAGCAAGAGGTTGTCTTCCTCTAGCAGCTGCGGCACGGGGCGCCGGTCCCCGTCGAAGACAGCGGCCAGCACCTGTTTGGCCGTGGGGCCTGTGATGCGCTTGCGCTGGAGCTGGTCGACAATGTGGGCTAAGGACTGGGCGGGGACGATCGCTGCGTCCCAGACTCGGTCTGTCTTGGTCAACAGCCCCCCCAACTCGTGTAGAACCCAGTTGCCGGCGACCCGGGCGACCTTCTTATCGGCTTGATCGGCCTGGAGAGAGCGGAGGATATCCACCACGTCCTGATAGTACTCAAGTCGCGCGCCGTCATCCAGCTCGATGAGCGGTTTGGCGTCTTCGATGGGCAGGCCGTACTCCGGCCCAACCAGCATGGCCACTAGAGAATCCGGCGATGAGGGCAACGCCTGCCCAAGAGTAGCGATCAAGTCTTCGCCAATAATCAGCGGCGGGATATCTGGATCGGGCATGTAGCGATAATCTACAGCACCCTCTTTGCCGCGCAGCTTGCGGGTCTCGGTGCTACCGATGGTCCACCCGCGCGTCTCGCCTTCCACGACGCCGCCGCTCTCCAGCAGGGCGATCTGGCGGTTCTTTTCGGCGACGATCGCATCTTCCACGGCCTTGAAACTGCTGAGGTTCTTGATCTCGGTGCGCTGGCCCAAGCCCTTGATCCCATCGTAGGCATGCTGTCCCGGGGCCTCGTCCCGGCGACGGACCGAGACATTGACATCAACACGCAGGCCACCTAGTTCCATTCCTGTCGTCACGGCACCACATGCTTGTAGGATTGATTGGAGTTTCCGGACACAGGCCGCGGCCGTCGCGGGGGAGTGGATCTGGGGCATGGAGATGATTTCGATGAGGGGGTGCGACACACGGTTGAAGTCGAGGAGTTGGGTGGAGGGCGGATACTCCTGGGACTTGGCCGTGTCCTGCTCCAGCTGAACCTGCTTGATATCCACTCTCACCCGGTCGCCGTCTTCTGGGGCAATGCCATCGTAATCGAAGAGGTCCACGTAGCCGTGTCGGGCAAAGGGTTCTGCGACGGGTCAGTTGTGAGGCGACCCTCATGGGAGAATCTCACCAACCGTAATATTGTGTGATCTGATACCCTGCCGGCTGGTCTTGGTAGAAGTAATGCTTCCGGTCGAACCGGCTGACGGGCTGGATCTGGCAGTTGAGAGCAATTGCGGCGCGGAGGGCAGGCAGAAGTGTCGCGGCTTGAAATTCCTGGAGAATGACGGTAAGGATCAATTCAAGTGGGCAGGATATGGGTATCCGAACCGGCTGACTGCCCGGAAAGGCCAGGTCAAACAACGCGACGTTGGAATTCGGGGCATCGGTGCTGGAGGTCGGGGCCCTGGAGAACAGCTTCGCAGCTGTATCTAGCTGGGCGTGGATCTCCACGCCCACTGTCAATTCCCATTCTTGTCTGGAAGCCTCTTCGCTCTCTTTGCGTTGTCTCTTTTGCGCCTTGAGGGCCTTGGCGTCTTGTTTGAGTTGTTTGCGGAGAGGGACGCGATCTGAAGAAGTGGAAGTTTGGAGACGGCGGAGGGGGATGGAGGGGTGATTATTATTATTATGAATTGGGGCGATAAGTCGACATTGTGAGCAGAGCGAGCGGACAGCTCCACGGGCAAGTGGACGGAGCATGGGGGGGGATGTCCGACAGTAGAGCAAAAAGAGACTGAGGGAGGAAGTTGGGCAGATCCACGGCGGCGAGATCGGCAGACCCGATACCCAACCACCGTACACACACAGTCAGGTCGACATTGCAATGGATTTCACTATTAATCTATTGAAGTATGCTGATGATGATTGTCGAATTGACCAACCCCATCGCCAATCACCGTCTGTCCTCGCGATGCGACTCGTCACAGTGGTTCTGCACTCGGCCCGTTTCGGGTGCCTCTAGACCGCCAGATGCTCCAGACGCAAGGGCGAGTTGAGTTGTCCATGACTGACTAACGACTGGTTTTGACTTTCTTTCTTCCCTGGTCTCGTACCCGAGGTTGTACACGACCCGAGCAAACAAGGGGGCCCTCCTTGCAACCCCCCAAACTCTTTGGTCGCTGATCTGAGGCCATCGGCGCTTCGTCTGCTTCAGCCCGTCCAGGGTCACCCGCCAGGCGACGAATGACAGCCCCCGCCGCATTCCATTTTTAGGCCTGGCGCAAAAAGGGATCTGCCTTTACCACTCTACTGTGGGGGGTGACGTGCTGTTCATGATTCGGTTGCACCCGGGCGGACCCCTCGAGAAGGAAGGATTATATACATCACGAACTATCCCCTGCTCCCGTTGGTCGTCACTCGGATCGCCCCAAACTATCACCCCTAGATTCCATGAAACACGCCTCCCATCACATCGCATGGAATTTCGCCCTCATTATCGCTGCCGCCCCTTTCTGCAATGTCTGAAAACCCCCATGGGGAGTTATTTATCCTTCATCTCATGTCCTTTCACTAAGCCGGGCATGGCCTATTCAATCTAATCAGTTAATCCCGGGTATCGTCACCGACGACTGTCGATCATCATCACCATGCCGTTCCAACAGCGTACCAAGAAGAATAACAATAAGAAAGATGGACGAAAAAGGACGACGTCCACGGTTTCGACCACACAGGCTGGCCCTGTCGAGACTACCGAGCAATCCAAGCAATCACTCAAGACTTCCGATCCCTCACCCACAGAGCCGGCGAACAAGACCCCCAATGTCTTCGAGTTCCTCGACGATAACGATGAGTCGTCTTCAGAATCGGAAGAGGAAGGAACGCAAGCCCTCACCAAGATTCAATCTCCTAAACCCCGAACAAGTCCCGTGGCACATGGTTTATTGAAGTCGAGCGGAGGCCATAACCCACAAAGTTCCTTTGGCTCAAGAAGTTCGAGTGACTCGCGCCGGTCATCGGGTACTGCTGCGACTTCGACATCAGAGAATCAGTTGCAGCTGGCGCGGAAGTCTACAGCCGCACAATCAAAGTCCCTCCCAGCCAAGGCCAATGCATCGTCGTCCGGCAACCGTCAATTGGAAATCACTCGACCAGAAAGTTACTACACACAGGACATGCATAGATCACCCCTGCCGCCGTCTCCACCCAGCAGCCCGGAAGACAGTCTTCACCGCGATGCGCTCACAAACAGGCGGAGCAGCACCTCCCAAGGACCATCGGGCTATGGACTTGTGGCATCCCATCTCACCCAGCCCGTCGCGGAGGAGAAAACCGGATTTCCGCCGCTGTACCGGCGCTTTGAGAACCTGAACCATCGCGTTTTGCTACATCTGCAGGACGAGATCGCACAGATGGAAGAGGATCTGCAATCCCTCGACGAGTACGACGAACTGCATCGTTCCGCCACCGCCGAGGAGGAAGGTACAAAGGTTATGCCTGCTTCCCGGCGGATGGATGTCAAGCACCAGGTGTACTCGTCCCTGCACTATCGACGCATGGACCTAATGTCTAATCTGATACAAAAGACTGAGCAATACAGTGAGTTTCCTCATCTCACCCAGAAGAGGGAGTCTACTGGAAGGCAAATCCTAACGAAGTATAGACAACGCCCTCAGCGCATACAGCAAAGTCGCACAGACTCTCCCCCGCGCCTCAGAAACCGATATCCACAGGTACCGGGCCTGGATGAAAGAACACAACCCCGTCGCCGCCTCCGAGACCAAGTTCCTGGACCATGACGCCGACCTCGTCTCGCTGACCCCGCGCCTGGCCGCTTCCGCCGCCGCGGCACCAGTGTATATGGCCATTATCATCGGCGCCGGCGCGATATTGCTCCCGCTGCTGGCATTCAGCATGATCGCTGAGTTCTCGGGCCGACTCGTCGTCGTGACTGTCGTGGGCGGCGCGGCGGCTGCTATTGCGGCGAGTTACTCCGCTGGGATCGAGACGTTGGTTGATTCGAGGGATGGCTGGCGGTGTGCGACATTGTATGTTTCTCGTCCTTTTGATGCCCTTGAAAAGAAGAGACGAGACTAATCTTTCCTCGATAGGTACTTTGGTTTCATGACTGTCGCAGCCATGTTTATCCCCTAAGTCTCTCTATATTCAAGGCGAGAAGAGGGCCTCGAGAGCCTTGAGATATAGCAAAATCAGCAAACAAGACTTGGACGATATGATACCATCTGACATGATGGAACAAGCTTAGAGAAAGAGACGGCGTTTGGCATAGGGTACGGATGGAAACTGGCATTGATTTGATAGGGCATTGGCGAGGAAGATGAGGTGTTTTGGGAGTCCTTTTGTTTATGTTGATTGGATTTGAGCTCATACCGAATACCACTTTGAATTGTTACCGATTAACCATTTACGAGGAGATAAGATGATGGTTGAATGCATTGATTGAATTGCACCAAAGCAAGAAAGGGACCTTCTAAGTTTAGCTGTTTAAAAATTCCTAGTAGTAGACAGATAAGAGGGAAAAAAAGGAGGACTGACTGCGCCGGAGCACAGCCATCGTGAATAATTCGAGAGCAACCCACAACCCCGTCTTAAGAGAGTAAAAAAACCCCCCTTCCGCGCCAATTGCTGTCACCGAAAAGACAAAGAACACCAGATAAAAAGCAAGTAGATCCGTAGCAACACAATGGGTGAGAATAGAAGAAAGGCGGAAAATCCGAAATGCAGCACAAAACAAGATCACACTCCTCTGCGCGTTTGAGCTTTCTAAAACAGAGACTTTTTTTGCTGTCCAAACTCTGCTCTCAAAGAAAAAGTACTTGCTGGCAATCAAGAGATAGGAAGTTATGACGGAACAGGTGTGCCATTCTGTTTGCTGGCAGGCGTGACGCTGCGCTCTGGAGATATGCTTTGGCCTAGCGTCTGAGGCGTCGATGGGCTTTGCCGAGTTTGTTGAGCTGCCAGCTGTGCCTTGTTACGGTCCATCAATGCGGCTTGTTCGGCGGCGCTGCGAGCGTAGGTCGCGGCGGCAGCGGAGTTTGCGTAATTCTGTTGCTGGTACCGTTGCTGTGCTGGATTGGCAGCACCTGCATTCGCATATGGCGTCCGTGTCTGTGGTGTGGAATAAGACGGCTGTTTTTGGTTGTACGGCGCGGGTTGTCCGGGGCGCGGCGTGTAGGGCTGTGGAGAGGCTTGAGCGGATGACTGGCCTTGTTGAGCCGAATAAGGAGTGTACCCGTTGGGACCGGCACGCTGGAATTGTGGGACATTGTTCGCCTGACTGTACTGAGGCGTCATCTGCGAATACTGCTGGAGATATCCTGGGCGCTGGGATGGAGTGTTTGTGCTTGGTGGACGAACCCCGCCGTAAGCCTGGGGTGTGTAGACACCGGCAGAGGACTGGCGTGCGTGTTGGGGCGGTACTTGGAATCCACCTTGCGAAACTCGAGCATTGGAGACGTAAGCACGCTGGTTATAGCCGCCATGGGATCCCTGCAAACTGCTGGAGCGCACGCTGGATGGCGTGGAGGTACGATTCGGGGCGTTGGCCGCTGAGGCAGCCATCGCCGCAGCCCGTTCCTGTTGCAAGGTGTAGTCGTCTTTGTCCATTGTGCCGCTGTAGTTCGGGTTTTCGATCAGAATCGTCTGGCTGATATTCAACTCTGCCAATTGATCGCCGTCCAACTTTGCAACAGCATATGGTGGCAGGTTGCTGATAAGCGCAGCCAGACTGGACTTCAAAGTATCGTAAATGGCTGATTCTGCGGAGGACGGGGTACGTGGAGTGCCAAAGTCGGGCTCGGGCGATTCTTTGGACTCGGTTTCCTGGTCACCGTCGGACGGCAGAGTGAGGTTGCGGACTTTCTGATAGGAACTCAATGTATCCAGCAATTCGCTAATATCCCCAAGCATTTCCTCAACATCTTTGGATTCGGGCTCCTCCTTATTTTCCACATCGTTCTCCCCAACATTCTCAGCAAAGTCATTCGGATTGAAATTTGCGACCATTTCGTCCAGAGTGCTCTCGTCGAGTTCGCCAATGTTGCCAGGTTGTACCGTAGAATTTCCCTGATCTTTGACACCTTCCATATACGGGAGTGAGAGCAGTGTGCGCAAGCGTTTGGAACCTCGCTTACTCCACCAAACCATGTCCTTGAGATCGGCCTCGATAACCGCACCGGAGCTGTCGAACGACGGGGCAAATGATGAATAAACCCCTTGTAACAAGGACGAGTCGTCATCAGTCCAGAGCGTGAAATCCCCATGACGTCTCGGACCAACGTCTCCATCACCGTGCTTTTCAAGGCGACCCCAACAAGACGGCGACGAAGTAACGCCACCATACTGGAGCCATTGCCCAGAGGGTAGTGAGGAGAGACAATAATTGTTGCGTTCACCCAAAAAGGACCGTGTGTCCAAGATAGCATCAAAGGGATCGATCCAGGTGCTTGACATGCTTCGGCTGCGTCGCCTGCGTGGAGGCTCCAATTGAGGTAACCCTTGGCGGGGCGCAAACACATCGCCGAACGTTAATTTCGGCGACTTATGATCAGCTTCCAGATTGTAGGGAACCACTTTGGTTGATGTGATACCACTAGGCAAGGCAGTTTCGCGTAGTGGTTCCTGAACCTCGACGAACTTTTCCGCCTCTGATTCAGACGAAAGAAGGGGGACCTTGGTGGATTTTTGAAGACTCGAGAAGAGATGTCGTGGATTTGACGGGTTTCCAAAAAGCGTCAGTGCCTGCTTGTCTTCACGAGCGCCCATGTTTGATACAGTGGACCACACCGGGGCCTCTGAATCGTCATCAGATGCCTCTGCTTTCACGTCGACCTGGTTGACAAACGACTGTCCGACCAGGGTATTCATGTGCTTTTTGAACGCAGCGATGCGGTTGACCACCTCCGTCAGAGGGGGCCCGTCGGGCTTGGTGCCATTTGCTTGGTTTTGGTTACGCTCAATGACCGCGGCAGATGCCTTTTCGATGTCCGCCAAAAATTCCTGCAGGGTACTATAGCGGCTCGAGTTCACCCGTGATTGTATACTAGAGAGTTCTTGGTCATTCGAGGTTTTGGCGCGCTTCGTCCGGGGCTTGCTCGTAGATGCCGCAAAGGGACAGGAGAGTAGCTGGAGTTCGGAGTCATGTCTGTGAATTGTCAGCAAGAAAGGCAGCAAGATTGTCGAAGAGTAAAATTACTTGAGAAGAAGATCAACCAGGGTTTGTAATGTTTCGTGGAGATCTTGTCTGTCCTGGGGTGCCGACAAGCCCGATTCTTGAGCCGATTTTTCATCCTGACTCGAACGTTTTCTCTTGCCTGGAGTCGCGACCGCAGTAGAATCGGGAGGAGAGGGACGGTGTTCGCCGTTGGTGGCGGGCACCAAGACTGCGTCTCCACCTTCGTCGGCGCTCATGGTTGCCAGGTCGCGCCGGTGCAAAGACTGCTCACTTCCACGGAGATTGGGACAATTGAAGGCTGGAGATAGAGATAGGGAGAATGCGACCGAGCGACGACAGACCAAGAACTAATCAGGGTATAAAGCGCCGGCTGGTCGGACGAGGGAGCGGTGGCAGACGGGAGTTCGATGCGAGGGCCAACGCGGGTGAATCGCAGAGGATGGAGGATCGCGAAGAGCGAGGGGATAACAGAGGGTCAATCTGCTACGCCACCGCTGGAAGAAGGGTGTATCGAGAAGAATGTCGCGCGGACGGAATTGAGGAATCGGAATCCAAGAGCAGCAGGCAAACCCCCACGAGTCGAGGGTGACTGTTTTGCCTGAAGGACGAGAAAGATACAGTTCTGCGTGAGACTCAGATTGCGCGATTTCCAAAGCGCAACCCGTGACGATCGGTCACGTGAGCACAGCGCGACTTGGTTGGTGAATAATGTTACGGGAGAAAAAAAGTGGTCATGCTTTGAACCACTTCCCATTCCTCGACTACTGTTGGCTCCGCTCTGGACCTGTGGCGCTGGAACTGCCTGATCCATGACAACCTTCATGGATGTTATCAGTTCGGAGCCCTGCCCGAAGCCTTTCGGAGATATCCTCTCTGAAACCGGCGCATTGGTTGAGCCGCCGTCGCTGGAGACAGGTACTTCATACTGGGCTAAAGGGGTGAATTGATGCTAATGAATGCTTTTGTTTTATTCTAGGCGCAACGTCGCGATGAGCCCAGGTCCTCCCTCTATGTGGGTGGTGGCTTGCACCTAAGTACCATACCAAGCATCCGCCAACTGTGCCAGTCCACCACCTTTGCTGGCCCCTCACAATTGCCTGCAACCATATCATATCCGGAGAAACGGGGGGAGTGGGCATTGCAATCAAACTTGTTAGATCGCCTCGGGTCGGATATGTCCTTGGAGAACGCGCGCGCAATTCTGGGACCAGCCCAAGCCTCGAAGCACGACACCTCTGTTGATGAGGCTGAAACACCACACGTCGATGAAAGTCCCACACAGACCAGGAAACCCAGGCGGATTGATTATATTGACCGGGCTCTGCGGAACACCGGACATCCACTAGGCGGAAGCATTCGACCAAAGCGGCTTTCTCATGATAAGAGAACGCACCAGGTTCCAAAGTTGGGGCTCGATGATCCACAAGTGTCCTTGCAAACAATTCTTGCAGACTATATTCAAAAAGTGGATCCATTGATTGCCCGTGGCGCCGACACCGACACAGATGGCCTGAATGCCGCGCTCCAGGAAGTCTTTGGTGAGCGTCCCTACGAACATCTTAGGTCCATGGGTTATGGCGCCTCCGATGTGGTGTCTTGGGCCTGGATCCTAAAGAGTCGGGACGCTCACGAGGCAACTTGGCGATTATTCACCTTCGAGGCGGATCGCAGAAGCAGAACAGACACTGATGCACCTGTGGTACCTTCTTTTATTCCATTTTTTCTCTTAAAGGGGAAGTATCTGGGACGCCAAACTTTTCGCTTGCTCCTGATTTATTCTCTTCATCTCATGAGTGGACTACAGCTTCCAGTTGTGCAAACACAAGTAACCAACGCCGACTTCGACAAATCCTCGCTACCTGATACCTTCCATCCCAAGATTGATACAGTGGCCTTCATGGATTTAGTCGTTAGCCTGATGTTTCACGCTCGGCAAGTGTGGCCAGAGGCGCTTGTCACCATTGCCCGGGCATCTGTCCTTGTCTTGACATCCTCAGACCAAGCAGCACAATACACTGATGCTGGAAGATGCGACAGATTCAATTTTATCCTTGGACTGCTGGCAAAACCAATCAAAAAAGGCCCTTATCGATTCTTTTCGATTCAGCAGCAAGCGCAATTCGAGATTCTCAAGGCCATGGCTACACACGAACCGGTCGTACCAGTAATACGACAAGGCTACCGAGCCCTCATTGCAGTTCAGCTGACTCACAAGAAGACCGTGGAGGAACGTCAGTCTGCCGAGCTCAAGGCTCCCTCATGGCCACCATGGAAGGAAGAGAAACTGGGAATTGATTCGCAACGGGGAAATGACGGGCGATCTAGCCGTGCGATGCTAGTCATCGCGCAAATGAGAGAAGCAGGCTACTGCCCTGGTCACTTGGAGAATATGTCCGCAGTCCTGGCCGGTTGGGATACAGATGGCAGCCCGACCGTGCAAACTCGTTCCTTGATGCGACCACCAACGCGGAGCTTACATCGTGCAATTCAAAATGATCCGCAGCATCCATGGATTTGGATGGCACGAATCCGCGCCACAAGGACTGTACGCGAAGCGTGGGCTTGCTTTCTGACCTATCAAGATAACGGCTTTCCTCCTAACGAGGATGTTTACGCTGCCATGGCTGAAAAGTTGATCTATCGAAGAAAGACCATTGAACGAAAATTTGACGACACCGCTCATGCCCTACCGGGAGATGGCCGCGAGGTTTATCCAGAGCCAGCGTCTGCGCGTGACATTATCTACGTCCGCACGGAGCCACCCACACTGGATGACCTTCTTGAGGATATGCTCTCAAAAGGGCTTCGTCCTTCGAGGAAATTCTTGGCTCTTCTATTGAGCACGGCTCCCAGTTTTCACTCGGGATTACGTTACCTGAACTGCAGCACGATTGGCCAGGCACAGAAGGAGGCCTTGACAACGGTATGGAGGAAACCATCTCAATACCAAAGACAGGACCTCAGGTCTTTCCATGGAATTCCGGATTATCTTTTCGGGGCGTTCATTGGCTTTCTGTGCCGGCATACGCCTTTCGGTGATGTTAACTCGCCCTATCGGGCTTCCTCCATTGGCGACCTTTTTCCCATTCTTTTCCCCGACTTCCGGTTATCTCATTCGACTCAGAGTCTGTTCGACTACAACCGTCATCTTCCACACGCCTTGCCTCATGCGATCGAGTTGACCAAGTTGCGAGACCACGCGTGCACGCCGGCCTGGTTGCATATTCTCGCCGCGCTGTCCCGCAAACGCACCCACAGACCGCGTCGGAAGATCAAACGCAGTGCCCAGTGGATTCTTGCCTGGCATGAGACCCTCGAGGTCGTGGAGTTGATGCAGAAGCATTCCGCACAACCTGATACCGAGGCACTGCATTCTATGTGCGTGGTGTTCACCAAGGCTGTCGCCGCAGGTCTCAATTCACCTCACGATGCCAAACAGGGGTTGAGAATTGTCCGCAGAACCCTCCCTCCTCGGGCCAGTACTGACTTCGACGACATGGTTCAGACTGGCCTCCGCACTTTGAAGGACCATTTCGACCACCTGGTTAACTGTTCTCCCAAATCTCCCGAGGCGGCGGAGCAGAGCATTTTCACGGCGGAGCGTACCCAGTCGTCGCTGGCCGTGCCGCCCATACTACAGGTTCCCACGCCAGCAACGCTACATGCCTTTGTTCGGGCTCTGGGGACTGCAGGGGACGATGATGGCCTGTTGAACCTGTTGCTGTGGATGAGTCGGTCAGCAGATATTCTTACCGAAACCACCGACGCCTATATGAGTGGAGACATCAAGATGCACCGCATCTTAGTGGCCATCCGAGCGTTCCTGGAAAAAGAAGATGATCGGGTAGAGTCGGCCTCGGCCTCCGTCGTGCAAGAAGCATACGATATCATCAGCCGGACGCCGGACTGGACGTGGCCGAGTGATTGGGAAGTGCAGGAATACCGGACCCCGTTGGATTGTATATAGTAATTGTGTGTATGAATGGTAGCTAGCGTGTACATATTATACCCTATGTTTTATTTTCATTTTCGGCCACCGTCGGCTTTCCGGGTCCATGCTTTCCCCACACCCCCGAGCTCCCCACGCCGGCCGAACTTCAATTCTTCACCTCCGTACTCATTCACATTATCATTGACACAATGGCGACGACACTGTCACCTCGACTCATCTGCCTCTCCTCCGTTCGCTATCTCTCTCGCCCAGCAGTGGCCACCTCGCGGGTGTTCATCTCGCGCTTCAGCACCACCCCCGACGACGACGTCATCAAAACCCAGCATATCCCAGCCCCGGGCTCAGGGCATGTGCGCGTGCTGCAGCTAAACCGGCCCAAGGCCCGCAACGCGATCTCGCGTGAGCTGCTCGAGGCCCTCTCGAACCAGGTGAACGCGATTGCCGCAGAAGAGGGCAATGGACCGACCAGGGCTCTGGTGGTGGCCAGCAATGTGGACGCCGCGTTCTGCGCCGGGGCCGATCTGAAGGAGCGCGCGCATATGTCTCAAGCAGAGTGCGCATTCCCTTCAGTCTCAAATTGAGAAACCACCATCATTTTCATTTACTCACCTACAATCCCCTCCATTTACAGGACCGAAGCATTCCTCGAGAAACTCCGCGCCACGTTCAGCGCGCTCGCCGCTCTCCAGGTACCCACAATCTCCGCCATATCCTCAATGGCTCTGGGCGGCGGCCTAGAGCTAGCGCTATGCACGCACCTCCGCGTCTTCGGCTCCTCCAGCGTCGTCGGGCTCCCCGAAACCCGACTGGCCATTATCCCCGGTGCAGGAGGCACCTACCGACTTCCCTCACTGATCGGGGTCAACCGGGCACGCGACATGATCCTCACCGGCCGCCGGGTGTCTGGACCGGAGTCGTACTTCATGGGTCTCTGTGACCGGCTCGTGGAGGTGTTGCCGGAGGAGGGAGCTCAGGAGGGCGTGGCGCGCGAGAAGGTGCTGCGCGAGAGCATCAAGTTGGCTCAGGATATCTGTGAGGGTGGGCCCATTGCTATCAAGCAGGCGCTCAAGGCGGTGCAGGGGTTTATGCTTGGCGAGGTGTCGGAGAATAGGGCTTATGAGGGCGTGATTCAGACTGAGGACCGCTATGAGGCGCTGCGAGCTTTTGCTGAGAAGAGGAAGCCTGCCTTCCGGGGGAAATAAACTGGTGACCTGCCTCTTGAGATACACTACTCTTGGTTGTTTCTCTTGTTCGGGGCTCATTATCTGCAGCTCGAGAAATCGGAGGATCTTGAGGCTCGGACGAGCGACTCGTTCGAGACGCCGACCAGAACGTTGCCGTAGTTATGGGCAAATCCTTGTTCCAACCCGGCCATGCCCTAAATATCGTGTACTATTCGTGATATCTATCCTTGCCAGTATACTGAACCACACTGAACCCACTCAAGTGAAGGCTTGCACCGCTAGAATAGTTCGAGGCCTCTAACATCGTAATCAACGTCTATGCAATGTGTGTAAGTAGGTAGAAGGGTTTACCAGAGAGAGGGAAGAACCAACGGGCAGGAATGAAGAGTTCATAGATCACGCACTAGGCAGAAACGATCAACCTTGGGACCGTAGAGCAGTCAATACCAGAATCAGCCAAAGGGCGTAGTCACCCGTGGCTCTACTACGCACTATCGAAAAGGGAATCAACAGACCATGCTCTAAACAATAGCAGTCGAAGCAGAACCTAAGCTTTGAAGAAAGTGATCTTATCGGGTGACCGCGATCTGGGTCCTCGATCGCCTGGGTAGATCCATGGATCGCTGCACCTTGGTACCTGGACCCAGGGCGATTGTAGCCCTAGTCCTAATATCATTAGCGGCAACATTGAACTTTACAGGAGATGGGAGCATTAGGGCAACGCATTAGGGCAAGATGATACGCTCCTCCACTACGAGCATCCGAGTACATCCAGTGTACACAATGTACCGGGGTAAATCCATCCATACATACTCGGTTGCCTCTTTCCTTCCGACACAGCCACTCTGTCAGCCTGGCACCTCTAGCCACGATCCGATCAGGCACCTGGGGACCTACCCCAACATCCCCGTCAGCCGACCTGATCACTTTCTTCACGGGTGGTGCACTAGACCCGCGGGTGATCGCCTCTAGCTGCTTTTCTTCCCCGGGTTGTGCGCTTCTGCCTATGATGATTCCATTCTCTATTCTATAGTTGACCTTCTCTTACTCTTCGCTTGCCCGATTCCGGCCCTAGTCGCTGCCTTGTCCTCGCCCACTAAGTCTTGTCCCTGAATCGTCGCCCCCTGGTCGCACTACTGACTCACCCCCACCAGTCACGGCCGGGACGATCCATCCACTCCCCAAAGTCATCTGCTCCGGTCAGGGGAACACGCCCGGTCCACTTATAAACCACCACTCGTCCCTCCAACCACAGCCAGCCACATCACTCCCTTCTTCCCATAATGGCTGGAGCATAATCGTTTCTCCATGCCTGACTCGCCCGCCGTCAAGCCTTTTGGCTTGACCCAGATCTACCTCCCCCGCGGCGACCCTCAGGTCGATATTGTCTTCGTCCACGGCCTCAACGGTAACCCTCACGACTCTTGGACGAGCCACAAGCAGACGGGCTGCTTCTGGCCTCTCGACCTTCTCCCCGACATCCTCGCTCCCGTGCGCCCGCGCATCCTCACATATGGCTACAACGCGAACGTCACGGCTTTTACTGATGGCGCATCGCGTGATACCATCGTCAGTCATGCAGAGACGTTGGCTTCTTCCTTGGCCGCCAACCGAAGCGTAAGTGGTCGAGATCACTATACCATCCTTTGATCTCAACCGGGGTGGGACTAAGCATCAGATGGAACCCTCGAGCTGACCTAGTCTCTAGTTGCGCAACTGCACCGAGCGCCCTATCATCTTCGTCTGCCACTCACTAGGCGGACTGGTCGTCAAGCGCGCCCTGATTTACAGCTTCAACCTCCGAAGCGTCCGAACGGAGCACCTACGATCTATCTACGTATCCACCTTCGGCATCCTCTTCCTCGGTACCCCACACAATGGATCCGATATCGCCAAATGGGGCCTCCTGCTGCACAATATCTGCAGCGCGGTCCTGCCCAAGAAGTTCATGGAATCATCGCCCCAGCTGGTCCAGGCGCTGCGCACCAACAACGAGACCCTCCAACACATCAACAGTCTCTTTGCCGACCTCATGCCTCGCTTCCATATCTATTTCTTCCACGAAACACGCTCAACCGATGTGCGTGGCACACGGGAAGTGATTGTGGATGAAGCGTCAGCGGCGCCCTACATCGAAGGCGTGGAGCGCATGGGCATCGAGGCTGATCACAGCCACATGTGCAAATTTGAGGATGAGAATGCGCCGGGCTATGAGGCTGTGGCGGAAGCTCTGATGCGCTACTCTCGTCAGGCCCCCGCCGTGGTTGCTGATCGCTGGGTGGAAGAGAAGAAGACGCGGGCTCTGGAGCACGCGGCTACAGCTAGGGAAATATTTCCAGGTAAGTAAGGGCTTTGGAAATTCATGATATCTATCTTCTCTCCCCTCCTGAGCCACCAGACCGCCTCCAACTTACTTGGTAGGCAATTCTTGGTGCAGTGCTGACGATTACAGAAAGAACAGATGACCCACTGAGGCAGAGCATGCCTGATTTGAGGTCGCCCATCGGTAGGGATTCCCATCTTCTCCCTTCGCCAGGAGAGTCGGTTACCTTGAGGGATTACGAGATCGAGGAGCCTCCTGCTTGATGTTGATGCCTTTTTCTATTTGCTGGCCAGCGTTTGTTATTTGACGTCGTCGTTTCCGATTCTCTACCTGGCCATGGTACTCCCTGAACAGTTCGATGGTCTTGAATCCTGCCCGTTGAATATGCTACCCAAGTCTCTATGCTTTTATTTGGTCAAATTCTGCTAGCCTGCTGGTCCTGTGGCTTCCTCGTTTTGTTTGGAGACGATGGCTCTTTCCGAGCATACCTTCTATAGGAGAGGGGAGGCTGGACTTCCGGTCAAGCAGGTGGACGGGCAAGACGGTCATTTGACAGTCATCGACAGCCTCGGTCTTTCCAAGGAATTGGTCGCTTGACGGTTCTTGGCTGTCTTTCCTAGCCAGTGGGATCACAATTGACCCATATGGTTCAGCCTCCCCTCACTCCCATAAAAGGTACGAGACTGAGTTGATTGCTTCCGTTCTTTGTATTTAGTTTGCTATTGCTGGTGGAAAGGCTCCTATCTCGTGTCCTCCAATTTAGCTGATATCTTTATCCTGACCAAACCATTCCCAATCAGTCGCTGACTTATTCCCTAGGTCACTCCGTGGCCACTGTGCCGCCTCCCCCGGCTAGTGAAGGCCATTATTCCCCAACTCAAGACATGGACAACGATGGTGCCCTCTCCTTCCCCACGATTCCTCATGAGGAACCGTCCCTGTTCATCGTCCCTCCCGGCTTTCATCCCAACGCGACTTTTTTCGGCATGAAGAAAGAACTGGACGTGCTTCATCAGCGCCTGTTCCTGGCCAAGTCGCGCGCGAAACGGACCAAAGCGGTTTTGATCTCCGGTGTCCCGGGCTCTGGCAAGACGCATCTAGCGCGACAGTATGTCTTCAACCAGCGACATTGCTTTCCAGGAGGAATCTTCTGGATAGACTCCAAAACCCGCGAGTCGGCTTACAAGTGTTTCTGGGAGATTGCACAGGTCGCCATGCTTATCGACCCCGAAGAAGCCCGAGATCCCGAGTACAGAGAGTCCAAGACCTATGTGAATGCCGTACGCAGCTGGCTGCAGAAACGCGAGCATTGGCTTTTGGTCTTTGATGGACTCACCTTTGATGTTGATGACGATCTCAATGACTTCAAACAGCTCTTGCCGTGGAAGGAAAAATGCAGCATCATTTACACATCGGTCGACCCGACGCTACGAAAGAAGCAGCGCCTCTTTGAGCCATATTGCCTACAGATCTCCAAGTTGAAGGTTGAAGATGCCTGCCATCTTCTCTTCAAGGATCTTGGAATCAAGCGGCCGACCGCAGAGCAGGAGTCCAAAGCTAAAGATTTGGTTAATCACTACGAGTGTCTACCACTGGCCATCCATGCCATCGGCCATCGTCTGAATGCGACAGGCAAGCCGATCGAGAAGTTCCGCATCAAATCTCAAGTGACCGACAAGAAGCTTGCCGAGCCGTTCCTGAGCATTATGAATGATCTGTATCGGCTGCAGTTCAGACAAGCCTTGAATTTGATTAATCTTCTCTCATTTCTTGGCCACCAGGTACCCGTTGGGATGCTTAATTTCGGTCGACCCGCAATGGCAGCTTCAAACGTGGACATCTTGACTAAAGCTCAAACCGGCGAGGAAGCTGACCTTGACACCACGCTGGGAACTCTTATTCATTATGGGCTGATCGAGCGGACTACGGATCCAGACCCGTTCTCCTCACAAACTACATCCACACGTCAATCGATACGATATTCAGGTACGGAGTACTCAAACGGGGATACCTCGAATGGCGATGATACAGCCAAACCCACCGTTCCGGATCTGTCGGGATCTTTCACTGAGAGCAGCCAAGAGGGCTTTTTCTCCATGTACAGAGGTGATTCGGCGGTGGACGTCGTCAAGATTCACAGCGTGGTACAGGGGTTTTGCCGAGATGAGCTCCGAATCAAGGACGAGGAATACAAGGGAGTTCCGAACAAGAATGATCCTGGCTTCTACGATTCCTGGTTGATTGTTACTACCCGCTTCCTGTGCAAATCGTATGAAGGTGCTAAGGAAAAGATGGCCCATTACCACGACTGCGGACTTGTGCGAGACTATCGCGAATACGAAACGCACGCCTCCCGTCTGGCTGAGCTATTCCCCAAGAAGTCCCCCGGGGCTTCGTACCCACCGGTCCTTCGTGAGGCGCGGGAGAATCTGCGGCAACTTATGAAGAGCATCAGCAACGAGATTGATGTCAACTCTCCCAGTTCCTCACAGCGGGCCGTCAGGAACCAAAGGTCAGTCTTTGACCGGTCGAGCAGCTCTTCATCGTCGATCCCCGACTCTTCGTCAGCTGACGAGGGACGGTTATCGCGCAATTCGACCTTCAACTGGAATGAGCTGGGTTCGCCTCGCGCCGAGTCTCCAGAGGAGATGGCGGTGCCACCTCCACGTTTTAGACTGGAGCTGTTCCCGCCGCATATCTTCAGACAGGCAGGTTACGAATCAGAAGAAGGGTACGAAACGGACCAAGAGACCAGGTCGCCGCCTAAAATCTCTCCGTCTCTCTCGCAAGCCAGCCAGACCACTGAACGGGCCAAACAATCTCCGCCATCTTCGAGCCCTCCGGTTCCATCGGACGAAGGTGAATGGAAAGTGATTAAGCGGTATGAGAGGGCTAAAAGTTTCAAGGAAAGGCAGCAAGAAAGGCAGCAAGAAAGGCAGCAAGAAAGACAGCAGGAAAGACGGCCAAGGAGACGCGCCAGGGATCCCCGACGACCTCGAGGCACCAAGCTTGTGACTCCACTGGTCAAAGTGTCTTCTGTCCATGGACGAGGATCATCAAGTCGCACGCCGGCTCTCAGCGAAAATGGAGGTAACTCTGCAGTTTTAGCCTCGGCAGCGGAGCAGGCACTAGATGCTGTTCGTCGTCGGCTGAGTAGCTCTCAGCTGACTCCCGATACCCCGGGATCAAGCGCGACTCCCAGACCGGCACAGAAAGAGAACACACCCACTTATGCGACTATGGCCGCTCGGCGTATGTTGGAAGCTGAGCTGCCGGTACGACGACCGGCATCAGTGCCTACTGCGCAGGGGCTGCAGACGCAGCCTGGGTTACAGATGCAGCGATCCGCAGAGTCTCTGGATAGCAACCAATTCGCATCTCCGCTGTCCCACGAGGTGACCTCTCATGAGTTGGAGGGGTTTGATGGAGCGATGGACCGATCGACCTACAGCGAGCCAGGCTATTACGACCTACGCAACTATCCCCTTCCCGGCTTGGATTTGCACACTGCACCGGGATCAAGACTGAATTCCCGCCGTGGATCGCTCGCGCCCATTGAGGCTATTCGAGATTTGTCCGCCAGCGTACCGTCTCTTCTTCCGTATCCACCACCCCTTCCATACGAAGAGGACATTACTGTCACGATGCCGACTCACAGGAGACAACTTCAACAGCTTCAACAGCTCCCCGTACCCGGTGCCTCTTCTGCGACGACAATCGCTCCTATCACGCACCCGTCCGCTATCATGCCTGGCGCAGTGCCTCTCTCCTCCACTTCTTCCAACCCTATCGCCAATATTCCAGATCGACCTGTGCCCGAACCACTCACACGAGCTGACTCTGGATACTCACACCAGTCTTGGGCCACCGAACCAGTCAGATACCCACCTCGCTTCTCACCGCAGCCGTCGTCTTCTGGAGTCCCCAGCGACTCGATCCCCCCGATTGCCTCCTCGGCACCCCAGCACCAACTCCTTTCTGGAACCGGCAGCTGGACCGCCGAATATCCCCTCGTAGGAGGGAGCGCCTTACAATCAGACACCACCTTCCCCACCCACCCACCACCGCCAATCCCCCAGCTGGGCTCCGTGGACGAGCGACTGAAGAGCGATGACCTGGGCTTGAACCCGGATGTGGAACCCGCCCAGCTGCTGCAGTTTGGCGGACACCGCGTCGACGTCCGTGATGCGCGCCAGAGACTGCTGGAACAAGGTCGTCTTCAGGCGCCGCGCCATGTCCCCGCTTATCGACTTTATCATCCCAATCTGTCTGGTCCTCTAATTCAGAGTGGCGGACAAGTTTATGCGCCTGCGCCTGCGCTGGAGGTGTATGGCAGGCGTGCTCGCAGTGGCAGTTCTCCTCCACGTCCAGATTATGAGGGTCTGGGTGTGCGCTTCTAGGATTCCTCTCTCGTCCTTTCTTCTCTTTTTTTTTTCTTGATTTTGGGTATAAACCTGTGCTTATACCCCTCTCTCTCTTTGATGTTTACAACTGGTTGCCACTTTTGCGCTTGCATTTGCATTTGCATTTGTGCATTTGTGCATTTGCCTTGCCTTACGTTGCTTTGTTTTGAAATTTGCATGAAATGGTTCATGGAGTTACCTCCATCCCACGCGAAGACCGCCGTGGATTCTCACATTTAGATAGAAGTGTCCAGAGAAGAAAGAAGTTGTATGTTGATAAGAGATGAGATTCATGTTGTGTGGAGCGGAGCCCGTTCGAAATGTTTTACAGTGGGGTCCGGATGGAGTCCGGAACGTTATGTTGTGCAGTGGTGCTTGGGCTAGGAGGCTAATGATGAGGTATACCGATGGAGTCCAGATGGGATGTGGATGGGGTCTGGGTTGGTCCGTTGCATTAGGAGGAGATCGGTTGGGCGGAATTACGATCACAGTGGAGTATTCCGATGGGACTTGGGTTTCTTTATATGCATGGTGGTGCATTGCATTGCATTGCATTGAGGATCATTCTGGCGTTGCATGATGTGTTTTTTATTTGTGTGCTGCCACCCATGGATAAAATTTTCGTACAGCACTAAACTGTTTCGATTTATGACGTTCTTGGCGGCATTATGCGTTGATTTCGCGTACTATGGGTTCGGTATAGTTGATAAAAGGGATATCGCCAGAATATACCCAGAATGCCAAGCTTCTTCTATCTTGATAGTTTTGATCAAATATCCACATTACAAGTCAGGTAATGAGTGGGTGAGCAGTGAAAACCTTACAATTTAGTTCTGACTGACCATTGGGCACAAAGTTGGCCTCATTGGCCGTGGTAAGCCTTTTTGCATATACTACCTCGTTCATTTCGTAGTAGAGATCACTTACCAATAGCTCGAGCAAATTGCTTTTCAATAATATCGTTGGACCTCCTGAAACCCCCCGACTGCGAGGAGCGGAGCGCCGTAGTATCTTGTCGCATTTGATCAAGAAAGACGAAATCCAGTTCCCAAGTAGGTCCCGGCACTCCAGTAACGAAACCAAGGCCCCTGCCAGCACCACCACCCGTCGCCCATTGCTAATCCCAGTCCGCGAAGAGGGCTGATCGGAAGGATTTCTACCAACCACAACCCGCCTATGGCAAGGTCGTCCGTAATAAGAGGCCCAGAAAAGGCAAACCAACAGAAAATGAACACTCCGTTTAGAATGCGACGTATCAATCGTGGAGCAACAGCGAGTAGTCCTTTTGACAGGTCTTCAAAAACAATAGCAATGCCTTGTAAACAAAAGAACAAAAAAGGACCCGAGACTGGATTGGTCCTTTTGAACTGCGTATAGCTGCCACAGGCATGCATAAATCCACTGAGTGAAAACACAACCATAATATGAGTGCCCCTTTTCAGCCACGGATTCATGTCTCGACCTTTGAAAAGTATTGCTGAAGTCCATCGTGCAGTGGACGTGAACCCATGGCGGAGGAGCTGGTGCCAATGGCGGCCCCAAAATCCCGCTAGTCCATCATCAAAGACGGATAAAGTAGGTCCGAATGTATCAGGATATAACCAAGGCGCATCGAGTGGGGCCGATGTCATCTTCCGTGATGCCTGAGGAAACGCCAACGACAATCCTAGGTAAATGATAGGAATGAAAGACATAAAAAAGGTCAAGGCAATATAGAAGAACATGTAGGCAAACATAAAGTGATAAATGCGAATCATCAAGGGGAAGCATGTGAGGTAATTGAACGGAAACGGTGGCACTGCGCCGTCCTGTGAAACGTTGCCTCGGTAGTACGGATCTCTCATCATCAAGACCTTGAGAATGTCTAGCAAGAGGTATGACTTGAGGCAACTAACCAAAGCCGCTACAAGGCGTTGTCTGCCAGTAGAATGAGCGGCGGTATCCTCCGCATATACTTTGCCTGACAAGAACCCTGACGATAGTTGGGCATAGACATCTGGCGGAAGGGGCCCGAGACCAGATATCCGCCAGTTCCATTCAGCGCCTCGGAGATTGAAATACAACCCAATGCACCAGATAACGCGGTGCGAGAGTCGTAATGGATAGCACTGCCAGTACAGTTTATCATGCGGAGAAAGGGGTATTCCCGGTGTAGGTGAAGGGATCCTGATCCCTAGGCTCTCCTTGTGATCAAGTTCGCATACTAGTCTGCTTTTCTTTTCTGAGTCTCCTGCACATTGTTGGAGACAGTTGCTGCAGATGCTGCTGGCCCCGACAAGATTACTGGTATCCGAAAAGTTTTGTCTTGCAATACGTCGGTAGTCGCGCTCGATATCCGTAAACACAAGCAGCGTGGCGTTCCATACTAGCCACCAGCTTGTCCAAAGGCCGATAATATAACCATTCCCTCCAACAAGAGCTCGGCGGCTCCTAATAGTTTCGATACCATACCCTAAACAAAGGATGAAGATGGATAGCCGGACAAACTTAGTTCCTGGCCGACGAGGTATAATTAAGCCGACCAGAGGCAGACAGGTAAAAAGAGCAAGATGATAGGGTAAGATAGGTTTGAAAATTCCGCGTTGTAACAGCAGATCAAGTTCCAATTCGGGGCTGTGCAGGAGTTCACGAGAGAAAGGGTCATGATCATCAACCATTCTGAAAGGGCGCGCCAATCTCACGAGCTGAGTGGGGGGCTAGGGATGTAAAAGAAGGATTGTTGAGGTCAGAACCAATTCGTTAAACATCGCAGCTACGGGATAAGAAAACCTCAAAAGTTGCCGACCCCACCCCGCCCGCCCTTACATACATGAGCTATTCAACATACCTACAAGCCAGAAGATCCCGAGTGTAAAAATGCAGTCAAACTATGCTTCTTTCAAATATGGCATTTGTAACATCCCGCGGTATGTGGGACCCTTCCATTTGTCAAAATATGCTGTTGTAGATCTTCGAAAGTTTCTCGTATAAGATAATTAATCCACAACCTGCTACAGGGTCCATATAGTCTAACTTCAGTATCTTGCTACAATTCATATGCCCACCATGCACCTTCAGAGATCTTTCGTCGCAACAGTGTTACTCTTTATACCCGCTTCGCTGGCCCTTTCAGACTACGCAAATCAGGTCCTTGGTGATATCTCCGCTACATCGAAGTTGATCCAAAAGCATGAAGATACACTCAACCTTTATAAAGGCGGTATCACGGCGGCGGTCCCTCTTGCGCAAGAGGCCTATGATATATGGCGATCACTGAGGATTGCGAATGTTCATCTGGACGACACCACGTTTACGACAGACGAATCTGATGCCATTGTCGCTGATCTCACTTCGGCTAATGAGGTTGCTATTCGTTTATTTGGTGCATACCAGGAAAAGGTTTGATATCGTAACCTCTCGGACATGTTCTTTTATTGTCATGATTAACGCGTCGGTGTAAATAGGAACCGCTTCTAAACCAGGCTGGCGTTGGCTTCGTTGCCCCGATCCTGATGCAGGCCATCTATCGAGAGGTCGACGACTATGCTGTTCCGTTAAAGCAGCACATGCCCCAACAGTATGCTGCGCGAATGGAACGTCTGAAAGTCACGCATACGGCGGCGTGGGATGCAGCATTCAGTGTATACGACCCAGCCAGCAACCCAATTCCGTCCCACCCGTACATGAAGTTTGTTCCGGCTCTTTTGCCTGCTCTAGGATTATTGATCTAGATTGCGATCATGGAATCTTGTGTCTTGGTGAACTTTTTCCCATCTTCTCTTATTGACAATGGGGCATCCGATGTTTGGTTTATCACAACAGAATAGTTGCGATGGTTAAGAGCAAAATATTAGCCACTGCGAATTGAAGCTAGCAAAAAGAAAACCAAGAAAAAAAGAGTACTCAGCTAAGGGGACAGTAGTTGAAGGTTTCCTAATATAGCAAATTAAGGCGTTCTGCTGGGTTCTACGTATTCTAGACTTGGACGTGAAAGTAGAGCTAGTCTTGTTGAACAAAAAAAAATTGAATTGAAACTGCAGATATAGCACAGCGACCGTTCTAGTTATTTTTCGTGAGGGAACGCTCCGTTCTTAGGGAGCCTACTTTGACCCGGAGCTCATAAGAAACATCTAGCAGTGCTGGGTCTGTGTGCTGAAATTATACTATATCCAATTTATTAAATATCTCTATCTCAATGAGAGTATTCTCTAGCACTTTTACTCGAATAGCGTTCGTTACTTGAACAGTTTGACCGATGAGGCCGTCCCGTTTCATCTCAACGTTCCTGTCGGGTTTTTGGTATAGAGCGAGATCAAATCGACGCAAAAGCATATATCACGAGATACATACAAGCCCATGCCGTGCTGTATTGAGATCTGGTAGCTTTATGATAATGGAGAGCTCCGTTTGTCACTTACTTTCGCCCCGAACAACCCAATGTTCCTTTTGATGCTGGGACAAGATATATCTCGTGTTCTCGTAGCTTCTCTCGAGGGATCAACCAGCGTTCCGGTATGAATTCGGAGGTATCAGGGAATATATCCGGATCTCTCAGAATGAAATATGTCGACATGCTAACAAACGTCTGTCGCATGTTAGGGTCATTTCGTTGACGTCTCCTTTCAGGGCAAGCTAAGTACCCCAGCCGGGATCCGCCATTGACGATATTGCAGGTTTTCATCTGGCGCCGACTGGGAGAGTCGAGTAGTTACCAAAGAAGAAAGCCGAAGACCTTGCCTGATAACTGCGCTCTGAGACTAGTCAATATACTATATTTATATTGCTAGGATGCCCCAGCTCTCGAGATATGGAAAGATTCCAAATTGTTCGATCGAAGTCTCAATTCTGAAGTCTGATATTTCAGAAAACAGCTCGGTCTTAAGTGTTCCGTACACCTTCGATTATTGAATGTATGGAAAAAGGCAATTGCAAGTGCTTGTTAAGGAGCGCCGGGAACCAGCCATCATAAGAAAAAAGGCATTATCTTTCAAGCGTTCCAAGCTCTTTTCACTCTGAGGGGCGTCTTTGTTGGCCGATCTTCCAGGGTATATAGCCCTTGGCCTTTTCAAAGAACAGTTAATTTCTCCAAAGTGAGACTTAGACTTAGACTCGAGCCCCAGACGCTGATGTTCATCAAAGATGTTTCGCACTTTGCATTTGACCTCCTAGATAAATGATATAGATGTACTCTAATGAGCTTTGAAGGACTTTGGATCATCTGCTGCATCTGGTGACTATGCGCAAATTCCGGATTGTCTACGAGGTTAGAGTGGGTAACATGTTCACCAAATAGATCAATAGAGGAAAGTGTCTCGTCACTCGGGAGTACTCGAACGTAGATATAAGTCTCAATTTCCAGGTAAGTGGTGTCCGAGGCTCCTTGAGAGAGCGGAAGCCAGTGTGTCGCCCAAAGGCGTACTGTGAGATACTGTCACTTGTGAAGCTGTATAAGACAGAATGAAGATCCAGATATTACTTGATTTTGGCTGTTCGGGAAAAATGTACACATAGTGATTTGACGTTTTCGTGTATCACTGATTCAAATTCCAACATGGCAATTTTCTTGGAAAACTGACCTAACAGCTTTCGTCGCGCTCTATGGAGCTCGTGCCAATTTGTTGAAAATAATGATCCAGGGAATGATATAAACCGAACCAAGGGTCCTTATTACAATGTATTCCTGGCCCTGCGTCGAGATGGCTATAGTAATTGGGGCCTTTGATGTGTATCTCCCACGGTGTGATCTGGACCACAGGGCCATATTGTTGGTGCAGACTATCAATATGTCAGGTGAAGGTTCCTACTTTAACAATCTGAACATATGCTTCATAGGGACGTGTTGCGGCATCTAGACGGGCCCTAGGAAACCAGCAAGAGGGGGCCCGATAGAGCACGAGGGATCCAACAAAATTAAGAGACCCAATGTGCAAGAAGAGATTTAGGACATGAAAAATGATTTCAGTATTCGCACAAGCACTTATGATGGAGTTCATCGTGCCAGTATGAGACTGAGGGGTGTGGATCGTGGGTTCTGTGTGTAAGAAGCCAAGGTGTATATCTGGTGTGAACGAACCCTTGTGTCTTCGGAGAATCTCTTCAACTCGGTTTACTTGTCAGCTATGGTCCTGTTTGGGCGGCTGAATTCGTTGAATGGGAGGCTATCTAAGTGAAGTGCATAGTCCCTGGAGAAATGTCGGTGTGACCCCTGTTAGGAGCGGATGGATGTTTCCCTGTGATAAACCCCCAACATAGTGAACCCCAGAGGACACAGTCAGTTCTATAAAGTTCGCTGAGTTGTTGGTACACGTAAAACACTATAAAGTATGGCTATATAGACCACACCGGGTAAATTCTGGTCTAATACCTCGCCGTTTAGCTAAAGTGATGTTTGGTAGTAGAGCTTGATAAACGTTCCCAGTACGCACAGAATACCAACGACGACTTTCACCCCATAAGCCTCAACAAAGCTATGAGGCAGAGAAGGGTTCAAGCTGATGAACTGTTGAATGGAGTCTGAAGTGTAGTATTGCGCAGAGACCCCCAGGCAGGAAAGAACCCAGATATATCCTACAATCCTGACCCTCCAAGGCTGATTATGCTTGCGGGACTTGAGAGGGGTGATTTTTTGATCGATCAAGTTCACTGCGACAGTTTCTCCAACAATAGCCATCACTGCGAGAGAAAATGCCGGGATGGAACCAGAATTTCCCAAAGGATGACCGGTGAGCGTGGTGCTGAAAATGTGCATGCAGCCTGATAGGGCGAAGATGAGGAGGTAAGTCAGACGGCGCTGGAGAGTTGGCCGACCGCGAATACGCAGAACATCCTTGACCAAAAACATAGCGAAAGTTCTGAAAGGCCATTGAATAAGCTGATGCCAAAACTTCCTAATACAAGTAAAGAACAGTATTAGCCAGAGATGATCGCAGCGAAAGCGTGGCCAGTTTGACAAGTCTAAAGTTTGCACTCAAGACTATGGATGGAGGTTGATTGAATCACGACTTACGAAAAGAAATTTCGAAGCGTATAGGCATCCCACATACTCCCGAAGACAGGATAGCAAGCACTTGCTGGACATAAATCCAGACCAACGACCAGAATAGTCACAGCTCGATATACTGAATCTAACAAGACTCGCACTAGCACGAAGTAGTAAAACATGCTTGTCAAGATTCGAACAAATATGCTTTCATCGTCCGGATTCAATATCACCGACACGACCTTAGCCCAGTGCGAGCTCGATTCATCGTCAATTACAGCCCCAGGTCCAGTACATCTGCTGAAAATCAGGTCTAGCAGTAGATATTGCCAGGTCAAAATAGCTGTTTGGCGCAAGAGGAAGTCCTCTCGATTGGGAGGGCGATTTTTGAAATATGTGGGGAATGGATAAATATTGCGAAGCTGCCATCGGCTGCCAGTGGCTCGAGTATCCACTAGCAGCTGGGTACAAAATGAGAAGGCTTCTGATGTCTCTACACCGGGTCCGACCAAATCAGTGGCATCGACCTTGAGAACAAACAGCAAGTTGGTGGAGTGAACCAGAAACACGAACCAAAAGTAGGTTTCCAGTAACGTAGCCAGAGAATGATGGTCAGTTTGGTGCCACTGGGCGATTTGCCACGCAGAAGCCCCAAAGGTTACCACCATCCACAGTCGAAGAGGCGATCGTCGGCTTGTAAAGCAAATAAGAGCACTGATTTGAAGCACAGCTGCAATACACAATGTGACCGTGTTGGTCTGCAGAACCTGGGGCAAATCATACATGGCAGCAGAGTAATGAGGTGCAGTGGTTGATGCGGAATATCTATTAAGACCGCGATACGGGTGATCACACAACTATATGGGGCTTTTAAGGATCGGCAACCTATGTTTGAGTAATGTATGCTGTAGTTCCCCATATTTTCCTGCAAGGCCGGCGAAGCAGCCTACGAAATCCTCCTTGCTTATCATATGGAATCTGAGTCTTGGACTGAAACAGCGGGGGCTGGGATCAATCCCTAGATTGTTGATCAAACAGCATTTTTGTCATCTACGATGCTCATCTGTCCTTCGAGTGCCAATCATTTCATTCTCGGGCTATTCACAGGCCCACCTGTCTGAATCGAGCATACTAGCACAGTGAAGAAAGTTTCGTTGGCTTCGCGAGACGAAATGCTCAACCTTAGGGTTATTTCTGATTGTAACGAGGTCGCAAATGGAGGAAACCAAAACAGATCTTGCGTTGAGAGGCATGTGAGCTCGTTAATCCGCCCCAAACTTCAAACATGGCCATTCTGCGCGATGATGAGCGTGACTTGCAGTGATATTCAACTATATGCAGGTAGCGCTCAGCTCGCCCGTAATTTAAAAAGGCTCACTAAATGAGCCTCGTCTCATGCCCGGGGTTGTCGAGGTGTACATGAGGCCAACATGTTGGGAGGCTCCTGGGAAAGGATACGAAGTACTTATGGGCCGGAACATACATCATGTGAATGGTAAATAAACGAAGCAGTGTGAGAAATATCACATTTTACATAACACAGGAGCCAACAGGTGGAGATGAAAACTTCGGTGGATTCAATAGGTAGTCGAGGATGCTGTAAAGCGATAGCACATCAAGGATCTTTCATTTGATGCTGCTTTGGTTAAGCGTGGTTGCTTTCTTTAGACACCGGTGATCATATCTTGAGAGGTTTCCTGAGCTTGGTACTTCGACCTAAGAGCCTTCAATATTCCATCGACAAGGCTCCCGATTGTGCGTACCGCAGAAATCTCGGCCATCGAAAGCTCCAACCCAAGATGGCGTCGAGCCCAGACCCGAACCTCGATCATGACCAGAGATTCAATTACAATATTTGAAATCTCCATTTCGTCCATGTCATCTGTGTTTGTGAGATGAGAGCCAATCTCTCGACTGAGCATTGTGGTGATTTGATGGCTAATTGCCGGATCATCCAACACCTGCGGGTTCTTTTGAATCATATCCATCAAATCTCGGAGCCCGTCCTGTCCCGGCATAGTTGGAGAGCTCTCGCTCGGCGACAGAACATTAGCCCACAAAGCAAAACGAGCATCGCGAGTCCAGAATGGCACCACGCCAGGGCTTGAAAGTGCCTTTGTAGTTCCCAGCCCAACTGCAATCTGACAAACCTCCATCTTTTGCTGGTCCGCCCGAATTGCCAGTTCCAGTGCCTGGAGGAGCTCGCTCTCATCCAGAGTCTTCATGGATGCAGCTTTGGCTTGCTGAAGAATTTTTGGCTGAGATTCTGAGGCCCAGCCAATATCTTCCATCAGTCCAAGGTCGACGACAGTTGCAGCCAAACCCAATCCTCGACGATAAGTTACAAATGCATCCAAAAAGGAGTTTGCCGAGGCATAGTTTGCCTGGCCTGTGTTTCCACAAACACCAGAGATCGAGCTGAAGGCGACGAAGAAGCCCAGCTTAGTGTCCTGGAGAGCTTTATGGAGATTCCACGTACCCCTCACCTTTGGAGCCAGGACAGAAAGCCAGTCCTCATGAGACATGGACATCAAAAGGCGGTTCTATTGAAATAACAATTAGCGCCATACTTTGGTTATTACTCAAACGCAATATAAATGTGCAAGCCATTTCACATACCTTGAGTACCATTGACATTTGAATGACTCCTTCAATGCGATTCTTACATGCCGAAACCGCGCGAATCACATCCGCCAGATTGGCGACATCTCCGGCAACAGCAACCGCAGTGCAATTTTGAAATTCAAGTTCTTTGATGAATGCGGCATCTTCAGCTGATAACCCTGCAGACCGGCTTAGGAACACAAAATGGCGAGCTCCCTTCTCTACCATCCACGTTGCCACAGCGCGGCCGAGACCCCCCAATCCGCCAACCAGAAGGAAAGAGGCATTGGATGGCAGAGAAAATGAGTTATAGACATAGGAGCTGGGCAGAGCTAGAGCTTTCTCGGGCATCTTCACAACAACCTTGCCCATATGTTGGCCGGTCTGCATATGCCAGAACGCCTGTTCAATGTTGGCTGCATCAAACACTGTTACCGGTCGTATTGGTTGGATTTTGCCTTGCTCAAACAGAGTTTGGCATCGCAGTAGTGTTCTTTCGAAAGTGTCAGTAGCGCATGCTTAAAGAGGGGGTATATGAAGAAACTCGAACTCGTTTCATACTTACTCGTGGAACCTTTCGGGTTCTTGCTCCACAAGACCTTTGACATCAACGCCGACAAATGATCGGTTGCCTGAAAACATGTCCATGTCCAGTCTGCCGTAGCCAAGGATGTCCCGTTTACCTAACTCAATCATTTTTCCAAATTTTGCGACGCACTTCCACGAGAGGTGTAAAAGTTCGCCTGAGAGAGAATTGAGAACGATGTCAACCCCTCTTTGACCGGTCTGATCCATCACTCCCTGAAAGAAAGACGGGCTACGAGAGTCGAAAATATGAGCCTTTGGAATGTGAAATGCATCGGTGAGGTATTGCACCTTGTCGGAATTGCCGACAGTTGCATAGATCTACCCCCATTAGTATCACGGTATGCAATATGAACGATTTCAAAATGCAATTTAATTAGAGACAGGTTGAACTTACCTCAGCGCCAATGGCTTGACAGACTTGAATTGCTGCCAGACCAACACCACCACATGCTGAGTGTATCAACACGGATTGTCCCTTTCGAAGATTCCCGACCTCAAGCAAAGAATGGATTGCCGTGCCGTAGACGCAGGCCACAGTAGCACCATCTTGAAGAGATAAGTCTGCAAAAAGCGGGAAACAGCTGTCTGCAGAGACCACCTTCCGGGTACAGAGGAGGCCCTGGGTGCTGACAATGACCTTATCCCCCTCTTGAACGTGTTTCACCAAGGGACCAACGCGACGAACTATCGCGCTTCCTTCCAATCCAAACTCTGACTTGTCTCCAAAGAAACCCATCGCAACCATCATGTCCTAAAAAGCTCAATCAAACACATGGTTAGTGTCTTCGAGCAAGGAGTCACATTGGGAGGGCATACGCGGAAATTCAAACCAATGTATCTCATATCAAGTTCCACCTCATTGTCGTTCAGATGCTTTGGGACCTGATCTGTCCATGATAGAGAGCTGAGCAAGCCATACGAACCAATAGTGAGCTCCTTGTTGGTGTCCGTTTCGTAACCACTTGCTGGTAGGTGGCAATGAGCAGGAGTCCAATGGAATCTCCCAACATGGATTTTTCCATCTTTCAAGACAAACTCATAGTCTGGATCCTTCTCAATTGGACAGGTCTGTTCTCGACACATATTCAAGATGCGAAGAACATCTTTTGCAGCTTCGATATTAAAATGGTCAACTTCGAGGGTTGCAAACTCTCGACCCAGTTCCTGTCTGATTGAGCGTGCTATCCCGAGCACCATCCCATATCCTGGGCTCTCGCACGCCATTTGTGACATATGCGTAACCCAAAGAGTGCGCAAACCGGTTATCTGATCCAAAAGGTCCTTGAAACGACCGAAATTCTCCGCTGATAGGTTCTCCAAAAATGGGCCTTCCAAGTCAATCAAAGATATCACATCCGCTCCTTGGGGAATTGGCTGCCCAAAAAGACACCACCTCACGGCATGGCCCATCTCAGTGAGGTGTTCTGCCAATACACGCCCCCAGTCGCTGATTACCGAAAGGTATAGCAGGGTGACTTCCCTCTTGGGGTTAGTCGTTTCGACAGGCCGTGAGAATGTCACAATGTCTAAAGAATCATGATCTGAGCTAACAGTTTTGCCATCAGAGATGGAGAAGCCTGCCTGTTCCAGCTCCGATTGCCAGCTTGCATGGCTGACCTCGGATTGGACTTCGTTTTGGCGTTCAGTCCACCATCCAGGATATATACCCATAATATATGTCACAAAAGGAACACAATGGTACGGTCGGTGGAAGAGCAGACGACCACCTGGGGCAACCAGCAAGAAAACGTTCTTCACAATAGAGGCGAGGTCCTGGTGCGTACAAGCTGTAGGCGAAAGGATTACCAAGTCGTAGCTTTGCGGCAAGAACCCTTGCGTCGTTGGGTCCTGGAGGATATTCAGTTGAGAGTATTCGAGCCCTTGAGCAGCTTTAACGTTTTTCTTTGCCAGAGAAATAGAATCCTCCGACTTGTTTGCGCCTGTATATTGAGAATACATGGGTGTCCCATCTTCGGATGTCAGATTGCGTAGAGCCAAACTGGTGAAGAACCCGTTACCAGTTCCAATCTCTAACACGCGTAAGGCAGGGTTGGAATGGCCAAGTAAGGACAAAAAGTCCCTTAAACCGGATGTTGCCGAGACGTACTCGTACAATTTGTCTGTGCAACTCTCCTTATGAAGCAGCTTTTCAGAAGGCATTCTCCCTTCCAACATTTGAAGACAATTGGCTGAAATTGTCTTTGCAATGGCCAGTACTGGGATGATTTCGGGTATCTGTTGCTCTAGTTGCTTCATCGCTGCCTCCATGGCCCAGAGCGTAGCTGTTGGGTTCAAATGGGAATTGTCTTGGCACAAGGAGGCTTTGTTTTGAGTTTGCTCCAGCTTCAGTCTTTTGATTTCAGCGAGAATCCAAGATTTGTAGTTCTGTAGCTCGACACACTCGGTGCGCAATGATTGTAGATGTTCACCAGTTGATTCGATCAATAGATTCATGGTTTGTCGCAACAATGTCCTCGGGACTTTTGGGCCTTCTGGATAGTGCAAGCCACGTAGTTCCTGGCGGGCTGGGAGGAGATCAATGTGAGGTTTCCACTCCACTCTGGCAATCTTCAGGTCGCTGGTCCCATGCTGATTTAAGTCGTCCACAACAAAAAGCAAGCCTCCTTCCATGGCAAGAGCAACTTTTCCGTCGGCAAGGATTCGGGAGTTCCCGATGGTAGAAGAGCCCGACACTTCGCAAGAGGCGTCCAGAGACATCTCACCTTTGCAGTGGTTGATGTAAATATTCTGAATGCCTGCAGGCATGCATAGCTTTGCTAGGTTTCGGTATATTCCATGGGTACTGGAGATGGCAAGTAGCTGGAGGGCCTGATCAATGATCGTGGGATGTAGAGCATAGTTGGCGGTTTCGTTGCACTCATCCTCGTCTTGGATGCGAGCCGTAGCTTGACGATGGGTTGGATTGGTCGAGATGGCCTCTAGGCGACGAAAGAGAGGCCCAAGTTTCAATCCGCGGTTTGCTGCCGCGCGATACCATGCCCGCGATGGTGTGTGTCGGGCATGAGGAATTACTGGTGCTAGTGAATGCACTTTGTCCGCACCCGCGCGTACCTGCCCTGTGCAGTACTTCTGCCACGATCCATTTCGGTATGCAGTGATGATGAATTCATACCAAGAGGAATCAGTAAGATCAGTGAGCTTCACGTGGCGTAAGCTCGTGTGTATCTCCGTGGCTTCGGATTCATTCAATACTAAGGGAGCAGTCATAAGCAACCTTCGGATTGTATAATCGCGCGATCCTGTGGCCTGTCGGGTGGCTTCGCCTATCATGGCCACGTAGCCTGCGCATGGGAAAATCACATCCTTGCCAATCATATGATCCCACAACCAAGGCACATGGGCCAAATGGAGGATATTTCTCCATGACGGTTCGATGTCGTTGGATTCCAATCCTCGAGACCCCAGAAGCTCGTGGTGAGCTTCATGGTTTTTTCTCCACTGTTCAGCTATTCTTGACTCGATCCAGAAGCTTGCTTTGTGCAACCACGGGTATGAAGGGAGGTTTGTTAGAACCTTTCCTGTCCCGCCGTTGATTTCGGACAATCGGATAGGAGCACCGTTGACGTAGAGGCGACCGGCGGTGGTACACAAGGCTCGCCATTGTGGCTTTTCTCGAATTAGTGTAGGAATATAGGTGGATGTTTTGACCGCATTGCAAGATATAAAGATCTCCCTCAAAGAGCTTGAGAGGGCTGAGTGAGGCCCGATCTCTATGAAAAGCTTCTGCTCTTTGCACACAGACAACAAACTTTGAACTGCGCCATTGAAAAGCACTGGGGATTCCAAGTTTCTGCGCCAGTATGAAGCGTTCAGCAATTGTGGGTCGGAGATTTTTGTGCCTGTGGTTGTGGAGTATAATGGCACCATTGAACGGTTTTGGCATAAAATGGGGCTCAACAAGCTCTCGAATGCCGTCCCACAGGTTTTCATGTGATCTAGGGCTCACATAGTTAGAAAATTATTATCTCAGATGATTTCAAAGGTACTAGAGATTCACTCACGGGAGTGATACGCAACAGAAACGTCGAGTTGCCGGCAGAAAATATCCGCGTTGTCGGCGATAATGTTTTCCAATACCGTCGATAGGGTTGCGTCATCTCCGGAAAGCGTGACGTTTTTGGGGCTATTATCACAAGCAATGGTGACCCCTTCCAGCAAATAGCCACTTGCTTTCTTGCGAGGCAAGCCGACGACAGCCATTGCCCCAACGGGTCCATCAACGGGCAATGTAATGGCTAAGCCCCGAAGATATGCCACGGTGATTGCGACCTCTGCAGTGACGGCTCCCGAGGCATATGCGGCACCAATTTCGCCGCTAGAATGCCCAATGACTGATGATGGGGTTATGCCATACTGGCGTAGTAAATCGACTAGTGCAATTTGAATCGCTGCACAGAGCGGCTGTCCCACTTCCGCCTCCTTTATCCTGCTGGTATCGTCACTCTTGAGCAGTTCGCCTGTACTGGTGTTAGATTGTTTGACTACGCGAAAATATAGCACCACTGCTTTTTCGTACCTTCGATTGTCCAATTAGGAGGGGGCTTCACGTGTCGTAATGTCTCGTCCAATGCTTTGATACATTCGCGGAAGCAGCCAGACATGAAAAACAATTCTTTACCCATACCTGACCACTGTGCTCCTTGGCCGGTGAAGATGAAGACCATGTGGGCTGGTGCAGTGTCCCGGGACATTTCAAACTCGGAAACTGTGCCATCTTGTCCAACGACCGCAAATGCACGATGAGAAAGATGTTCTCTTCTCATCCCTAGGGTGTAGACGATGTCGTTAACCATGCCCGGTGACTCTACCATGAACGCCTTTATATGCTCGATCCTTTTTTGTAGAGATACTTTATCTCTTGCAGAGAGGACAAGTACTTGGGGAGCTTCGGTGCGTTTATGCTTCGCTATTAGTGGCAAAGATCCTGAGTGGGATTCCATGATAAGCTAAGGCAGGCCCCAACGTCAGTCCGCTTTTCGTGAAGTTGTAAATGATCACCATACATGTGCGTTTGTCCCCCCGATACCAAAACAATTCACGCTGACTCTCTGTTTTCGATCCGGCGGCCATGGCATTGCCTGCACGGGAACGATCAAGTTTCCTTCTTGGAAGGGGACTGTGTGCCACGTAATCACAGTCAGCGTTGGGAGGGCTTTCTTTGGTGAATTTACTCACTATCTGGGTTGGGGTTTGAAAAGTGTGCATTGGGTGGAATGGTGCTTTTCTCGAGCGCTAGTGTAGCCTTGATGAGACTGGTTAGCCCCGACGCACCCTCTGAATGACCCACGTTGGGTTTGACCTATTTGATGCGCGGGCTTGTCAGCAAATATTGGTCAGAATACTTGGAGGGCACTTGAAATATGACTGACAGATCCAATATAGACCCCTTTGTTGTTGAACGCCCGAGCAACTGCTGAGGTTTCTGCTATATCCCCGGCACTCGTCCCCGTGCCATGGCACTCGAAGAAACCCGTTTCAGATAAATCTGAAATACCGGCCTTTTTGTATGTGCGCAGAATTAGGCTTTCCTGAGCCTCGACACGCGGCGCTGAAATACTTGGTGTTCTTCCATCGCAGTTTATCGCCGTGGCCCTTATAATAGCGCGGACAGGGTCACCATCTCGAAGAGCATGGTCAAGACGTTTGATATACACTGCGTTGATTGCTTCTCCTCGACCATAACCCTCCGCCGTGGAATCAAATGTCTTGCATAAACCACTGGGTGAAAGTACCAAGTTATTCGAGATCGCCGCAGTCATGGTAGGAGTTAAAATAAGATTGGTTCCACACACGATCGCTGAGTCGCATTCCCCAGAGCGCAACGCCTCGCAGGCTTCATGTAACCCGACTAGAGATGACGAGCAAGCTGTGCGGCACGTTACACTAAATCTTCTCGTCAGTCCTTTTTCCGTTCAACTCCACAGCACGCAAAATGTGCATCCCAGGTTCATCACATGGAATCCAGTTTTATGGGCCTGTGAACTAACCTAGGTCCGCGGAGGTCATATTCCCATGAAATACGATTTGCAATTGCAAAATCCCCTCCATTGATAGCGTAGTGTCGATCGATTTGCTGGACATCTTTGTTCAAAATCTCTAGCCAATCTTCTCCGAATACACCGACATAGCACCCTATATTTTTGCCGCGCCATTGGGTTTGTCCACCATTTTCCATGCATTCCCACACTGTTTCGAGTAGAAGACGTTGCTGTGGATCTAGCCTAGAGGCTTCGAGTTTACTCATGGAGAAGAAGGATCTGTCGACGTGCCCAAGATCATCATCTAGGAAGTACCCATGCTTGGTTTTGATGGCGCCCGGTTTGTTGTCACTGTAGAATGCTTCGGCATTGAACCTGCTGCCGGGTATGGGGCAGTGGCCGTCCTTCTTGTTGATGAGCATGTCCCAGAATTGTTCAGTGTTTTTCACACCACCTGGGAGTCGCATGGCCATTCCCACAATGGCGATGGGGAAGGGACCATGATCGGATATATTCTGGTCTCTCGCGATAGTTGGTCCCTCATTTCCTCCGCACGAAACTTCTGGTGGCAATGGATGATCGCAGGAGGAATAAATAGGTGCTTCCCCTGCGCGATTGATACTACGGGAAGTACCTTCGGCTTCTCTCCCTAGCATATTTGCGATCATAGCTGTAAAAAGCTGTGGTTTTGCACTTTGTATCCACGCTAGAGTTCGAAAAAGTGTGTGGTCCTTGGGCGCAGGCAGGCAGGCAGGAAAGATAGAATGGCTGTATCCGTTGCTTGGTGAATAGCTCAAATAGGTATGAATTGTCCTTATCAGCACCATGGAATCCTTGCAGATTAAGTCTCAGGCTAGGCAGGAGCATCTACATATCCCTTGCGCCCTCACGACAAGTATGTATTAGCAGTCGGAGAATCTTCATACCTAGGTCAATTATGATAAATATGTATAGAGGGAGTTCCTATGACGACCAAAAATCTAACACCAATGTGTGGTGCAAATCCTTCCAGCGTTGTTTCGATACATTCTGTCTGGCCCTTTGAGGTGGTGCTGCGGACTCCAGCGTCGTAAGTATAAACATATTCTAATGGCGCCCTATCATATATTTCGCCCCGTGAAGGCTCTGTGTGTTTCTTTATTTTCTCGGGCAAAGGATGCGGCTCATCGTTCCAAAATGATACAATGTGGATATGACAAAGACGTACTATGAGAAGTCCTTGCCCAGCACTTCTCAAGCATTCCCCATATTTAGACCGACCCACTGTGGAATGCATGACGTTCATAATTCGTATTACGATCACAGGCATGTGCACCCAATACCGGAGGATAAATGGGAATGTCCCAACTCAAACCCACTGATGGATCCCTTCAATTAAAGGCCCTCTAAGCTAAAAGAGGAAAGTCAGGTAAGGCTAAATGAATAGTAAGAAGCTATGAGCACCAATGGAACCTCATCCGGTAACCTTTATTTATTTATTTATTTTTTTTTAATTGAAAACCCTCCCCCGATATTTTCATGTCGGGATTGTCCTCGTCGCGTCTAAAATCTGCCAGGCATTTCCGGCTTGATTTCAGGATCGTCCATATGTGGATGGTTGGTAAGGCACCTACTAACCAAATTACCCGGTGGATAATTACTCTGACAAAATAAAGCATGAGAGATCGATCCGGAAGGCTACCAAGGCCTTCTCCGGTATTACATCCTCGCCCACTATCTTCAATCCTCGCCCTCGAGGTCATAAAAGCAAAAAAATTCACCTTCAGTATAGAGCCTTATAGGATAGCTGCATGGGAATAAACGGCAGGAAAATGACCGTTGAGAGGATCGTACCGGCTCAAAAGGGGAGTTCGATGCCTAAGGTATCGAGATTTTATATCAAACACAGAAGTACTCTTCTACTCTTTGTTTTCTTCCCATCTCTCTCTCTCTCGAGCAAACGATCCCTTCTAGTACTGGGTTCAATAGGGATAATGGCCAGCAGGGAGCCCGGAGCCCACGTTTCATCATACCGTTCTATGTTGTCAACCAAAAGGTCGAGGGCGAGCGTTAGACGGCTGCTAAGACGGAAATCATCCTCGAGGCTCCCCCACCGACAACCGCGGTTCGTCCTAGGCCTAGGGCCGCTATCTAGCGCACGTGACCAACGCCCATTAGCTTCCAGTTTGGGCGGCCTGTTTTATTGACCCGCTGTTCCACAACCTGTCCTGGAGATAGCCTCAAGTTTTCAATTGAACTCTTAACATTACAGTAATATTGAAAACCAGATTGCTTCACATACTCTCACGAAGTGATTCATTCCTAAAAGCGGACTGGAGACATGCTAAATTTAATGTGCCAAGTCGTAGAGCCCCCGTTTCCAAGAATAAGTCTTGCATTTTGTATAACGTCAGTGAATCCTGTCATGGTGTATTCTATACAAAACTGCCATACACATGTTAGCTGGCCACGAAACAGTTCAAAATACAGCACTTTGACTTGTTGAGCTACATATAATGCGAGATTAATGGGTTTCTAATCTCGCGTTCTAAGCCCAATCTGGTAATCTTATCTGTGGTTTTCACAACCCTCTCCTGGGCCGCTCATCACTTTCAAATATATACTAAGTCAAACCTCAAAACGTTGGATGAAGGGGCTATAACAAGTGGAAACAATGGTCCAATAGTAGATGAATATAGCGGTCAATTCTCCTTCTTAGAGGTCTCAATCTGCCCACCACCTCGAATAACACCTACTTGCATCATTTCCAATAGATTGTTGGCATGGGTAGAATGATCATACACCCCACCATGAAACATTGACGTAGCATCTGTTCCGATCGCCTGCCAGATGAGCTTTTCTCCTCCTGGATGTTGAGCCATAAACTCTGTAACATCGTGGACAATGCCGGCAACAGATATTAGATGAAGGCCCTTTTGTGTCATTGCCACATACTGCTCCCATTCAATCACAGGCAGACGGATAGCATGTTCTTGGCCGTTCCTCTTTCCAAGTCTGGATTTCTTCTGTAGTTGCTTCATACGGCACTTCTCGATGTCTGTAGAGCTCGCTCGATTAAGATGTGACGTCAAGCCTAACCGTGCCCAGAGCCAAATGGCCCATTTTGATGGATCAAAATCGTACCACCGAACGCCGTTGCGGTAGTCATTTGGAAATTCATGGTGGAAGTTGTGGTATCCTTCACCAAAAGTGATAAGAGCAAGCCAGACGTTCTCACGAGGAGTATGTTTATCTGAATAAGGCTGAGTCCCAACCCAATGTGCTACTGAGTTAACGAGAAATGTCCCGTGCCAAGTGATGCAAACCCTGAGTAAGCTTGCATATAGGAACCCCCCTTCGGAGTCATTCCAACCGAAATGGGCGACTAGTGTTGGCAATGAGATACCCACGAGGAGTTTCAAGGCTGTATAATGTTTGTGTTGCCATTGCACGACCGAGTCATTCTCCAAATCCGACATATCGACTTCCCCCCAGGATTCACGGCCAGAGTGAGTGAGAAGCCATCCGATATGTGACCACAGCAATCCTCTTCGGGCATTATAAGGATCGCGATCTGTATCCACATAGCGATGGTGGGCTCTATGATGGCGAGCCCACCATAGGATCGACCACTGCATCTGGCATGCTCCCATAATAGCCAGAAGGTATTGCAGAATGATGCTCGCACGGAATGAACGATGAGACCAGAGTCTATGGTACCCTGTATTATCACAGAATGAGAGTGAATCAGCTCCATCTAGCTTTGAATAAGTCGCTTAGTAGTCGGTGCATCTTACCAACGGTCACGCCAATTCCGGTCAGTATAACACAAAGACCAGTCAGACAAGCGGTTTCTATGCGAAGAGGAACATACGGCGAACGAAAGCAAACATAGACAGGGGTGCCTAGGAGATGCGTGCAATGATTCCAGTCAAGGTATTGGTACCAAGAAACAAAATGAGATGTAAGTCCCCCCAAGATGGGAGCCTCTAGAAGCCTTTTCATAAATGGCCGCCGCATCGTGCTATTTGATTTCATCTCCGGAAGTGCGGATAAGGGATGGGAGTGGAGTTGTTGTTTGAGAGACTGCTTCAGTATCAAAATATTTCTGATGTTGGGCTGAGCAATCGACGTGTGGATGAGACAATCTGTAGCAAGGGCAGGAATAAGGTATTTTATGAACTCCACTCAAATACCACCATGTCTCCAACCATACCGCATGTGTTTGGTGTAGGCTAAAAGAATGCTCCCTTGCATAGTGGCATATGGATGGCTTTGATGAAGATATGTCTTATCGAACTTACGTATATCCTCGGGTAGGATGCCGTACGTCTCGATTGTTTGTTTAAACCAATTGCGTTGGCGTTGTCGGTCTTCGTTCAGGGCGCGTTGATAGTCGCGTGAAAAGCTCCAGTCGACGATGAATAAGATTTATGGCAATCTTTAAGTAGATGTGTGGTGTAAATAGAGACTTACGGTGGAAGAGTGATAGGTGTGTGGGGCGCCGTATAAGAACCCATGCTCTTCGAGCGTCTTCTCGGTACGTTCGCGAAGTTGATACAATGGTGGCCTCCCCCTACCCCAGTGATTTCTTCCCGGTTAATTCTGTCGCAAGCTGGATGTTCTTCGCGATGACACGTCACCCTTGAGCCTCGGACAACGGGTCGCGCCATCATGCGCATACCCGTGACATCCAATCTCACGCCCGAGTCGACGACCGCCATTGTCTGCTTGGGTGATTTCACCGAGTATCCTGGGACGAACCAGGTGACCGAAGTGGAAATATTATACTCCTGGAAGAGATATAGCAGACACGGAACGCCAATCCGGGCAACAAGGTATGTAGCTGGTGCTGAAATTGGGAAGAGTATTTGATATGGATGGGCCTGTCCCTAGGAAGCCAGATACGGGATCGAAATCAACAGACAGGAGGACGTGGACTACAGCTGAGTTCGGGATCGCAGCAGGAAAGCAAACGGTGAAGTGTGATGACTGGAGGCGAGTGGGGCGTTCCAGATGATCAATTTATCAAGTCGCCAACTTATCAACTTATGCGAGCTATTCTTTTACTAATTTTTATATGCTGAGTGCTTTCTGGCTGCTCTTCAAATGTCTAGTCAAAAGCGCCCCCAAAAGTGCAAGGGGAAACCTAGTATTACGGGTCGTGGGTTGATCTGCTTAGGAGGAAGTGGTAAATGTAAAAAAGGAGAATAAGCGACCCTGACTACCTCACGTGGTAAGAGGTTTCTATATACATCATAGAAGTTGGACGTCCTCTAATCATGAAGCCGTATATACATATCACCGGATTTTTTAAAAGTGGGTGTCGCCTACAAAGCCAGTTGGACTGGCCTCGTACAAAGTCTCAGTGTGTTTCTTTCTTTTTGACTCCATACTAGGTAGCCATTGTTACAGTAAGAGGTCAATATGTCGAAAGAGAAATATAAAACCATTCATGTGTATTTGGAGCCTCAGGAATAGAAACTAACATGTGAATGCCTGCTGCCTACATCCAATTCCTACCTTATAAATACTCCCTCCCCCCCTCCTCCTCTTCCTCTTCTTCTTTCCATCCTCCGCCTCTTCTTCTTTCCCTCCTCCGCCTCTTCTTCTTTCCCTCCTCCGCCTCTACTTCTCTCCCTCCCTCCACCATAGCGGTCAAGAGCCCGATCAAAACACTCGATCGAGGTATGCTCCCCTCCTCCTTCTCTCCCTCTGCCACCTCTTCCTCGCCTACCCTCACCTCGGCCATAGCGCTCGCGGCCTGTCAACGATAAAATTATTGACATTTCTGCAGTAGGACCACATACACGCCTCTCGACTATATACGTTGACTACCAAACAACTTGGCCGTCATCAGCCTCTCGGATTCTGGATCAACAGGTGGTTCCGATGTCCGTTCAGGAAGCTTTGCATACTATCACGCCGACCATGGTGGCCGATCAAGGTACGCTACCCTCTCCTACTTAATTAGAGCGCTCAACTCACTAACCTAAGAAGTATAAATGCCACCTGTGGTGCTAGGCACTTCGGCCCAGGTCATATTGACGAGAGTTCTCTGAATGGTCATCCTCGCTTAGATGTATCATTCATTCAAACGTTTGAACAGTCCATAGACTGGTTAAGTCAAATATCGATCTGCCTAATGTAGGCATCGCGATAGCTCGAATGACTATGATGGCGCAGGACTGCCATATTCGATATCCAGCAACGTTCGACGCGAAAGGACATGTGAGAACCACCCACGTTCCATGGGGACCTACTGTCCTTGCTCAGGCCTACAGACTGGATTGGGTGGTGACCATCGATGATCGGACTATCTTGTGGGGAGAGCTGATGGACCGGAAGGCCCATTAGTATCAACTTATATAGGTCATATCCCGTAGTTATTTCAGAGACTAAATATCCCACTCCTTCCGCACCTGGTCCCTCCACGCCACCACTTCCCCATCAACCAACATCGTTACTGGGCCGAATTCTTTCAGGAGAGAGGAGACGCTTCCATCGGTGTATACTATGGTGATGTTTTGTAGAACAAAAGCAAACTAAATAGTAGTGATAATAAAAATCATTATTATTTAAGTGAGCACTAATTAATGGAATAACATCTTAAGAACGAATCCCTAACAACAAAGTTTATCAGGCTGGCGTCTTCACTAGATTAAACCCTAACGAAAGCATCGCCTTCACCCTACAAACCTCCACTAGTTAACTAGTTACTAACATACTTAAGTAACTAACGAAGGTTAACTAACTTATGTCCAAATCTGCTTACTAAAATCTAGCCTGTAGTAAGGCTTAAATCAAAAAACCTGAATAGCCCAAAAACTCGATTCCGTCAGATATGTGGACCCTGGACTAAGCGGGAGTCGACGTAAGAAATGAGAGGGTAATGACGTCAAGAAGGCAAGGAAGTATGATCCCCAGGTTTTATTTAACCACGTATAAAACCAGCAATCCAAGCAATCATAGCTTTTGAGATTTCAATCTAAACATTACAACCAAGAGTATTATATCTCTCAATATCTAACAATACAATCCACAATCCAACATGTCGGCTGCACGCTTCGCGCTGATGAGAGCCCGCGTGGCAATGCCCGCGCCCTCGTCGGGTTTCCTGGCTACTCGGACCATTTCATCGACTGCTATGATGAGCAAGGGCCCTGTCGAGGCGGCCAAAGATACTCTCAAGAAGGCGGATCGGACCGTGTCTGATGCGGCAGTCAAGGGTCTGAATAAAGGCGGTATGTCTTCAAAGTCCGTAACAGCTATAGAAGGACAGTGGGCTGACTGCTCCAATGATCCAGAGGAGGCTCGTGACAAGCTCAAGGACGCCGTTGGTGCGACCACCCAAGAGGCCAAGGTCAAGTCACAGGAGATGAAGGGCGAGGCGGCCGAGTATACCGGGCATGGCAAAGGAAAGGCGGAGGAGGCGCTCGGCGAGGCCAAGGGGAAGACGAAGGAGGCGCTGGGCGAGGCTAAAGCGAAGGCCAAGGAGTTGTAGCGACCCAGATAGATGATCGGTCTTCTCTAACAAGTTTGCATTGTACATTTCTTGAGTTTGCAATATGATAGCCGTGCATTGTCGTCCATATTTGTCCCGCAGACAGCTCAGCTCGGAGGCAGCATCATCACGTACTCGCGCGAGCTCAGCCCAAACCGTAGCACGTCCTTATCCATGACCTCCACATAGCGGCCAGCCGGGACAGATTCCCCATTGACACTCGACCCATTCGCGCTCTCCAGATCGATAAGGTACGGCTTGACCTTGCCGATACGGTCCCCGAATTCATTCCGTTTCTCGACAAACCGGAACTGAAGCGCAGCATGCTGCTTCGAGCAGCTGGGGTGGTCAAGCGGAAAATCAACGATTAACCTCTCCCGCCCAATCAGCCAACAGCTGCGCCCTCCCAGCTCCACCATCTCCAACAGGTCTTCGCCCTTGAATACATAGAGTCGCCAGGCCTCTTTCGGAGGGGGCTTGCGAGCCTCTGGAGGTTCGTGGTATTTCAGCACAACTCCTTGGCCGCCCTGGACTTGCACCGTGTTGCTTTCAGCCGCGAGCCGGCCGGTGTTGCTGAAATTGGGCTTTTGCATTTCGGGAGCTGGTGGTGCGTCTGAGTCTGTTGCAGTGAATGCGTCGGATTGTGAGGGCAATGGGCCACGCCGTTGGAGTGGTTGTGGTGGCGGCGGACTGCGTGATCGTCGAGGAGAGCGCGAGCGTGGACTGCGGTGTCTCTTTGATGGCCGTTCCTCATCGTCGTGCTCGCGTCTGTCACGGTGACGGTGGCTGCGGTGTCTGTGTCTTCGCTCGTCTGTAGAGCCGTCCTTGTGTTCCCGATGTGGACGGTCCCGCTCTCTGCGTGGACTGCGTGACGAGCGTCGCCGAGAGCTGTCTCGACGAGAGCTTCGGCGGTCGTCCTCGCGATGGCGGGAGCTCCTGTGGCGGTCGTCCTCGCGGGGAACTCGCCGCCGATCGCGGTCTCGATCTGGGGAACCAGACAGTGAGCGCTGGTCACGGGCGTCGCGTGATGAGGCCATTGCTTCCCCGGTGAAAAGCAGAAGTTGGGATTGAAGCAATTGGGGAATTTATCTGCCGCACACGTGACCCTCTCCGACTTACAGCGGGGATCCTCGCTCTGTCTCTCTTTCTCCTTCTCTTCCGCAACACACCTCACTTCGTGTCTCAGAGAACCCCCGGCTCTCTGGATCAAAACCATGTGGCTATGTTCAAGAAATCCAATCTTCTCTGTTGCGGGGGCTTGCAACTACTGAACCCTCCAACCTCGGCCGTGTCACCTCCTCGCCTCCATGGAATGAGACGCAGGAAGTATGCTACTGCGTCAGACTTCCCGAGCAGAGAGTACTCATGGCCGACCACTACAACATTTACTCCGTATGATGTGTTCAATCTACAGCGCGACGCCTCATACTCGAAGAACCGATACTATGACCTGGTCAAGATCTACCACCCGGACCGAACCTGCAACGACCCTCTCTCCCGAGATCTGACCCCCGAAGTCAGACTGCAACGATATCGAATTATCGTTGCAGCCCACGAAATTCTCTCCGATCCAAGCAAACGAGCCGCTTATGACCTTCACGGCACGGGCTGGGTCCACGGGCCGAAGAAATACAACACAGTCGCCGAAGCGACGGCAGAGTGGGGACCATACGGATCGACAATCTACGCCAACGCGACATGGGAGGACTGGGAGCGATGGCATAATCGTGACCAGGGCCCGCAGCGGCATCTAGTCGACCACCGCACCTTCACCCGGCTCGTCGTCCTGCTTCTCCTGTTCGGGGGTGCCGTGAATGCGTCGTGGATTGGGCATGTGAGCAATGGCTATGAGCAGCGGCTGCAGGAGGTCAACGAGGAGTCTGCGCGTCTCCTGATCGGCCGCCGGCACAATACCGTCCACCAGATGGACTCGAACGATGCTCGTGTCCAGGGCTTCTTGATCCGACGAGATCCCTCGGGCTCCGGTCTCCAGGATGGGGAGCAGCCTATATACCAAAAGGAACTCTTCCCTCGTAGCAGTGGCCCGGCTGGTCCGGAGCACGCGCAGACGGTCAATGCGGAGAAATCGGACTCTACATAAATCCCGTATTGGTTGCGTGGGAATGGGTTTGCATGGCGTTTCTGTGCAAAAATGGGCTTTTTTATAGTTGGCGTCGGCGAGTGCAGTACATACCACACCATGTGGATATATATACTCTACTCTGTAAAAAATTTAAGATAAATTATTCAATCAATAAGGCATTTGTTGTGTAACCCTATCAAAACTCCACATATGCGTCGCCAGACGGACCTCGGCAGTGACGCCATGGCCCTCACCGATATCCGGTTTGCGCTTGGCTTATTTATACAGCAGCACAACCACCGAGCGTCCCACCGAGCGTCCGGACAGCTCCTGCGCTGCCACCATGAGCTCCCTCAAGCGCCCACTTGCGCTTTTCAAGGCGCTGCTCGTGCGCATCCCATTGGTCCTCAGGACGGCGTTCCTGAATGGCATCCGCATGTCTCCCGTGACAGGCAAGCAAGACCTGCGCACCGAAATGACCGTCGCCATCATCCGCTCTTTCATCACCTTCAGCACACCGCTGGCCAAGGCTCAGAAAAACAGCATGCGTGATCCCGGCATCCAGGGTCCCATGTGGGTGTCCAAGGTCACCCTACCAGAGCCCGAATTCGACGTGCGCGATGCGGTCTTGCACGCCATTGAGGACTTGAATGGGAGTGGGGGCGCCTTCGATGTCCCTGGTGTCGCGGCGGTCGAAGCTGAATGGACTGGATATCGCAGTGGCGTGGGAAAACGCGAACCGCTGCCAGATATCTCGGAGGAGGAGAAATATCGCGAACTGCGCAAAGAAGCGCCGTCGGATACGACAGTGTTGTACTTCCACGGAGGCGCATACTTGTGAGTATTTCGGCCGGAATGTTTCGAAACCTATACACATGCTTACTCTGCTTCGATACAGCTTGATGGATCCCTGCACACATCGAGTCCCTTGTGCAAAACTGTCGCATTTAACGGGCGCCCCGGTGCTTTCAGTGCGGTATCGTCTTGCACCGCAGAACCCTTTCCCTGCTGCCCTCGTGGACGCCCTCACCGCGTACCTGTCACTCATCCACCCACCCCCGGGCGCATTGCACAAGCCCGTGCCCGCCAACAAGATCGTGCTGGCCGGCGACTCCGCGGGCGGAAATTTGTCTCTAGTCCTCCTGCAGACGCTTCTCACGCTCAAGCGATCAGCACGACCAATCCGTTTTCATGGCCAGGAAGTTGCCGTTGAGCTGCCGGCCGGAGTAGCAACCATCTCGCCGTGGTGCGATATCACGCGCTCGATGCCGTCCCTCCACCGGAACGCCAAATTCGACTACCTCGACCCGCCCGCTCAACTCCCCGAAGAAGACGCCACCGGGAAAACCCCTTTCTCACCACTTCCATTCCCGCCAGACGGCGTTTGGCCCGTCGCTCCACCCCGCGTGGACATGTACGTCAACGCCAACATGGCGTTGCACCCGCTCGCCTCGCCGTTAGCTGCCAGTCCCGAGCTATGGAAGGACGCCCCGCCGGTTTTCATCTCAACTGGCGAAGAAGGCCTTACGGACGAAGACTTGATCATGGCCCGCCGTCTCCATCAAGCCGGTGTTTCTGTCGTCGCTGAGCAATTCGAGGGCATGCCACACTGCCACGGCTTTCTTATGATCTCCACCTCTACGGGCAAGCGTTTCTTTGAGAATCTGGCACAGTTCTGCTGCGATGCTGGAGCTGGTAGTGTTGTCTCGAAGGGTAAGCTTACTTACTACGGATTTCAGCTCAAGTCCATACGCGAGATCCCGCTCGACCAGGCCTGTGAGGTGAGTGATGAGGAGGTCAAAGACCGGATGCGCAGGGCTGCGGCATGGAGGATGGAGGGGGAGAAGGAGTTGCAGCGCGAATGGCGGGAGAGAGCTCGGTTGTGAGAGTTTATTCTTCGACGTCTTGTACGTACATGATGCATGATATAGGCATATATCCATACATAGATTTATAATACTCTGTTGCGTATACACTGGATGTTCGTCACACCGTGGATACAAGTCAGTGCATTGATAGCATAACCTACTCCTTTTTCCAGATATTACTAGAGATGTCGGTACGCCCCGTATGCAATATATAGGTAAGGCTTATATAGCAAAATGTTGTAGGTTGAAGAATAAGCGCTTCTTCCCAATCAGGAACTTCTTTCTCCTTTAGAAAGTTAAAGTACCACAGTAAATTCTACCCCTACTGTAAGGGAGCCCTGTGCCCTGGTGGTAGGACTGAGGACGCTCCTCCTATGCCGGTGTCGCATGGACTGGACTATGCGGGCAGGCCCTTGCTAAGAGATACCCCCCCGTTTTTTGATTCATGCCACGGGTTCAATCTGCTGCTGCCAGGCTCTTTCTTTCTTTTTCTTTCTCCTTGTTGTTTTACAGGAAGGTGCAGCTGACTAGTTAGTATCCACCCGAAATAAGGTGCGGCAGGGTCGCATTAGCGCCCGCTGCGGGTCGAACAGAATCCCTGGTTGATGCGCTGATTGACTCCCCTTGTCCCAACCCCTATTAATAACGTTAGAGCAAAAGGAGAGAGTACCAAAGGCTATTTTTAGTATACCGGGTTAGCTATTAACGAGGAGTAGTAATTTATCTAGCTATTTTAGACTTAAAGGTAAGCTTCATTATATTAGTATTAATTGATCTAATTTGATAGCCCTCTAGACTCTTAGCTCTTAGACGTATCCTGAAACGAACGCAGTGAGAATAACGGATTTAACTTCGTTCGTGTGGCGATTCACATGTATTTTATGCCCGGCGGTGATGCTGGACTGGGTAGAGTGAAAGTGGGAGTGCCTCCCCGAGGGTGGGTACTCTCACCCTGTTCCCCTGTTCTCCCCGCTCTTACCCAAGTCTCTAGAATTCTCACCATATCACTCAAACTCACCCTAACACAAAAGACGACGCCATTTTAAAGCCAAGGCGCTTTGAGAGTTGACCGCGTTTAGTACGTGACTTGAGTACGGCTGAGCGGACAGGGAGACCTGTTTTCCACACCTGTGGTCGTATGTATCAGTTCTGGGGTTCATTACAGTGATACTTTAACTGTAGAGCTAGCCTATATCAATAGGTGTTGAAAGGTGAGTGCGCGATAGACAGGGCGAGAAAACCAGGTGGGAACCCCCTCTCACCCCGGGGGGAGTCGCGCAATCCCCGGCAATGCCATTTTGGCAGAAATTGAAACCGACGATGTCAGGCGAGTCCTCCGTCCGAAGCACTCGGTGGGTGCAGACGGTGCGCATTCCAAAAGTCTGACAATCAGTCGCACATGAAAGCTTACAGGTGCTCATTAATTTTGCCATAATGGTTTCTCATGCTTCTAAATTTCCTCCGAAGCTGTATCCGGAATCGCGCCATCATAGATCCTTGCCTCCTTAGAGGGAAGGCCTGCTAGCTCCGGAAAGCTAGTTGCTTTGCCTACCTCTAGCTTTCGGGCATCATGGAATACTATGAATTTACACACAATTAGAGGAGATCTAACATCTAATTTGTATAGAGAGGCTTATTAGAAGTATCTACTCTCATAAGAGAGATTGCTCTTTAGACCCTAAAAACTCTAACATAATCTTATTAAAGCCACTAGGGTCGTGATAGGGAGGGATATAGCCGACATTCTCTATTAGTATTGATTTTAGCAAAGTCAAAAAGGAGGTTTCTCTTAGTAACCGCTTTATTAACTAGAAAGGAAATATCCTCGCTGACTACCCCTTTAAAGATATTAAGGACAAGTTGTAAGAGAACTACTTGTCAGGATAGAAACCTGTTGGTCAGGTGGGGAATGATGTTCCAAAAAAGGAGCGATACGGTAGTGAAATGGTACTGAGATAGGAGTTATTTAGTAGGAACAAAGACACACTGATTCTTGTTAGAATCAGCTCAAAACCATGGTTTGTTTGAACTTATAAAACAAAAGCAGGGTAAGTGTATGTAAGTAGGTCACATGATATCGATCCTGAATAACCTCAAAACTGGTCCAATCTGTAACGTTGCGCCACCCCTTTACTTACCTAACGAGCCATAAGCTACGTTCGGTACTACCCGCTTTAGACCGAAAGTAAATCTAATAATATTAATATTCTACGGCTTACTAAAACACCTAGGTATCCTTATTAACCTAGATTCTAAACCGACGTACACTATAGGCGTACATATAGAAGTTAAGTATCTAAAATAGTACTCTAGTGGCTAAAACGGATCGTAAATCTATAGTGATCGTCGAGCCCAAATACAGAATAGACAATAGGTTAGAACGGGATAGGTCTTAGGGGACTAAGAATATCTAGGACTATCTTTAGTCAAATATATGTTCTCGAGATCTATGCCGTCTTACGAGTACAAGAAGTGATTTTTAAATATTAATCTTTCATTATATCTCATCGCACCTAAAATCTATCTTCTAGACATGCTACTATGATGGTTAAAAGGCAATGAGATTTCCAACTAATGCAATAGAGGCACGAGCCTTAGGTAAAGATCGCCTATATAGGTATTTTGAGTAAGAAACGAAATTGCTCATCAGTGGTACTATACCAACCCAAGTTCGATGACATGGAGTTCTGAAACAGATTTCCATTCTCCTAGTAAACAAATTCAAAGTTTCTTGGCTTCGTTACAGTAGTTTTCGAAATCAGTTATATCTCCACACTCTCACGACTTAATTCCCGGAAAGTAGATCTATAATGTGCAAGTCGTGATTGGATAGGTCGTCGAGACACCCGCTTTCCAGACCGCTTCCTAAGATAGTCTTTGTATTTTACATGAAACTCCTATGCACTTAATACCTTCCAGGCCCCCCATTCTCCTTTCAGGCCCCCGATTCTCCGTCCAGGCCCCCGATTCTCATTCCAGGCCCCCGATTCTCATTCCAGCCCCCAGCGCCCCCCCAAGTCCCAAGTAGGTCCGATAGACTCAGCCTCGTCCTTAGTTCCTCGCTAAGAGAACACATTCGGAGTCTCTACACCAATCAAGAAGGAAGTTATCGTAGCTCCGTGCGCAGGGCAACCGAACCATGGCAAGCTCCTTGGCATCCATATCATCTATAAAAGTTAAGCACAATCCATATTCGGAGTCTCTCAACACCCTAAACAATTTATAATTACCCTCACCTGGTCCACTCAAAACTCGCAATGCTATCATTCAAGCGTGTTCTGCTCATAGCCCTCTCCCTCGCGGCCACTACAACGGCTATGAATTGCCCCAATAGCTGGGGCACAGCGGCCGACAAATGTTGCTATGGCAGCTTGGAGGCTGACAGTTCCGGGAAATATTGCTGCGTTGCGGACCATATCAATTTCAACTTCAACAACTATAAACCCAGAAGTGTTTCACCAGCGCAGAGTACGGCAGGCTCAGGTTGCTACACAAAGGTTCCCTTGACCGCAAGCGATTATTCCGCGCAGGTCTCTTCAGCATCATCGGCGCTTGCAGCGGGTGCCACCAACTCTCCTTCAACCAACGAGGCGTCTCCTACAAGCTCGGGTGCTGCAGCTCCCACCACCAATGCCGCCGTGCCGATTGCCGCAGCTCAAGAAATGATGCTCGGTGGTGCCGCAGTCGTTGCCGGTCTTTTCGTGCTGTGATTAGAAAGGGGTTGGCAAGATGTTATTTGTTGGCTGGCTACCACACTAGCTAGGTGTCTGGTTGGAGCATTTGCAGTTGTGATGTGTTCTGATATCATCGACAATAAGGGCTCTGGGTCATCTCTGGAAGTAGTCACAATTGGCAGAAGCCATAGAAAAACAATATCATCTTTGCATACCAAGTTTAGCTCTCTACCGCATGGCACAGCCTTCTGTATTATGACTAGTGGGCGTAAGACGAAAGAGCAAAATGTGACAGTCAAAGGAAAGGGGGAAAGCAGGCGGGCGATGTTTGCCAAGTCATCAGAACTACCAAGCGATTCTATGATTCCATAGGACATAGCGGTTTTATGGCGATGACACTCTATTGTAGTTTGACCGACGCAGTGTCGTATCGGCCCTAAGACAATCATCGAAAATCCCGGCTGTTGAGAGTCAGTTAGTCAGTTCGTACCATGCCAAGCCAAGCCGTCTGTACTCAGGATTTCCCCCTATAGCCTGTTCAGGAAAACCGTGTGAGAATCGTTGCCTAATCTAGTATGATATGACTGCCTTATCTAAATTGGGAATAGGAATTGGTTTTAGCGTAGAGGCTGAGCTTACCCTTGTGGATCTCCCCTAAATGTTGACGGAGTGGCTCGTATAGCCTCCTGCATAGCCTCCCGTTTTTCTAAATATGGCTCTTCAGGTGGCCCCAGATAATAGCTTATTCTTATTGCTTTTCGGGCTGAAATAATAATAGTAACACCCCAGCCCTGAGAGAGAGTGTGTGTGTATGGGTGTGATCGGCGCTGAGACTGTGCCTGACATGACCCGTGTGTAACGTGCTCAGCCACCCGTGGGATTCGAATGAGCATCTGCCATCCGTCACCGCATATGACATGCCCGCTGACCCGACCGACTACTGCACAAGACCAGCCTCAATCTAATCATTGACTGTAGTTTCATCTATACCGTGGGCCCCTTTTGGTCTCCATGCATTGCCGCCATCCTGATTACGGCGAATGACTGAATGCCACCCACGAACATGGCCCGTCTCCAGTCAAAGAGCACAAAATTGAGCGTCAGTTTGATAAAGCGACATTCATGTCGCTATTTGTTGATCCTCTCATTCGCGAGGGGCGTTTAACACGCTCTATCTTGGAGACTCTGCATACACCCGACACACCAGGGGGCGCAAATATCCAAGCCAACGACATCAAAAACCGGCGCCAATATTTGCGTCGAACGCAGAGACGAAGAGAGCAGCAGGACGCATCGATCGAAGCTATAATCTGGAAGCAGAAAATCATGGAAGAGTTGAACGAAATATATAGAAGTTCACGCAAGAGCCTGAGACGCAACCAGCGGTTAATGGACTAGAAATCATTTTTTCACTGCAGTGCGAATAGACAGATATGTACTCCATTTGGATGCTTTTTTTCAACACGTGCTTAGTGAATTGGCCTACTACCCTAGCGGCATTGAAAGAAGGACAAGATAGCTCCATGATACCGGGTAGGAAGAATGTTTTGGTACCCAACTATATACTACTCTACTGACCACCGGGAACATCAACCCCGGAAACCTCCCCACAAACCTTCAACAACTCCTCCTGCTTCGCAACATTCCCAGCACCAGGATGCGCAGACTCAGCACCGCTCGTCGTAAAAAAGGTCCCACTCTTCAACCCTGCCAACTGCCCACTCCCGACTGCCCACTCCGCCAAAGCCTTCGCCGGCTTATCCATTCCCCCCGGCGCACTCATACCCCCCATCTTAGTCCTCACCCAGCCGGGATGCATGCTAACAACCTGGATCTGCTCACCCCAGCGCCTCGCGAACGCATTAGCGAGCATGACATCGTGCAGTTTACTATCGCCATACGAATGGGACTGCGTCACATTCCGCAGTGTCTCATCGCCGCCATAATGGCTGTCCGAGCTCATGTACAGCAGCCGGGAGGTGGGGCGGTCCATTAGACAGGTGAGGATGTAGGGCGCTAGAGTGTTCACGGCGAACACGGCGGAGATTTTGTCGGCTGTTATCTCCCTGCTGGAGGTGCTGCCGTAGCCGATGCCGGCGTTGTGGATTATTGCGTCGAAGGGTTTGTGCGCATTGGCTTCTTGGGCGAGACTCTTGGTCTCGGAGATGGAGCGCAGGTCGCCTACTAGTACGGCGGAGGCTTTGGGGACTGCTTGCCGCGTGCTGGCTGCGCGGTCTGCGTTTCGCGCGTGCAGGACCACGGCGTGGCCTTGCTCAGAGAGGATTTTGGCTGCTGCTAGGCCGATGCCGTCGCTGGAGCCGGTGATGAATATACGAGCCATGGCTGGTGGGTTGGGAGGAGTGTGAGAGTTGAAATTATTGGTTTTAGGATCGAGGGTGGCTTGACAGACGTTCAGATAAAAGTACGGGGGTTGGCTTGATGATATCATACTGAACTGGACCTGTAGACATTCTACAATATGACATCACAGCAAATTAGACAGGGAAGGGATCTGCTCATAGCTTTACGTGCATGGTATACACACAATATTATCGAATTGATGTGAATGAGTAAAATGCATTTAATCTAGGTACCATGGATCCGTGATGGTGGTACCTTTCCCCAGAAATAAAACACCGAGCAATGCAAACCCATTATCCCCGCCTAGCAATTCAAAGATATTCATCATCATCAATCGAGATCTGATCGTCTTCTGCCCGTGCTGGAGGAGGCGCAATACGCTCAGTCCATACCGGTTGCTGTTGCTGCTGCTCAGACGATCCGACACTCTGTGCCGAAGGTGACGAGAGCCACGGGAACGAGACGGGGGTACCGTTGATGCGAATCTCACCGACAAGATTCCCCAGCGCAGCCGGCCCATCATCGACATACCCATCAGACAAACCCAGCAATTGCGCTACAAGTCGGAAGATAGCCACAGTGACTGTAATAACGGGCGCAAGTAGGGTAGACAGATGAGACCAGCGCCACAGCATTGTCACGGTCACCCATGGGAAATGGGGAGCGTCGGGTTGGAGACAGTAGCCTTCACAGCTGTCGGAGATGACGGGGTGGCAGTACTGCTCGCACATAATGCACTCGACGACATACCATGTGAGGGAGACAAAAGTGACCAACCCCAGTTTAGTGAGCTGGAGACGCCGGGAAATGGGGTGCCGTTCCCACAATCGAGGCAGGGGAATGGCAGCATAGACACGACCATCGTGATACGAGCGGCCGCTTTGCATATGCTGACCATTCTCTTTCGACTGCGACTCGAGTTGTCTTTCTCGCTGGACTTGACCATCCAGACCATCGAGTCCCTTCCTCACTTCGTTGATGTTCTTCCTTAGCGACAGCAGTTTCTGATTCAGCCGGTCGATATCAGCCAGGTCTTTGTTCTCGGAGGCGTTGGCAAGCTCGAGTTTCTCAAGCACCGTCTTTTCGTACGCAGCGTCGTCCTCTTCTTCGGTTTTTAGCTCCCCCGAGTCGTCCAGAATCAGTTGTAGGGAGTTAATGGTATCATCACCCATATCGAGCGGCTCCTTGCCAGAGTTGAAGTCCTCCATGACCGTCTCCAAAGCACTTTTCGGCAGTTTAGGTCGGATCAATGGTGGTCTCGACCGTTTTGTGGGTTGTGCTTCCTTTTTAAACCAGGTTTATATCATCATTACCAGAAGATTTCGGTTCCTGCGCAGGCTCCTTCTCCTTCTCCTTCTCCGAAACTGGCTTAGGAACAATGTCCTTTGTGAGATTCTTCGGTATTTCTGTCACCCGCTCGGTAACAGGCGTATCGATCCATGCACCGGTGACTCGGGGAGTTTTGTCGTAGACGCGTCTTTCGAATAGCTTGGGTGGATCCGGGGTCGCGATCTGATCAAGCTTGGGGCTTTCTGTCCTCGACAGTCGCCGCAGCAGATCTTGTGAGTCTCGTTTGATAGTACTTGGTTTGTTGAATGCGGAATTTTTGTAAACCACAATGGGTGTGTTGGGGATGGGATTGCCTTCACCCGAGCTTGCATTCCCGTCCGCTTTCTTTTCGTCCTGCGCATCTTGCGCAAGAGGGTTGGCGGTGCGTTCACCAAGAGCGCTTCGTGTCGGAAGGCTGCTCCGCTCTGATGGTCGAGGCGAAGCACGTAGAGGTTTGTAGATTGTCTCGTTCGTTGTCTTGGTCCGGGGTAGAATACTTTCCGATTCTCGTTGCTCCGGCGCATTGTGTGAACTGACATTCCTGAGCCATTCCTGTCGACGGGATGCGCGACTGCCCCAGGTAGACGGCAGATTCAACGAGGGTCCACGGTCACCGTCCTCCTCCGGCGGTTGGGTATGATCATCCTCGTCGTCACGGCGCTGGAGATTGTCCGCCGTCAACGCCGCTTGTCTCCCGGTGTGTGCGCGACTGAAGATCGGAGAATCAGTGCCCGTGACGCGTCGGAGACGCTGCTCGTCCCTGGTATCTGAGATTCTCCTGCGCGATAATACACTGTTGCCGGTATCGTCGTGAAACCCAGTATCCGAAACCATGGGCCCATCTCCTCGTGGAACTCCGCTGTTCCTCTCCCTAGTTCGCGAGGTGGAGCGACTGATGCGGGTGCTGGCCGGACGCGCCTCAGGATATTGTGCAGGTTCAGGCCAGTCCTCCTCGGAGCGTACATAGTTTGCCAATGTGCCATCTTCTTCAATCCTTTTGTAGACGTCCACGAGCTCTTCGGGGGGATTGGACGGTTGTGACGAGGGGGAGAGGGCGTTAATGAACTCCTGGCGATTGCGCCGAGGACTGGAGGAGGCCATTCCCGCGAGCAAGAGATCTTCGTCTGTCATGGCTGGGCGACGCGACGCGGCTCGATACGCGCCTGCTAGAGTTCCGGTGCGTAGGGTGTGTCGAGGACGCGTGGAGCCATGCTGCTTCGAGGGCGATGGAAAGTGTGAGGCGCTGAGATCGAACTCGTAGTCCGGGTCAGGGCGGGCGCGGGCAAAGGGGGACGCGGGATGGGGACGGGAATGGGCCGGCGAGATGCGGTTGTTTGTGGGGGACATGGCAGAGGCAGAGTATGCCTAGAAGGGATAGTTAACAGGCACAGTAGAGAGAGAGACGGAAAGAAAGAATGAACATGTACATTGCTTGGGGGGAGCATACCCAAAGTGGTTAGGCGCCCTCCACTGCGGAATGTATTTGTTGCGCAGCCTCATGATCTGATCTTCTTTCTTTTCCCAGCTGACTCGCTCATCTGCCTTGGTCACTACCCGGTCCTATAATATACCAGCCTTCGTATACCTGGTATAATAGGCGCGAGCCACCCTCCGAGTCCATGCTCCCACCACATTCACCACCCCATCCTCAACCATGACGAAATCCTCCCGCCGCTCTACACGCGACAAGACGCCGACCTCAACGCCAGGCACGTCGGGCACCTCAACTCCCAGCTCAACCTCGTCCGGACCTATCCCACCCTTCATCAAAGTCCCCGCGATCCTCAAACCCTTCGTCGAGCCCCTCTCCCACCAAGAAGTCTACCTCGTGCACATCGACAAAACAGACAAAGACCTCAAGCGCCAAACCTTCATCGTGCCATGGGTGATCAACACCCTCATCGGCGCCGTGATCGCCTACCGTATCTACGTCGGAATCAGCGTCTACCCAGCCCTCCTCGCCTCACTGATCGGTCTTCAAAGCTCCATGAGCGTCGACACGGCCTCCATCTCGTGGACGCAGATGGGTGCGATCATCCTCCGGCGCACAGGCATAGTGCTCATCGACTACTTCCTCGTGACGCTATTCCTGGCCTGGCCGATCACGTTCGTGTGCGGGCCCGTCTACTGGCGCAGCACGGTGGGGTTTCGGGATCGGGAGATTATCGTCCGCCGCAGTGCTCGCAGCTGGAGCCAGGCGCTGAAACGCAATACCTGGATGCGGGACGATGAGGCGAACCGCGATAAGATCGTTGCGGCTGTTACGCCGGAGCGGATCAGCAAGACGGGGTACTTGCTTGTCGACGCGGACTGGAATCTGGATTACAGGGCCATGGTCCGCGCGCATAAGCTGGTTGACCGGACACGCAGGGGCGAGGGCGTGCAGCTGGATGAGTTCCGCACCGCTGTTTTGGTGCATACCGATGCGGACGGGTGGCTGATTTGGCGTGTTGGTGATGAGAATACATCCACGGGTCGGGTGCGGTCTGCGCAGCGGGACCAGATCCTGGCGTTCAAGGATAAGCTGTCGGCTATGGGGAAGGAAGACTTGTTCTTCCGTTGGGTCGAGTTGATTCAGTGGGAGAGCTCGCGGCCGGGCGGGTTTACGCCGGAGAGGCAGCGGTCCGCTATGCTTCAGGCCAAGCAGATGTTCGAGGACGAGGATGTAGATTTCAGTCGCTTCTGGGACGACTTGGGTGGGATGGAAGGGATTGAGTTCCTTGACTGATTTCTAGCCTTTATCTTTATATTTATTATAGACTTGGTTTCTTCGGGATCGTCTCGTTTTGCTTTGTCTTCGTAGACAAGTTTGTCTTTATTCACTAAGCCTTTACTTGGTGTAGGGAAGAGTAAAATCACGTTGTTGGGTATATCTATCCACAAAATGATGCACAAGCATCTATCAACATATTTCTCAAGTCCCCAGTATCAGAGTCTCCTCACACAAAAGCCGCAAACAATAAAATGCTCTAGATCACACTTTCCCTAACTACTGTGCATTGCCCTCAACCCGATAGTCGAGAGACCACAGTTTCTCCCAAGGACGCGACCTGCCACCGGGGCGAGGACCGGTCGTTGACCGTGATGACGGAGACGAAGGGGATGTAGCCAGTTGCGACTGCTGGGCCGGTGCTGAAGTCGATGCTGAAGTAGACGTATGATCTTGGATGTGTTGCTCGCGCTATATATAAACAACAAAAGTCAGATCGTTTTGAAAATCTCGTTAAATGACCCGTAAAAAGCCTTCCATCTCCCTACTTTTCACGGGCCCTGAAGTAGATCACGGCGAACCTCATCAAAAATCGGAGCGGCCTCTCGAGGCGCGGAGGTGGCGTCAGCATCGGCAGGCTGAACGAGGTCAGCGCCAGAATCGGCAGGCTGCTGTGAAGGCGTTGGGGGTCCCCGTTTGGAATTAGAACTATTACGCCGGCTGTCCAGGTTCTTGGTGAGTGTTTTGGCGACAGTTCCGTCGTTGGCGGGCCGGTTCAGACGAATGCTGCCCTTGGCATCGACGTGTGCAGATGCAACGGTGCTCTTGGCTAGACCCGGAGTAGCGGGGGCGCCGGGCTTCTCTTCGGTGGCATCGAGCAGGTACCAGCGCAGACCATCGGACAGTTCGAATGGATTCTCGTCGTCCAGGGAGGCAGCGTCGCTGGCATTCCCGAGAGAGCGGCGGTCAGGCGCAACGCCGTTCAATGACCTTGAGAGATCCACGACACGCTCCTCGATCTTGGTAATGCGCGCGAGCAGCCAGTCGCGGTTTTGCAGCTTGTGGCTGTCTAGCTCGCGGAGGAAATTGTGCGGTGCGCCGACGTTGAAAGCGGCCCAGGAGCGGATAGATTGGTTCCGCGTAGGGAGGAAGAGCGCAAGGTCCCCTTCTTTGAAGGTTCGATAGGCAATTTTGTCGTGCGCTTCACTTTGGACCCGGTGGTATTTGTCTCGGTAAGCTCGAGCTTCCTTTTGCCATTTGCGGGCGAGCACCTCGATGTCTTTGACGCGTTTGACGACGACGTCACCAAAGACGGAGACATCGAACTGAGACAGGCACTCCATGAAAGCTTGGAACCTGGTCTCCTCGTCTTCTGGGCTTTCGGCATGCGTCCAGTCCAGAAGTGCTGCATCGGGTTTCACTGAGACAATGCCGGACTGGACCAGACTGTCACCAAGACCTGAAGAAGACGCATTGACTTTAGAAGCTCGTTGGACGGTGAGATTGCCATCCTGCTGAATGACGGCGAAGCCCAGCTGCTCCAGCATTCGCCCCAGTTTCTCAATCTGCGAGAAAAGCTGCGTGGAAAGCTCTTGGGATTTGAGTCCGCGGGCCTCAGTCCGAGCGGTAGCCTGCTGCTCTGTTTCGGATGCAACGCCGGCTTTCTGCTTCCATTCCTCAATCTCATCTTTCGATTTCCGAGCTTGGGATTCAATATCAGCCAGCTTTTGTGACAAGTCTGCCTGTCTTTGTTCTTCCTCGGCAAGTCGTTCCCGAAGCGCATCTGAGCCGCTCTCACCAGCCGCCATTTGACTTTGCAGGGATTTGAATTTCGAGCGTTCCTTGTCCACCTCTGCCTCCACGGCATCGAGCTTAGACCGCGCAGATGAAAGCTCTTCGGTAAGCCGGGCCAGTTCCTCCTCGCGATCGGCCGAGCTTTTATCTTGCTGTTCTGCCTCGGATTCCAATTGACCGATTCGTTTTTCAAGGGTTTTATTTTCAGCCGCCGCTTTGGATGCATTGTCTTCTGCACTCCTCGCGTGGATAGACAAGCCCTCGGAAAGGACCTCGATGGCTTTAATGATGCTGGGTACCTCCAGCGGCATGGCACCTCCCGGCGACAGATTCATGAATGCGGCTTGTAGCGCATGGTAATGTTCCTGGTCCCTTTGTGCCAACTCAGCTCGCTGGCGTTCAAGCTCGTCAACCTTTGCCTGAAGGGTGTCGGCTTTTTGTTGCTGAGCCCGAATCTGCTCGTTCAACTCGTTGGTCTTTTGTGCCTCGTCAGTGCTGCTGGTGTAAGCAGTCTGTAGATTGGTCTCAAGTTGGTGGATCCGCTCGTCGGCCTCGTGCTTTTCATGCTCTCGACTGTCCATCAGCCGATCCAACTCCTCTTCCAACTCCTCTGTGCGTAACTTGAATTTCTTCAGCTCCGCCTCCAAGTATCTTCGCTCATCTTCAAACTCGCGCTGTCGGGCTTCAAGGTTACCGATAAGGTCCTCTTTGGTAGACTGGGCCTCTTGGAATCTGTCGGAGTTGGATTGGCGTTCGGCATGGGCTTCTTTGTGAAGTCTTTGCACGTTGTCTTTCTCCCCAGCCAGCTCAGCCTCCAGGCTTACGATACGCTGGATAAGTGCTTTGTCTTCAGGGGACTGAGTAGCTGAAACGCGCCTTGACGACATAGACGATCGTCTTGAAAGCGTATCGGGGTGTGGCGAGGCAGGCGAGCTGGGAAACTCAGGACCAAAGTTGCCGCTCGACGGGCGGCTCAGATGGCTCTGGCGATGAAGGAGGTCTTCCAACTTTCGAATTCGACTTTCAGACCCCCTCAGTCTCTCCTCAAGTTTTGTTTTCTCCTCCTGCAAGCTCCGGACCATATCATCCCCGCGGAGTAACATGGAGCTTCGGCTCAAGTCAAAGACACTCCCTTGTTTGAAAGCCTTTGCCCGTCGTCTTTGCTGGCGAGTGGGCGCATCTAGCTCCTTGTACTGCTGCAAAAGCTCCTCTCCCAGGTTGGTCATAGAGTGCTTGGTTTTTAGGTCTTCGATGTAGGTCTCGATCTCTTTCCGGGTCACCTCGGGCCATTCCTCATCCTGACCTTGGAGGTTCACCTCGATTCCTGGTGTGGAGGAATCGGCAAAAGAAATGAAATCACCCATGGTTTTCAGCCATTTCTTCCTTCGACGCTGTTCTTCGTCTCGCAAAACGGCCATTTCTTCCGCCAAGGTAAGCGAATCGGTCTTGATTTTATCACTCCATTCTCGACGTCGTACAGATTCGATCAAAATAGACCCGTATACCATGGGCATATGGAAGACGGTGTAGATAGTGTCAAAGGCAGTGCTTTCCACGTCCAAGTTGACTAGTTGCGCGTGCGCATCGGCGAGGCGAGACTCTATAGAGGAGATGACGCGCATATGTTTGTGGGCAATTTTTTGTGCATCGCCACGGCGCTGAACAGCTTGCTCCAGAGCAGCTTGAAGCTCCGTGCCGATCTCGATCAAAGATGGTAATAGATCTTGCGTATGACTGAGGGCTAGCCTGGACACATTCGCCAGGGTTTTCTGGTTGTTCGGAAGCCCGAGAACGTGTTCGTAGTCCGAGCTGATCTTCTTCGTGATGGTCTCCACTTCCTCAA